TTTTGGGTGCTTCCCTCCTTTGTTTTGCTTCTGCATTTGCTTTTGTCCTAAGTTGAGAAAGCCAGGTTATGGGTTCGGTTACTATAACCTATACCATTTATTAACAACAAATATTTACTCTAAACCCAAGGGGTGTTAAGTACTATACTGGGTCAGGAAATAAAGAGATTTTTTAAAGATTTTTATTTATTTATCTTTACAGGGGAAGGGAAGGAGAGAGGGAGAGAAATATCAATGTGTGGTTGCCTCTCATGCATCCCCCACCAGGAACTGGCCTGCAACCCAGGCATGTGCCCTGAGTGGGAATCAAACTGCGATTCTTTGGTTCACAGGCCCGCGCTCAATCCACTGAGCTAGACCAGCCAGGGCTAGGAGATTTTTTAAAAAATAAACAACAACATAGTTCTGGCCCTCAAAAAGCTCACAGATGAGGGAATGAAGGAGACACCCAAAGAACCAGTAAGCTGCAACATGATGTTTTAAGAAAGAACGAGCCCTAGCTGTGTGGCTCAGTTGGTTGGAGCATTGTTGACATCATCCTGATGTGTCAAGGTTGCAAATTTGATCCCCAGTCAGGGCACATACAGCAGTCAAGCAGTGAGTGCGTGGGTAGGCAGAACAACAAACTGATGTTTCTCCCTTCCTCTCTCTAAAGTCAATCAATTCAAATATTTTTTTAAAAGAAAAAAAGAATAAATGAGCAGGGGTGTTAGGGAAAGCCTCTGAGAGGTAATGACTCCTGAGATGCATCTTGAACCACAAAAGTGGAGAGAGAAAGCATTGTGGACATGAAAAAGGAAGGCCTAAAAGAGATATGGAAGCATTGCTTGTTTTCCCCAGTGTGACCTGCCTTCCTTTCTCCTATCTTTCCATAATCTTTCTTAAATTATGTCCTTAATTTCAAATGCTTAAAAGAAACTGCAACTTGTCCTGGTCAGGTATCTCAGGTGGTTGGAACATTGTCCTGATATGTTGAGGTTGTGGGTTCAATCCCTGGTCAGTGCACATACAAGAAGTAACCAACGAATGTGTGAACAAGTAGAACAACAAACATGTTGCACTTGCTCTCTCTCTCCCTCCCCCAGCTCTCCAAAATCAATAAATAATTTTTTTTAATTACAAAAAAAAAAGCCCTGGCTGCTGTAGCTCAGTGGATTGAGTGCCAGCCTGTGGGTCAAAGACTGCTGGTTCAATTCCAAGTCAGGGCACATGCCTGGTTTGCAGGCCAGGTCCCCATCTGGGGACATGAGAGAGGCAGCCAATCACTGCTTCTCTTGCACATCATGTTTCTCTCCCTCCTTTCCCCTCTCTCTAAAAATAAATAAATAGAATCTTTTTTTTATTTTTAAAGATTTTATGTATTTATTTTTAGAGAGAGGGGAAGGGAGGAAGAAAGAGAGGGAGAGAAACATCAATGTGTGGTTGCCTCTCACTTGGCCCCTACTGGGGACCTGGCCCACAACCCAGGCATGTGCCCTGACTGGGAATCAAACCAGCAACCCTTTGGTTCACAGCACACACTCAATCCACTGAGCTACAGCAGCCAAGGCTAATTTTTTTTTTTTTAAAGAAGCTACGACCTGCTATTCTGCAGAGTATTTGAGATCTTGCTTCCCCACAATTGTCAGTTCAGCTCAAATCAACTCATAATAATTCTCTACAGATTTGGCCATGTCTTACATCAATAGAATGACTTCATAGGTACACAATACTACAGAGTCTATTTTAAAACACACAATTATTAGAGCTAATAAATAAATTCAGCAAAGATGCCAGATACAAAAATAAACAGTGGTATTTCTATATTCTAATGATGAAAAATCTAAAAAGGAAATTAAGAAAGCAATTTCTATTAAACTGCATCCAAAAGAATAAAATCCTTAGGATCAGGAGGTACAGGACTTGGGCACTGATGACTTAAAAGACAGGGTTGAAAGAAATGAAAGAAGACCTAAGTAAATGGAAAGACACCCATGTTCATGGATGGAAAAACCTAACGTTGTTAAGATGTTGGTATTCCTCAAAATGACCTATGGATTCAACGCAATTCCTATCAAAATCCCAATGGCCTTCTTTTACAGAAATGGAAGCGCCGATCCAAATTGCAAGGTACCTGGGATTTTTAATGAGGGAGTTAGACCTCAGTCCTTGAGTTCAGTTAAGAATTCAGAACCAAGAACTCTGGCATAAGAAATTTATTGAGAAGTCAATGTGGTAGAAAAAATGAGCCAGCTGTGCTGTGTGGACTCAGGAAATGAGTTACAAGACAAAAAAAAAAAAAAAAGCAGGGGTGGGGAGGAGGCTTGGAGCTCAGGAAAAAGAAAGAGAAGATAATGTACCTGAGAAAAGAAGAGAGGGAAAAGGGCTGCCTTTGTGAGAGAAAGGGGGAAGAGGAACCACTGAGCCCTTTGTCTTAAGGAAATTTATCTGTTTTCCGAAGGAGAGGATTTCAATACAATATTCATCAGCTTCTCCTGAGGACTTAACACTTAAGAGAGTGGCCATTCAAGGGTTTGCATGGGATTCATAGGAAACTACTCTCTGTCCCCACCCCTTTCCTCCTCTAAGAGGTTTAAATCACACGACTAGCAATATGAAAGGTCAGAGGGTGTAAAGTGTATGAGCAGCAACATGAAAGTTTAGGAGGTCTACACCACGTGACTAGCAGCGTGCCAGGGGATGAAAGCTCACCCTGGGGGTAAGGTCCTAGCCTGTAATTCTTGTTTTCCCAGTTTTTCTCATTGCTAGGCACCTGGGACTTTCCTCCCTGGTGACATTCCATATTTGTCCTCTCATTCCTGCTCTGCAGCAATTTCTTAGATTGAATCTAAGTGCCTAGTCTATCAGAACAACCAAAACAATCTTGAAAAAGAAAAAGAAAGTTGGAGGGCTCATACTTCCTAAATTCAAAGCCTACTAGAAAGCTATAGTTATCAAAACATTATGATACTGACATAAGAATAGATCTTTAATAAATGAAACCAAATTTTGATTCCAGAAATGAACAAATACATCTATGATCAATTGATTTTTGACAAGGGAGGAATCCTCTCTTTTATCAAAAGGTGCTGGGGCTAAAATTTAAAAAAAAAAAAATTAATTAATTAATTAAAAAATTTTAAAAAAGGTGCTGGGGCAAAAAAAGGAAGGAAGGAAGGTAATGGAGGAAGGGAGGGAGGGAAGGAGCAAGGGAAGAAGAAAAAGAAAGAAAGAAAGAGAGAAAGAAGGAAAGAAAGAAAGAAAGAAAGAAAGAAAGAAAGAAAGAAAGAAAGAAAGAAACCTCATATAAAGTTCAAAGAAAAGTCTCATTTTGTTCAAAGGAATCAAAGTATCCTACTAACTCCTTAGTGTAGACTACAACAGACAGGATGTTAGGAGCACTGATTCGAATTGAGAACTCACCACAGAATCCCAGAATCAATCGCTAAACAAAAGATGAATTTAAAATATTCATGAGATGCCTTTCCCTGGGTGGGCATGGCAGGGGTCGGTAGGGGAGGCCCAATCTCATTTTGAATACTGGCATTAAAAACTGTCAAGTGAAAACAGATCCTGATTTAGACAAATGAGACTTTATTTGAAAACGTTATTGCAAACGTTATTGCAACAAAGGGGGTGGGGAAAGACTGATCCATTAAAGTAAGGTAGGAGAACAATAACTGCAGGGCAAATGCTCAGCTGTCAAACAAACAAACAACCCTACCTGGCTTTAGGTAAAAAGAAAGTTTATTGTAAGAGATTATTCCAAAAAGAAAGGAACTGTTGCAATGGGAGAGCGTGGGAGGAGGGGGTGACTCTTGCCATAGGGAACTTTCTGACCATGCACAAGATCCGCAACGGTCTCCCAGGTTAATGGGGCATTTCTTTTACAGGGAGCAGGGAACAAAAGAAAGAACTGGCGATGGGGAAGTGGGATGGACCGGTGGAGGTGGCAGTGATCACACTGCAGATCGGGAAGTCAGCCTACTTTCAAGAGCGCTGAATAAGAAGGGACTGCATGCTGGCTCAGGTGGAGGGCGGGTCAAAGTTTAGGGGGCTGGAGGAAGGAGGGAAGCTTAACAAGTTTGGTCAAGTCAAGGTACCCAGTATTTTGTACAATCAGTTCAACTAATCATGCATGAGGCCAAAAGAATGGGAATTTGAAGGGTCGTAGATAAACAAGGGAGCATCCAGGAGTCACATCTAAATCACACGGGGAAGGTGGTTCTTTGCTGACCTTCCCTTTTCAGAATCTAAAAGGGGTAGGAGGATTCCTTTAAAACCCTTGCTTTCCAAAATCTCAGGGTTCAGGTTTAAGTTCAATATTTCCATAGTCACAGGGTTCAAGTTCAACATTTGTCAGCATGCAGGGAAATCTCTCCACCGACTCCATCAAAGTCTGAAGAAGCACAGCGGGATGGAGACAGCCGGGTTCTCAGGTGAACCCACAATTAGCTCCGGGCTTTTTCCGAGCAGAGTGCAGTGGCGTCCAGCAGCCGGGCGGCGGCGGGAAGCAGGTGGCGGCCGCGAAGCCGCGAAGCTGGCGGCCGCCGCCGCCGCCAGCCCCGCCCCCACGCGCGCTCTCGGGGATGCGCAGAGCCCGCCCGGGCGCGCGCCGCGGCGCTCGGCGGCGGTCACGGAGGGAGGCGGGCAGGGGCCCAGAGGCGCGGCCCCGGATCAGCAGAGGGCCGGGGGCGCGGCGCTGCGGCGCGGAGGAGCTCCGGTCCGCCGACCGCTGCACGCGCAGCCCCGGAGCGACTTGAGGACCGGGCCCGGCGGAGACGGCGCGGCGCGGCCCCCTCCTGCGGCCACGCCCGGAGGTAGTTTCCCGGCGCCGCGTCGCGATCGGCGGGGTGCGGGGCTGCTGCCGGCGTCTCCCGGGCTGGGCGGCGGGGATCGTTGGGTTCGGCCCTGCCGCCGCGCCGGTCTTTGTCTCGGGGAGGCTGGTTTCCGCCGGGTTCGCGACCTCGCGCCTGCGAACGGCGCCGTCGGGCGGCGGGGGCGGCGAGACTCCTGCGCGGCCCAGGTGCGCCGCAGCCCGGGTGCGAACTCCGTAGGAGCCAGTCTGAGGTTTTTTCCTTCCGAAGTCGCTCGTAAACTTCGAGTTAGGTGCGTGCGGTCAAAACGCCCCGATTTCCAAAGGCGATCGCTGCAAAAGCAAAGTACAGAAACCCAAGGCGTATCTGTTTTGAGTTGTCGTCCTTTGCTTCATTACCAGTCTCCCACAAGTCACTTTATTTTGCGGGTTTGATGTTCTTCGCTGTTTTCATGCTTACTTTCTCTTTTCTTTGTGTGTGTTTTTCTTGGTAGTCACATTTTATCGCTTCTCAGCAATGATGAACGTCAGTGTGGTGTCCAGTGTTGGTTCCTTCGTGTGAAATTTGAGATCCTTGAAAATAAAGATAGGAAACTGACCGTCTGTGTTGACCTTAATGTGGAACCGTGAAGTGTGACAGACTGTGTCAGCAACATGAAATTCCACTTCCTTATTTCATAGTCATGGCTCAAGTGTGTTTTGGGAGCGTTTCTAAGTTTTTAAACTATAGTTTTAGTGGAACAGACTTTAAAAGTTGGTGTTGTATTGTCTCTCTAAATATGCCAAGAGTCACGTTGACTTAAACTGCAATTTAATTCAATGAATATTGAGCATCTGTGTAAAACAGTAATAGTGCTAGTGCTGGTGGAATTGAAAAATGACTGAGAATTGTGTGCAGGATGAAGGGAGTGAGGAAGCACACAAATAATAATGCTGCAGGCAGAATACAGTATTAACAGATGCTACTGCTTGTGACCATTGACTCCTATACCCTCACTGTGGTAAACACTTTACATGCATACTTTGTACCTAATGTGCAAATTTAGGTAATTGATAAATCAATTACTTGATTTATCATTAAATATTTTAGTACCTACTGTGTACTGAATGCTAACGATAGGGATACAGTAAGCAGTTAGACAGACAGGAAGGCTAGGCCAAGTACAGAAGGTCACCAGGGTGGGAAGCCCTAGGAAAGACCTAGCAAAGGGCAAAAGGGGGGTGCAGGGAGTCCATGCAGCCCAGCGGGCTCACTTCTTCTACCTCTGCGACATTCTAAATACATTTCCTCTAATAATTAGAGTTCCTGGCTCTGAATTCTTTCTCAGACAAACAAAAGGACCAAAGTCTAACTTCACTGGTTACCATCTGTTGCCAACACGATGGCAACCATCACAGATTTTGCCTTTAAGGACTTTACATTCTCATTGGGGCGAAACAGATAGGAAACAAATTGTCACACAAGTAAATGCCAACAAACTGAGATAGAAGCTACAAAAGGAAGAACTTTGAGTGTTGTGATAGCAAGTAAGGGCTTGGGGAGGCACTTGTGCCAGCCAGGGAAATCAGTGAAGGTTATCCTAGGAAAGTCATCTTCCGGCTGAGGTATGGGTACGTAGGAATAGGTGAAGGTGACTCCCAAGGGGAGGAACAAAGGTCCAGGCAAAGGAAAGAGGTTCCACAGAGGCTTGGGAAGATTTGGGGAACTGAAAGGTCAAGGCAGATTGAATGTAGAAAAGCAAAAGGAGCAGTTAGGGCCAGAGAGACCATGTGGGGCGGGGCCCCTTAAACAATGTTAAGGATTTGCGACCAATTTTTTCTTTTTCTTTTTAAAAGCTTATAGAGAACTTTTTAAATCACTCAAATGGGGTGAGAGAGCAGTACAGTGAACTCCTGTGTACTATTATCCAGATTTGGACCCTATCTGAAGGACAGTGGGAGTTCTTGAAAGGGTTTTAAGCAGGGAAGTCCCACAATCAAATTTGTACCTTAATTGAAAAGATCACCCTGGCATCTGTGTAGAAATTGGATTGGATGGGGACACGAGTGGCTCGTGAGTGGATATGAGGAACCCGCTACAGATGACGGTTGTGTCTGGGCAGATAAGGCAAGTTCTCAGGGCCTGTAACTGATCTCTCCTTGCTGTATTGGTAAATCTGTATTCATACATACCTTTTGGAGAAGTCAGGGAAAATTTTTCTAAAGGATATTGTATTTGAGATGAGTCTTGCAAAGTAGGTAATAAGTCAGGAACCCTGGAATGAGAATGTTCTTGGTGTCAAGGATGGCTATTCCCAGTGACCTTGACAGTATCTCTGCTGAAGTTTCCCCCTTTCCCTTAGGATGTTCCCATTTAAATTACTTGTGACGCTATCATTGTGGTCTTTAGGAGCTTAGAACTCATGATTAAGTATTTTTTCCAGAAAACGAAACGTATTTTTTAGTGATTACGGACAGTTCAGATAAGCTGAAACTTTCCAAGAGGTTTCATTTTTTTTAATCACTTAAGAGTTAGCAAACTAGAATTCATAAAATATACAAATGAACTTTCTTAAAGTGCCTGATTCTGATGCTGCTATGATTTGCTCTGGAGGCCTTATTCTGTCCCACAGAGGATCTGAGCAAAGGAACGAAGGAACCTCACGTGGAAATGCGATCCATTTGTTTCTTTTCCTGATGCTGGGTGCCAAGGAGTGGCTTCGTTCTTAAAGAGACACTGCAGCTTCTGCATAAATCTAGCATACCCAGTGTCATAATGCCGTGATTCAAATTCTTCTTTAAAAGAAGTGTCTGTTTGGAAAAATCAGTGAAATTGGTAGTATGCGGATTTTCCCAATGTATGTGTTGAAAAGACTGAATCTATTTTGACTGGATTTTGTTTTTTATGGATATGCTCCATAAAGCTCAAGTCTCCTCTGTCTCCTGACTGACTGATCATTTGATCTCTGCAATCGTTGGTAGTAAGTGGGATAATATTTGGGAGGGTGTTTGGTAAACCGTGATGTGCAGTACAAATGTAAGGCGGTAGTGGTATTAATTGGAGGTAAACTGAAGCAAAATGAAACTTTTCATCTGGTCATTCCGAGGCCCACTTCATGCTGGTAGCTTAGATGTTTGTCAGGTGGCTCTTTTATTCACTACTGTACAGGACGTGACTTAGGCTCATTCGAGTCACGTGACTGCAACAATTGGGGGAGGTCACTCAATGAACATACATTTTATGTGGTTCGTTTACATGATAGTAATTTATGATAGAAAACACCTAGGCCCTGGCTGGTGTAGCTCAGTGGATTGAACATGGGCTGCGAACCAAAGGGTCTCCAGTTCCATTCCCGGTCAGGGCACATGCCTGGGTTGCAGGCCAGGTCTCCAGTAGGGAGCACACAAGAGGCAACCGCATATTGATGTTTCTCTCCCTCTCTTTCTGCTTCCCTTCCCCTCTCTCTAAAAATAAATAAATAAAATCTTTAAAGAAAAAACCCCTACAGTAATAGTGACTTTACAGCCATGTTAGAATCGTTTTTTACTTCTATGCCATGTTTGCGATAAGTAATTTAGTATATTTTTCCTTGTTAGTCTATGAACTTAATGGGGCAATAGAGACTCTGGCCGTCCTGTCTATCCTTCTATCATAGATTCTAAACCAGCACGCCTTGTACACAGTAGTAAGAGGTTCAGTAAATATATAAATGTTTTTAAAAGTTTAATTAATTAAATCAAAAGTGAAATTTCATAGCCCGGTCAAAATTCAAACTTTTAAGACCGAGTCTGAAGTTGTTTCTTACCAATCCTTGTAACATTGGTTGAAAGAGAGGGGCAGGAAAAGGACAAGCGGAACACGGCATTTTCCATATCTCCTCTGGTCCTCACAACAGCCTTCTGAGGAGGGTAACTGTCTCCAGGTTGCAGGTTAGAAACTGGGGCTTAGTGAAGTTAAACAACACGTTTGAGGCCATCTGGCTCCAACATGATGTAGCCAGTACTCCAGTGCAAGTCAGTTGGAAGCCAAGGTCTCTTCATTCTCTTTTGCTGTCATCAACCAATCAGAACAATTTATCAGTAGCCTGTAACTGTGAAATGATGAAAAATATTAGTATTGTCCTTTGCTGGAGAACAGTAACCTGTCAGTGGGAAACAGAGCGGAATGCTTTAAGGATGGCTGCTGTTCACTTTGCGCTCACTGTGCTCTGTGGAGGAGACAGGACACGCATAGGCCGTGATACCTGTAAGCCGTGATACCTGTCGTCCTTAGGAGATCGTGGCTCCCGTGGAGAGGCTAAAAGACACAACAGAAACAGTAGTCAAGAATATCAGACAACATGACTTAAACACCAAAAATATAAATGCTTTAGGAGGTATTGATAAGGGTTTATTATTTCACCTTTATGATAGAAATGGATCTTGGGTTGAGACTTGGAAGGATAATTAGGATTCCACAGCCTAGAAGGATAATCACAATGGGAGCCAAGCAGTGGAATGAATGTTACGTTTATGATACAAAAAGGGTCATATCCAAACTAAGGGATTGTTTTAGAGGAGTTGCAAATCATGCTGGAAAACTGTCAAGTGGAAAAACAAACAGCACCATCAAAATCTAATGTCCACAGGGGCCGGGATCCTTGTCCGTTTTGTTTTGTACGTACCCGAGCACCTAGAATCGTTCCAGGCATGCAGTCATTGCCTATATACATTTTTAATATTCTTAAAAACTTCAGGTATAATTAGTATGCAGTAAGATTGCACATATTTAAGACATACCATTTAATAAATATTTTAGTATTTTTACATTTTTAATTTAAATAGTACTATTAAATATTTTTAATAGTAAATGGTATTCAACTGTCTTACAGTGTTTTTTTAAAGATTTTATTTGTTTATTTGTAGAGAGGGGAAGGGAGGGAGAAAGAGAGGTAGAGAAACATCATTGTGTGGTTGCCTCTTGCACACCCCCAACTGGGGACCTGGCCTACAACCCAGGCATGTGCCCTGACTGGGAATGGAACTGGCGACTGTTTGGTTCACAGGCCAGCACTTAATCCACTGAGCCACACCAGCCGGGGCTATAATGTTTTATTTCTTAAATAAAAGGAAGCAAGTAAGTCAAAATGTCAATTTTTCTGAATCTGAATGGTAGGGTTGGGTATTTATATTTTCTCTATTTTTAAAATTAATTTATTTATTTTAGACTTTATTTCTTTTTAGAGAGGGGAATGGAGGGAGAGACATATCAATGTGTGGTTGCCTTTTGAGCGCCCCCTACTGGGCGCCTGGCCTGCAACCCAGGCATATGCCCTGACTGGGAATAGAACCCAAGACTCTTTGGTTCCCAGTCCAGTGCTCATTCCACTGAGCCACACCAGCCAAGGCTATTTTTCTCTATTCTTTTGCATATGTTGGAAATGGAAGCTATTAAATAGTTTTAGAGCCCTGGTTGGTGTGGCTCAGTTGGTTGGAGTGTCGCCAAATGAACCAGAAGGGTGTGGGTTCGATTCCTGTCTGGGCACATGCAGCATTGCAGTGTGGTCAGGTGTGTGTGGGAGGCAATCAATCGGTGTTTTTCTCTCTCCCTTCCTCTCTGGAATCAATAAAAATATTTTTTTTAAAAGTGGTTTTAGAAATGATGAGATTTCAAGGACAAAGTCTTAGGAGGAAATGTTAGTGAACACAAAATCCTGTTTTTTTTTTTAACTATATAACTTTATCAAAGTAACATAGGCACACAGTCTAAGGGAGAGTGTGGCTTAGAAAAGGCAGAGTCTGACCTTATCGCTGGGAACGCGGGGGAGGCGCTGCCCCGACCTGTGCTCACCCTCTGCCCCTTTGCATTGCCTCCTTTTTCCTTCCTGTCCGTTTCACCTAGTTTTTCAGAACTTCTCACAATTTTCTCCTGAATAGGCTAAGAAAATAAATTCACTGTCAGTTTATATTCAAGTCATAATGAAAACAATAGAAGTATTTAAGACATTTTTCAAAGATATTTTCCAGAGCGGACTTACTGTTCTACTTCAGTTCCCAGCAAAACAGGCTATCGCGGAATCGGTGCTCCAGCCAAGCCGGCTGTGGCTGTGGGCCGGGCTCCCTTAGCTGCGGGAAATGGACGTCAGAACGTAAAATCCATCAGGCTCTGACATAACCCCATGAAAGGCTGCCACTGGGTCCTCAGTCATGTGGGCCACCTTCCCCCCACCCCCCAGTTCCTTTGGGGACTTTTAAGCGGGGGGGTAGACTATGCCTGGTGCTCATTTTCTTCTGGCTCTGGATGCTGCGGGATGGGTCTGGTGGAAGTTTGGGAGCTGTGACTGATGTCTGCTTTCCATTTAAATATGCTTAAAACTTACATTTTTAAATAGCGGTACTATGTTTATTTTTTGTATAGGTACTCTCCAGGGAGAATGTAAGAAGAATGTTCTTTACTATAATCTGTTTGACAGTTGAAGTATTTTTAATGCTCTGTAGAAATTTGGCTCAATTATATTTCCTTTTGGGTAAAGTGTTTTTCATCAGTTTTAAATCTGTAGTGTAGTCTCTGGGACCTTGATGTCATAAGCAATCTGTCATAACCTAATAATAACATATTCTTAATTATATTGTTTTGGTCCTGGCCAGGTAGCCCAGTTGGTTAGAGCATAATCCCCATATGCCAAGGTTAGGGGTTTGATCCCTGGCCAAGGTCACCGACAAGAATCAACCAATGAATGCATAAATTAGTGGAACAACAAATCAATGTTTCCCTCTTGTTCTCTGTCTCTCCCCCTACCGATCTCTCTCTAAAATCAATAAAACTGTATTTTTTAGGCACATATACAAAGAAGTTGTAATGTGGTGTGCGGGTAACTAACATACAGACTTATTAAAGCATTGCACTCTAGTATTTTTTAAAGCTTATTTCATTTAAAAATGTTAAAATGTCATTGATTTCTTTTTTCTTTCTCTCCATAATCAGTTTGGTTGTGTTTCCCTTAGGTGAATAATCAGACATTCCAGATTAGATAAAACAGGCCTGATTTCTCCTAACCTGAACTTTGACAACGGACAAGTCTAATTTTGCTCTAAGCGGGCAGCTCACAACTATTGTCTCTTTGACTTCGCATGTCATGCTGTTACTCTTTAAGAAAGAGGTGGATGTGGATATGGATATTTCTTTATATTAAAAAAAAGAAAAAGTAATGTTACCCATAAGCTGGGAGAGAAAGGACCGGGTGGAGGGGACAAGGATGGAAGCTGAAAATCTCTGAACATCTCTTGTGATTTAGGTCAACTCAGGAACAGTATCAATGTTTTGCATGCTTAAGAAACAAATGAACTGAATTAACTGTCAGGTTGGTGGTAACACCAGACAGAAATTACTTCAAATAACTTTAAAACATAGTCGTTTTACTATATAGCCTAGTGACAGCTTTGAGTTTGGTGACTTTTTCTTAAGACCCCTTTAGTGCTACTGGAGGGATACAGAATAACATGGTGAAGAATATTAATGCACACATAGGAATGAACTTATTTAAAATAACAAATTTGCAACTTTAGCTCTTGTTTATTTTTACCTTTACAGCAAGGCAGAAGAGAATGAAAGAAGTAGACAATCTTGAAAGTATAAAAAAAGAATGGTAAGTTAATTCAGTCTGTGAAATTTCTTTGTTGTTAATGTCTTTGTTAGTTTTTTTTTTCCTGTTCTGCATTTCACTGACTGGAATAGTGAGTGTTCATTATGATGATCTCAGTTAAATACCTGTTAGTAATATATTTTAAAGTAATTTTTTTACTAGTGGCACATTGAATGGATCTTAGTGAAGTCACTAAATCTTATCATTAATTCAAAAAAATTATTAGGACAGTTTATGTGACAATTGCCAAAAAGCGTACTTTAAGAATTTAAGTGAAATACACTCATTCTTCTTTGGTAAAAAATATATATATTGTTAACTTTTTCTCTGTTCACATATTACTTCTGTCATATAAGTGAGAAATTCAAGCAACTGCTTCCTTAGCCTCTCGTGTTAGAGTCACAGTGGAAATGTGATGGCTTTGCAGTCAGAGGAACTGAGGTTGAACATCGTCTCTGTCACACACTACCTCTCTGGCCTTGCACAATTTAGGTAGATTATTTGAGCTTAAATATCTCATCTATAAACTGGGGCTATACCTAAGTCCCTGAAAGAATTTTGGGGAGAATTAGATGGCAAATATAAAGCACTTAGCTTAGTATTAGTGTATAGAAGACTGTCAATAAATGGTAGATGCAAAATCTATGGCTCTTATCAATATAGATTATTCTCATTCATCTGAGGTGAAGTGTATTTTGTATTGAATATTATGCTTTGTTTTAAATCCTAGAGGTAAATTTCTTTCATTTGTAGTTCATTTAAGGAGACAAACATGTATTTATTTCACACTTGCAAATAATTTGTAAATGCTTCTATACCAAGCCTCTGTTGTTGTTTTCACTAAAGTGTTTATGGTTGTATATATATTTGATATTAACATTGTAACTGTGAGATTGTGTCAGGGGTCTCTAAGACCACCCCCAGGTTTGATGATTTGCCCAGGGGATTCACAGCATAGAATCATACTCATGGCTATGATTCATTACAATGGAAGAACCCAAAGCAAAAGCAGCAAAGGGAAAAGCATACGGGACCCAGTCCAGGAGAAACCAGGCACAAGCTGCCAAGAGTCCTTGCCCAATTGAGTCACCTGGGACATACTTAATTCCCCCAGTATTAAGTTATGATAGCACATGTGAAATGCCATCTGCCAGGAAAGGTCATTGAAAACGAGCCCAGGCTTTTTATTGGGGGCAAGTCACAAACTATAATTCCAGACTCTCATAAGGAAGGTTCACAGGCTTTTGAAAGGACAGCAGTCGGGCCTGCTCTGCCAAGTCTTTCTACCCAAAAACAAGTTGAATGAATGATTTGAAAAACTAAAATTAACTGAGGATGTTTAAAACAGCTTCACTGAGACCTAACTCACATACCAGATGATTTACACATTTAAAGCATTGGATTCGGTGGTATTTGCTATGTTCACAAAGCTGTGCGACCACCACCTCGGTTGATTTTCTAAAATGGTTGCCACCCTGAAGAGAAACCCCGCACCCACTGGCCACCTCCCTCCGTCCTCCTGAACCTGTCCCTGAGAGCCACTGACTCATGTTCTGTCCTCTACATTTGCCTGTCCTGGGCATTTCATAGAAATAGAATCATGTAATGTGTGATCTTTTGTGACCGACGTTGTTCACTTAGCAGATATTTATAAGTTATCAAATTTGTGAGCATAGAGCTATTTATAATGCATCTCCACATACTGTGCTCCAAACCTTTTAAAATCCTAGACTATTTCCTTTTCTAAAGCACTTAGTATAGTGCTTTTTTTAAAAAATTTTTAAATATTTTATTTATTTATTTTTAGAGTGAAAGGGAGGGAGGGAGAGAAACATCAATGTGTGGTTGCCTCATGCATGCTCCCTACCAAGGCCCCAGCCCTCAACCCGGGCACGTGTCCTGACTGGGAATCAAACCAGTGACCTTTCAGTTTGCAGGCTGGCATTCAGTCCACTGAGCCACACCAGCCAGGATAAAAACCTAGACTATTTCTTACTTGTCTTTCTATCTCCCTACCACCTAGCATGTAGTACGTACTGAATACATGTTTGAATGACTTGAAATAACATAATGAATTTCACTCGAATTTACCTACCAAATACATATGATAAAGGAATAAAACTTCAGCTACTCTGGATGCTCACAGCTTTATTGGCTTTCTACTTAGTAATTAGTAATTAAGTAAAAACTTCTTTCTGAACAGAAGAATAATTAAAAAACTGTAACGCATAAAGTGATTGCTGGGGGGAGAGGGGTACAAGGGGACTAAGTGGTGATGGAAAAAATATAATAAAGATTGTATATAAAAAATAATAAAGCGGTGTTAATATTATCTAAAATTAAACACTTACTGTGTGCCAGTATATGCACTGGTCCATACTGCATTCCAGGCACAGGCCGTATGTATATTTGCATTTCATCTTCACAACCATGTGAAATAGGTGGAAGTATCTGCATCTTACAGGTGAGGAAGCCAGATCACATAGAGGCCAAGTTTCTTGCCCAAAGTCAGTGTGACCCTACCAAAGGCACCTAAGCAAACACCAAAGCCTGAGCTTTTAGACAGTATCGTCTGCTGACACACAGCTCTACTGTTAAAGAAAGGGGACAGTCATTCGGACTGTGGGCAGTCGTCTGAGGGTGTGATTGGTTTTGAATGGAAGTATCACGTCAGTGCCTTGGAAAAGGCACAGTTAGTACCGTATGATGATACAGAGTGTCTTAGGAGTAGATGCAGCATTACCTAGGAGAGTGGGAAGAATGCACTTGAAGTATTGCCCTGCCGGCACTTTGATAACAGTGTAATAATGGCTATTTCCAGAGACAGTCTAGCGCAGTGGTTAAGAGCACAGGCATTGGTGACCTGGCTTCAGGTTCCGGCCCTACCTCCCAAAAGCTTTGTGATCTCGGGCACATTGCTTTATCTGTTTAATGGGGATAAAAACAATACGTGCCCTTTATACATTTTTTAAAGATGTCGTTTATCTTTAGAGGGGAAGGGAAGGAGAGAGGGAGAGAAACATCAATGTGTGGTTGCCTCTCATGCGTCCCCTGCTGGGAACTGGCCTGCAACCCAGGCATGTGCCCTGACTGGGAATTGAACCACAGTTGTTTGGTTCGCAGGCCGGCACTCAATCCACTGAGCTACACCATCCAGGGCCAATACGTGCCCTTTAGATCTTTGTGGGGATTGAATGAGTTAACACATGTGAAGTACTTTGAATGGTTCCCAGCATGCATTAATAAATGCTCAGTGAACGCCAGCTATTGAGAGAGGCTTTACAGCATAATATGGTTAGGAATATAGCTTGGAAGACATTCACAGGGTCTAAATTCTGTTTCTGCCACTTACTCCCTGTAACCTCAGACATGTAACTTCACCCATTTGTGACTCAGTTTTCTTACTTATAAAATGTAATAAGAGTATCCGAAGTTCCTGGCATAGTACCAGAGCTATAAAAAGTGTTGATTAAGTATCGCGGTTCGATTCCCAGTCAGGGCACATGCCTGGGTTGCAGGCCAGTTCCCAGCAGGGGACGCACAGGAGGCAACCACACAGTGATATTTCTCTCCCTCTCTCCTTCCCTTCCCCTCTAGAGATAAATAAATAAAATCTTTAAAAAATATAAAAATAAAAATAAAAAAGTGTTGATTATTTCCTGAATCTGATAATGTGTATCTCAGAACATTTATGAACCTTCTATCTATATGGTTTCAAAAAAGATCAGCCAGAAAGAATTTTGCCATCACTGAAATCTTAGGTAATATTTCTTATAATATAAATACAAAGCTAAAGCCAGTATTCCTAAGTGAGCAAAATGGGTGTAGGGATTCAGAAGGTACAGACTCGTAGGTGTCCCATGAATAAGTCGCAGGGACGTGAGGGGCCGCGGGGTGACCATGGCTGCTAATACTGTATCGTGCATTTGAAAGTGGGCAAGGCAAGCCTCAAAAGCGCTCATCGCTGTGTGGCGACGGGCGGTAACTAGACAAGACGTATTGTGGGGATTGTTTTGTAGGTTATACAAATATCAAATTAGCATTTGTACACCTGAAACTAATATAATGTCATATGTCAGGTATGCCTCAATAAAAAGTAAACAGAGTGGAGTATTAAATCACCAGAAATGAAAGTGTCCGGTGGAACCTGTCATTCCAAAATGTGTAAAGTAGCAAAACTGAGATTATGACAGTTCCTGGTGGGTGCAGTGCCTTTAGTTTCAAGAGTGCTTTCTGTCACCAAAATGTACCTCCCAGCCCCTTTGAAAGCCAGTGTGAGCGCTTTACAAAGAGCACATTTTTTACTCTGGACCAGTGGTTTTCAACCTGGTGAGATACCCTGACCCCCGCACACATACACACACACACATACACACACCTCAGAGATGGATTTGGCTGTTACCATGCTTTGGGGGAGGAAGAGTTGCATGCTACTGACATCTAATGGGTCAAGGCCACAGATGCCACTAGACATCCTACAACATATAGGACAGCCTGCACAACAAAGACTGAACTTGAGAAAACCCTGCTGTGCACCAAAAGGGTTCATGACTTCCCAAGGTCACAGATCATTAATGTCTTAATTTAGGAGAGAGTCTGGACAGTGGTCTTAGCAGTGCTTAGCCCCTCAGGGCCAGACCCCTTAACTAGAACAATTCATGTAAATGTTTAGAGTGCGAGTAGTTGGTGATGCTTATTTTTCTTTTTTGCGTATATAGGGTTTGTGAGACAGGATCAGACAACCGGCCTGTGAGTGTTAACCAACAAACAACTTGTGACTATTTTGTTGACAGCCTCTTTGAGGAGGCTCAGAAGGTTGGTGCCAAACGCTTGTCTCCCACCGAACAGAAGAAACAGGTAAATGCCCGTCACTTTTTTCTTTTCCATTGTGTCTCAAAAGGTGGGCCTTTCAGTGGGTCCGTGAGGTCAAAACTGTTGTCAGAACAGTAAGATGTCATTCACTTCGTCACTGTATTGACTTGGCATTGACACCGCAAGAGTGATGTTGGGAGTCAAGCTGTTGGCGCCATAGAAGGAATGAAGGCAGGGACACCAGGTACTGGTGAGTCCTGTGTTCTTCACTTGCACTTGCAGGGAGAAAGTAAACGCTACTTTCAAGTAAGAATGTGCTTGATGAGGCAGTAAACATTATAAACTTTATTAAATCCCAATCCTCCAGTACACATCTTACTAATATTGTGTGATAGAATGTGAAGTACACATAAAGCATTTCTACAATATACAGAAGTGTACATTTTTTTTCTTTTAAAGATTTTATTTATTTATTTTTAGACAGAAGGGAAGGGAGGGGGAAAGAGAGGGAGATAAATATCAGTGTGTGGTTGCCTCTCACACGCCCCCTACTGGGGACCTGGCCCTCAACCCAGCCAGGCACCCTAGACTGGGAATCAATCTGGCGACCCTTTGGTTTGCAGGACGGCACTCAATCCACTAAGCCACACCAGCCAACTCCAGTATATTTTTAATTAACATGATGCATTTTGTTTCTTACTTCTTTGCAGGTAGATGTGAGTATAAAATTATGGAAGAATGGATTCACAGTCAATGACAATTTCCGAAGTTACTCAGATGGTGCAAGTCAACAGTTTCTGAACTCCATCAAAAAAGGGTAAACAAATGCTTGTCCGTAAAGAGAAGGATAATTCTCTTTAGAGAATTATCTATAAAGAGATAGGATAATTATCTGTAAAGAGAAGGATAATTTTGGCCTGTTTCACTTGGAAGAATCCTTTTTAATCTTGCGTACACATGCCTACACATTCATAGATACTTACAAATTTAGATTTTCATAGGATGGGTTCTCTTAAGAGAGCCACACTTTTCATTTTGAAAAGAAGTGTAGGAATTTGAACTCTAACCAAAATCTGACTTAAATGAATTTACTTTGCCAAGAGTTACTTAATACCATGTCCTAGTTGTTCTGTTTAGTAATTTATCTGTAAGTACATTTATAGTCTTTGAACTGTGATCTCTGCTGCACAGGTGCCACATTTGTTTATCCATTTATCAGTGGAAAAGCATTTGGGTCATTTCCACATCTGGGCTGTAATGAATAATGCTACCATGAACTTTGTGTGGGCGTGTGTGTTCAATTGTCTCAGGTCTAAGGACAGAATTGTTGTTAACTCTACGCTTAACGTCATGAGCAGCTGCCGAGCTGTACTCCAGAGTGACTGTGATCTTTTACATTTCCACCCACACTGTACGAGAGCTCTGATTTTTTCATTGCCTCTTGTTAGTGTCAGGTTTTTTGTTTGGTTCTGTTTTTCTGTGATTTTTTTTTCAAAATCCTCACCCGAGGACATGTGTATTGGTTGTAGATGGAGGGGAAGGTAGAGAGGGAGAGAAACATCGATGTGAGAGAAACATGGATGGGTTGCCTTTCATACACTCCTCGACAGGGACCGAACCCACAACCTAGGCATGTGCCCTGACCAGGAACTGCAAGTTTTGGTTGGTGGGAGGACACCCAACCAACTGAGCCACACCAGCTAGGTTTACTGTCAGCTTTCTAAAATTATTATTAGAGCCATCCTGGTGAATATGAAGTGGTAGCTTATTGTGGTTTTGGTTTGCATTTCCCCAGTGACCAGTGATGTTGAGCATTTTTTCATGTGCTTATGAGCCATATGTATATCTTCTTTCAATGAAAAATCTATTCGAGTCCTTTGTCCCTTTTTTCTTTCTTTGCCTATTCTTAAAATTGGTTACTTGGCCCTGGCTGGTGTGGCTCAGTGGATTGAGCACTGGCCTGCAAACCAAAGGGTCGTGGGTAGGATTCCCAGCCAGGGCACATGCCTGGGTTGCAGGCCAGGTCCCCGGTAGGGGGTGCGAGAGAGGCAACCACACACTGATGTTTCTCTCCCTTACTTTCTCCCTCCCTTCCCCTCATTATACCTGTTTTTGAACTTTATGTAAATGTAATGTGTTTTTTTGTGTGTCTGCTCAGCTTCTGTGGGATATTCATCCATGGTGTTGCATGTGGCTATACTTGGCATGAATTACAGAAGCAGTATAAGAAAGATGGATAAATTTGGTTATGTAAATATCAAAAACACATGTGTGTCATGTAAATGGACTATTTACACAATTCCTACAAATCAGTAGGAAGAGAAGGAAAGAATATATGTTTATACCATTCACTCTGCTGCATAACAACATAGTGTGCATTTGGTAAAAATGAATGATGTGTATCTCCATGCTAACATGAGAAAATTTCAATGGTGTAATTACTGTTTTTAAAGAAGCAGTTTGTGGAGAGTGTGTGTAGATTGATACCATCCACAGCAGAAGAAAAATACATAACTATGTGGAGAAAAAAACATCAAAGTTTTTATTGAAGTAAGAATGGTACTATAAGGGCTATCACTTTCAAGTTGATACATGTTTATATTTCTTATGCCTTATTTTTTAGAACATGCATGTATTATTTTTAAATTAAAAAATTTGAAGTATGGCACACAGAAAAGTACATAAATCATAAGCCTGTAGTAAATAGATTTGTATTATTTCAGATGTCAGAAAAAATTATTATTTTGTGAAAACTTAAGATTTGTAATTTGTTTAAAAATTTCCCCGGGTAACATCTTCGCTTATTAATTAGTCAGTTCCATAACCTTGTAAACTTCCAAGGGCCCCTGACATCATAAGATTCAACAGATCTCTGCCTGCCTCCGGCGGCGCCCCCAGCCCTGCTCTTGGGGTTTTGAGGCCCTCCAGTAGCACAGGAGGGGTCCCTGCTGGGTGCTGGACAAGGCCCCAGGCTGAGTTCAGACTTGCATTCCTTTAATCTCTCTGTTAGGGGGGTGACATGGGAAAGTAGTTTAAAAAAGTTTAACATGTTTCACATTTTATTTTCATTTGTTACTTCCAGAGTAAATGTATACTTTTATTTAAAAATTGAAATGAGAGTTTGATTTTCCTAGTGCATTTTTAGCCTTAGTCAGACACCTGTAAAAATGATCAAATTGTTTAAATTTAGCAGCATGTAGTCATCAAATAGCTCATGATTTTTGTACTATTTCTAGGTACTGCTTAATAACTCAAGCTGTTCGTGAATTTGTAGCCTTAAAAATCACTCTGTGTCGTTCTTCCTGGTTTTTGGTACTCATACTATTTAACTATGATTTAAATTAAATGCATTCAGTTTTCTATTGTAAAGCGTATATTTTATTTCTGTGTTTTCCAGTTCTTTGTGCATACAGAGTATGTTTTTCAGAGAAAGAAAGGGCACCTTGTGAGCTTTATCGCTTTGTTTCTTTTCCTCCCAAGGGAACTGCCTTCGGAGCTGGAGGGAACTTTCGATAAAGAGGAGGTGGATGTGAAAGTCGAAGATAAGAAACACGAAGTGTGTGTGTCAACGAAGCCTGTGTTCCAGCCCTTCTCAGGACAGGGCCACCGACTGGGGAGGTGAGTGGGCTCCGGCCCCTGCCGCCCAGAAGCAGGGGCTTGACTGATACTCAGCCCAGTGTTATTTTCCCAGGCAGACCACAAATGTGGGACTCATCACGTCCCCCATTGGAAGTAACGCTTTTCCTGTTGACTTTCTCGAGGACTCCTCTAAGTCATCTTTACCTTCACGTAAATGCGCATAGGCTGGCATGACAATAAAAATATTCTGGAGGCTTGTTTGACTTCATCAGATCCACAGGGCCTGGCTCCTTGAGGGCATTAGGCCAGACTGGGCGGATGGACCATTTCCTCCCCTTTACACCCACTGCTTGGGCTTTGCCGTTAAAGTCGGGGTGCCTGTGCTAGTTTTGGAGCACAGGGCTCCTCCCACCCTGCGCTCCCCACTGCTTTCAGCATCGTGTCCTGTATCCGGTGTCTGGATTTTGAGGTAATAAAATAAAAAGTGCCTGATACAATTAGTGTCAGTATCAAGACCTGCATTTAAAAAATTTTTTATTTCTGTTAATGAAAATAAGCTTTATCGTCAAGTGATAAATATGTTCAAAGAGGTAAACAGCATTAGTCATTTTTTTCTTCCTGATGTTTGCAGTATCAAAACCTTCAGGATTTGCAGTCTTCATGATATCATTATATCATTAGGCATTATGACAGAATATGCAAAGAGGTCATATGTGGGATCACTTTTATTTTCATGAATTCTCATATAATAATTATCAAATTGGTAAGGTATATACAGATTCATCCACATATATAAAAATATCTTGATGTGACTTTCAGAATGATCAGAAAATACTTTGTTGCCTGGGTTGTAGGCCAGGTCCCCAGTAGGGGGAACATGAGAGGCAACCACACATTGATGTTTCTCTCCCTCTCTTTCTCCCTGCCTTCCCCACTCTCTAAAAATAAATAAATAAAATCTTTTTAAAAGATAACAAAATTTTTTTTAAATAAAATACTTTTTTCTTAAAGATTTTAAGATTTTGTTATTATTGTTTTATTATTTAATATTTAAAGATTTTATTAAATAATGATAAGATTTTTATTATTATTTATTTAAAGATTTTATTTATTATTTTAATGCTTTTTTCTTATGAGATTTTATTTTTTTTAGAGAGAGGAGAAAAGAGGGAGAAGGAGAGGGAGGAGAACATCAGTATGCAAGAGATACATCATTCGGTTGCCTCTCTTACTTGCCCAAGGGGGGACCTGGCCTGCAACCCAGGCATGTGCCCTGACTGGGAATCACACTGGCGACCCTTTGGTTTGCAGGCCGGCACTCAGTCCACCGAGCCACACCAGCCAGGCCTGTTTCCTTTCTTTTACCAAGGACTAATCTCTATGGAGAATTTATCATTTCTTTTAGAAATTTTAATCCGGAGTGGGTAAAGTCCAAATTATTCAAATATAGTACTAACAATATATTTATGCAGCATTTTCTATACACCTACAAATTACTCAGATAGGCATAGTTTCATTAGATTTCTATAATCATATATAATGGACATAACTAACACTAATATCTTTATGTTATTATTGAGGAAACAGTGTGACTCCCCAAAATCTTCCCAAAAGCTGTACTTAATGGAAAGTGTTTATAGTAACTGTTTAATGATAAAGCTTTGCTTAATGAGAAAAACCATGCACCTGACTTTGTTGTCTGGATCTGTTTTAGTGCTACACCAAAAATTATTTCTAAAGCAAAAAGCATTGAAGTTGAGAAGAAAAGTGATTTGTCTCTTGTCCCACTAAACCGCCTGGAACCCATCACTAGTGTACAGATCTGGTTAGCCAGTGGGAAGAGGGTTGTTCAGAAATTTAACCTGTCTCACAGGTGAGTCTTTCGTTTCATCACCTCTGATTTCTTATCTCATTTTAATTTTTACTTCTTTTATTTAATTCAGTCAAGAGTCACTTTAAGGATTAACCAAGGATCTTAATCAACAGTTCTCTAAACATGATTTATCATGACAGTAGAAATTCTTAGGCATTAATGAAGTATTTTCAGTCTGGTTTATGGATTATCTTTTCATTTGAATAATTTTCCGATTTAACTAGATACATTATTTTATTTTATTTATTAAAAGATTTTATTTGTTTATTTTTGGAGAAGGGAAGGGAGGGAAAAAGAGAGGGAGAGAAACAGTGTGTGGTTGCCTCTTGTGCGCCCCCTACTGGGGACCTGGCCCACAGCCCAGGCACGTGCCCTAGACTGGGAATCAAATAGGCGACCCTTTGGTTCACAGGCTGGCGCTCAAACCACTGAGCCACACCAGCCAGGGCTAGATACATAAATTTAAAAGAATTCTTTTTAATATATATTTAAAAATCAATCATTAGCCTTACATGTATATCCGTCTGTTAATTGTAGAAGAATCAAAATACGGAAAAGTATTGAAAGAAATTGAAGTCAAATTAAATCCATCACCCAGAGATAATCACTATGATCAGTTTGGTGAAATTGTCCAGTTGTTTGGGTCTTTTTAATTTTTTTTTATTTTGATGAAAACTAGGAACATTGTATATATAGGTTGCCTTCTTTATTTAAAAACATTTTTAGAGTTTTGGGGGGGAATATTATACAGATAATCAAAAAATATATGAGCTCTATCCAAAAGGCATCCAGCCATGTAATATGAAAATTTGAGACATTTATTGAAGAAGATACAAGATATAAGAAACATTGTACATAGAACAATGACACCTCAGTCCCCTTCAAAGTAGGCACCTTGAGAGCTCACACAGTTCTCCCAGTCGCCATCAGGTGCCCTGTTATATTTTCCTGAACCTCATCAATGGTCTGAAATCTCTTCCCTTTCAAAGGTGATTTTAGTTTTGGGAAAAGCCAGAGGTTACAGGGTGCCAGATCTGTAGGGGCATTGAGTCACCTGGGTGATTTGATGTTTCACTAAAACAGTCTACATGATGCCCTGGCTGGTGCAGTTCAGTGGAGAGCACTAGCCTAAGAACCAAAAGGTCACCGGTTTGATTACCAGTCAGGGCACGTCGCCTGAATTGCGGGCCAGTACGCAAGAGGCAGCCAATCCATATAAGAGGCAACCAACTGATGTTTTGCTCACATCGATGTTTCTCTCCCTCTCTTTCTCCCTCCTTTCCCCTTTCTCTAAAAATAAATAAATAAAATCTTGCAAAACTATTACAAAAAAAAATCTGCATGAAATATGGTTGGTGCATGAGCAAGCTCATTGTTGTGATGAAGCTACCAATCACCAGTTGCCCGTAGCTGTGGCCTTCTAAGTCATCTCAACAGTTTACCTGAAGGGATGTTCAAGCTAAATGCAGATTTTGATACAGATTCATTGCTCCACTCACTCAGTTATTTTGAATGCCACAGCTACACAGTACACATGCTCACTGGCCAGAATCTACCACTGCCGCTGACTAGTACAGTGAAGTCATCATTGTTCACACATGCACATTCCAGTCCACTCTCCCTGGCTGCCCGGTTACACTGATGTCGTGCAAATCATTCTCATTATATTAACAGTGGCTGGACTTTTCCCAGCAGACCTCATACATACATAGTTAAAATAATAATAAAATAAACACAACGGTACCACCTAGCTCAAAACATACTTCTGACATTTCCCATCACAAGTAGTCACCTAGATTTCTTTCCCCCAAATGACTAAAGCATTTAAAAAACTTTGAGTGGCCTACTGTATATATTAAGTGATGATTAATCAGGGTTTTGTTTTTAAATTGGAGTGTTTAGTCCACTTACAGTACATGTAGTATAGCACATGTAGTACTGAACTGGTGGGTTCAATGCTCCCATCTTGCTCTTTGTTCCCTCTTTGTTCTGTATTCCTTCTTGTCCTTCCTTTGAGCTTTACAGGTATGTTTTCATCCTCTTACAGCTGTTAAGATTTGCATTTTTTTTATTATCTAAATGTGATTGTAGAGATCCCAGTATACATTTGTAATTTTTCCTGCACAGATCCTTTAATCCTTACTGTCTTCTGACTTTTTATCTTCATATTGTGTGCCATACACTTTAGCACTTAGTTATCCAATTTTTGGTACTCAGACACACAGGAACCATGTCCTAGCCTTTTTTAGTAACCGCCCAGGTTCATTCGAGTGGCAGTCTGTGAGTTTTAGTGAACTGACTGAATGGGAGAGTTTTGTCTTTCGCAGTGTGCCGTGCCTCGTTAATTCTGAGTTGCACCGTTTTTCTCGTTTTTGCATCTTTGCCATGGGGACGCACCCATTGCTGGCCACATGGCAATCATGTCACAGTTGTCTCTGCCGAGTCTCAGCCCGAAAGCCTGCAAACAGGTGTCAGGTGAACAGAAAGCATCCCAGGGACAGTACTAGAGCACTTTCTGAAAGGAATCCTGTATCACCAACACAACTGATGATTCAGAGGGCGGGTACCAGGTGGAAACACGTGTGCACAAATGACCGAATGTAAAGTGCTTCCAAGGACCCAAGTCTGAGTGGTGCTCCAGTATTAGGAATGACTGAACCATTTTATTCAATGAAGCACATGAGTGATTTGATAAACGTGTGTATGAAATTAAGTTAAAGGTTCTCTTTCAATAAATATAAAATGAAATTCTGTGTTAAGAGGGTATTTTGTCATAGTCTGGAATTTTTAAGTAATACATAAAATGATGTGTCTTAAAACCAATGGCATCTTAGTTTTAATGAACCACAGACATGCTCTCCCTGTATAAATACACACACACTCTTAGGTGAATGTAACTTGGTGCTAACTTCAAGACTGCAATCATTATTTTACACAGTGTTCCTTGTACTCCGATTCCACGTGCACTGGTAAGGATCTTCCCACTTGCATTTGAGGCCCAGCATGACCTGGGTTTTAAGAGAAACCTGTCTGTCTGTGTAGAGTTACTAGTTGGACCTTTTCTCCTCTGTTCATAGCTGGATATGTAGACACAAAAACTTTCTATTACAGAAATTTTGAGATATGAAAAAGAGAAGATAATGATCTATCACTTGGTTTCCACTGAACTATTTTTAAGCAAATCCCAGACTGCATGCAGTTTCATATGCCAATCTTTCAGCATGTGTCTCTAAAAGACACTCTTTAAAAATGTAACCATCACCCCCTTGTCACACCTAAGGTAATTCATAGTAATTCCTTACTATCACCAAGGGCCAACCTTTAAAGCCCAAATGATCGGTTCTGTCATTGTAATTTGCATGTTCTGTGTGATAGCACAGGTAGATATCTTCACCAGTTACGACTTTAAATTAGCTAGTTCAGATTTTCATAAAACTGTATTAATAGTTTGTGCCATTCTCCAGGATAAGCCACATCAAAGACTTCATTGAAAAGTACCAAGGATCTCAGAGAAGTCCTCCGTTTTCCCTGGCGACAGCTCTTCCCTCCCTGAGATTGCTAGATGAAACGCTCACCTTGGAAGAAGCCCGTTTACAGAATGCTGTAATCATTCAGAGACTCCAAAAAACCACCGAACCTTTTAGAGAACTCTCGTAACATTGATTTTTGAAACACTAAGTGGAAAGTTCACAGAGAAGTGGCGGTTATATAAGTGGATGTGCAAACCAGAATGGGGCAGAGTCAGGTCCCCTGGACTTTGGGCTTGAGTCCTATTTATTTCCCTCCGGATGAGAAGATTTTTAAGTAAGTACAGGTGAGGAGAGTAAACTGTGGCTGGAAACTATATTCAGTGCACTGTCTCCCGAAGGCTACTCAGAAAATATACTTATTTTTAAATACCAATTACCAACCTAAGATATATAAAATGACTGTGTCATTTAGTATCTTAATGTGGTACAAATCAGCAAATATGTTCACAGTATCATCCATTTAAACATCATTCCCCAACAGCAGTGATTTATTTAAATGTTAGCTGTCTCAGATTTTTTTAATGGCAGTACATTAAAAATTATACATAGCAGGTTAAAAGCATCAATGTCGTTATATCACACCTGAGATGCAATCAAAAGGCTGGCAAGGAATTGCTTTCACTACAGCTGTGCCTAAACCTCATGTTCTCATTTGAATTTTCTGATGGTAGGATGTTAATTTGACAGTAGTATCTAAGATGTTTTTTCATGTAAGAATAAAAATCTGTAGCTTAGTAAAATGTCAGTATTGATCTGCCTACTCACATTTCCACATTTTCGAGAAAGGTCATTTTTAAAACTTTTCTCTCCGAGAACCCCAGTTTACCCCCTATTTTATTTTCTTTCAATAATGAGAGACTTGTTCTTAGCTTACATTTGGAGTAAGTCATTCATTTGAGACTACTTAGCTAGAATTGATGTGGCATCACATTGCTTATTAATATTTTTAAATCCAGCATGTACTGTATGGTTTTTCTGTTCTGTACATTAGAGTCAACCTGTGTGTATACCTCAAAAGATTATTTATTACATTTTGATATCACCAAGGAAAACACCCTTTTTTCTTAGACTTTAAAACTGGTTAGACTTCACTATTTCACCGTTGGATTGAATTCCCTTGCCCAAAAGCTAAGTTTAGGATGCTTTTTTGCAAACCATGTGTCGAATCACATTTAAAGTGAAGGAAGTATTTCCTTGGTGCACCAAGGAACTAGGCAGCCGCGCCCGCGAGGAGCGGTGGTCAGAGGGCGTCGGATCTCTGCCAGAGAGAGTAATTCTCCAACTTTTTGGTCTCAAGACCTTTTATGGATGTGGGTTATAAATATATCAAAAATTGTTATCAAATATTTATTCCTTTAAAAGTAATAAACATGTTAATATAAACATCATTATGAAAAAATTCTATTTTCCAAAACAAAACTAAAAAGATTTAATGAGAAAAGTGGCATCGTATTCCATTTTTGCTCATGTCTTTCCCGTCTGACTTAAAGAAGACAGACGGACTCTTGTGTCTGCTTCTACATTCAATCTGTTCTGAGATCACACATCGTGTGGCCTCCAGTAAACGCTACTGTACGTTCATGAGCGGATGAGCAAAACAAATAATGTCTTAGTATGATTGTGAAAATAGTTCTGACCTTGTGGACCCCCTGAAAGAGCCAGTCTTACAGAGCAGTGATTCTCAAGCCCTAGAGTAAGAATCACTTGGGAAGCTTTTCAGAACGCCTGTTCCTGCTTCTCACCGCGGACTTTCTGACTCATCAGATCTGGGGCGAATCCCAGACCTCTGCATTTTTCATCCCATTTGATTCTTATGTACGGAGTGGAGAATGGGCCTCCAGGAAACCCTGCACTAAAGCTTCCCCCTAAGAAAACAACGCCACGTGTCACCTCGGACCGTGGAAGACCCTCCCCTGATATGGGGCTGCCCGTCCTCCAGGTTTTATCTTCTTCTGTCAGTTTGTTCTTAGACTGTTCCCCTTTCACTCTGAACTAATCATGGCCTAAACCTGTACTTTATCTTCTAAAAGCACAGCTGCGACGAGGCTGCAACAGTTAAATGAGCTTTTTATGAAAGGCTCAGGAGTAACAGGAGGGAGGCGCTCACACAGAACTAGAAGGCCTGTTCCGTAAGAGACGTGTTCTGAGTGAGGTCCATCTGAAGAGTGCTTGCTTTCTGGTCCCGGCCTTCTGGGTGGCAGAGGCCTTTCATTAGGAAGAGAAGGAGGACAGAGGAAAACCGTTTCCCTTTGTTATTTACTCTCAGAAATGAACAGATAGGTCATTGAAAATAAATATTATCAGTAATGTTTACAGTTGTGGTGGAGCCATCTCTCTAGTAAAACAAAAATAATGACATTTTTAAAAATAATGAGGGGACAGTAAAATCAATGAACTTCTCTTTCATATAAAATAATATTAAGATTATTAATATATTTCCAAGACTATGTACGAAAAATGTTTCACATAGGCCTATCATGAAGCATTTTATAATCTCTACTTGCATAATTATAGTCATTATGTGATTCTCTATATATTTCTATAAAGGGGCCTCTCATTAGAAATATTTGTCTTGTACCTACAGAAAAGCCTCTTTCATGGGTTTTCCAGTTTATAATTACGTGATCAGAAGGCACATCGGAGGCTGTCCCATGCGTCCGTGGAGAATACCCCCCAGGGGGGAGGAGTTCATAGGGAAAGACCTGCCACCAGCAATGACCTTCATTTCTGTTACCTGTAAAAATGTTCATTGACGTGAATAATAGCCTTAGAGTTTTTCTAAAATTAGAATCATCTGATGAAGCTTTTTACGTGAAATCAGTTGCCCATTGTAAAGTTGTTAATTAAATGTATAGAATATTCAAAACATGTTGATTTTAGAAAACATAAACTGAATTTATCAAGGGAAGGCAAAATGGAAAATAAACATCTTAGGTGTGGAATATAATTTGAACTAAGTAGTTCAAAAAGGTTTTCAGTTTCTTGAAAATCATTGTTAGGGCCAGTACATAAACATACATTTCTAATTTTGAGAGTCTAGTGTATTGGTTAAATTACTATGCATTATCCAGGTTACAAAAGTGATCTTATTTATTTTATATACTTTTCTCATTCAGAATACTTTTTACTGCATTTCATTGTGCTGAAAATATGGTATTTATGCATCTATTTTAGTGCCTTAAAATACTTTGAAAGCAATCCTTTACTAATGGTTAAAAGAACTGTTGTCTTAAGTAAGGGTGAAATACTATTTATTAAGGATCTGTGAAATAATTTATACTTGTTTGGTCTAAAATAGTTACATACAGGTGCATTTGTCATTTTTATTTGGCAAACTCAGTTTGAGAATCTACAAATATTTATTAGGTGCCTTCTGTTTGCCAGGTACTTTAACCAATGTTACTTTCACTTAATACTCAGAGATGTTAGAATGTGATATTTTTAATACTAACTCAGTGGTTGTGTTTCTTTTTTACACCATCCTTTGTGACCTGAGTTGAACTAGCACGACGATCCTATGGTAGGGTTTACTCATTTGTTCTTTGTCTAAGTGCAAACCATTTAATTAAAAAATTGTTTATCACAGTAAATAAATATTGCAGCAGCAGTGCTTTGTGCAATAGACTCATATTTGACTGTTGTTTGCCTTAAATGTATTTTTGTACAGGTAATTCATATTCATTGCAGAAAATTATAAAATGCACATACGTTTAAATGATCTTTAAATCACATATCATTCCACCACTCAAGATAACCACAGATAGCATTTGGATATGCATTGTTTCAGATATTTTTAAGTATATCAATCTTTAGTGTTGTTTTAATTAAAAAGCAAGCTTTTTGGTTATTATACTGCTAATTTCTGAAATCTAACATACTTGTTTTTTAACAGAAAATTGCATTAGTTACATGCCACTACTTCAAGTACAAGCATAGCTGTTAGGGACAGATACCTTTTATATTAATTACATTTTTGTGCAACAAAAAGATGGAGGGATTTTTTTTTTACCCAATTCAAAATGAAAATTGTAGTATGATACGCAACAAAGTCCAAATACTGGGAATTAAGTGTTGCCAGACCTGCTGAAAATACATATAAAATGTTTTAATTAAAAGTATATTATGTCCCTGGCTGGTGTAGCTCAGTGGCTTGAATGCGGGCCTGGGAACCAAAGGATTGTGGTTTGATTCCCAGTCAGGGCACACGCCTGGGTTGCAGGCCAGTTCCCAGCAGGGGACCCACGAGAGGCAACCATACATTGATATTTCTCTCCCTCTATCCTTCCCTTCCCCTCTAAAGATAAATAAATAAAATTTTAAAAGTATATTATGTGTTTAAACAGTTTACGTTTAATTTTCAAGAAATTAAATAGCACATTCATTAACTCATTGTACGTCCACTGCTGATAGGGCTGCAATCAAGGGGACAGAAGGTATTCACTTTGTATATTAAAGAATCCAGGGATATTTCACGATATATACAAATACTAATCAGGCAGTACACCTGAAACTAATATAATGTTAATTGCCAATTGTACCTCAATTTAAGAAAAGAACTGAAGTGTGGAAAATAGAAGGCATGACTTGCTTTAGACTAAGGAGCGGACGCTGGAGGCTCCCAGACTCCTGTGTCGTTGACCTGTCCGTCTCAGCGTGTGATCTCACGATCACATGGACATTTCACCCCATAGGAAGAAGCACACTCCTGCCCTTTACAAACAAACAAAAAAGATGCTTCACTGGGATGTAATTCACATACCTCACGATTCGCCCGTTCAGAGTTTTCAGTGTATTCACAGGACTGTGCGGCCATCGCTCAGTCTAATGTGAGGACACTTTCATTCCTTCTACAAGAAGCTCCACCCCCACGAGCAGTCATTCTCCGCCCTCCGTCCTAGGCAACCTCAAATCTGCAGCCTATTCCTAGACAGAACTATTCTGGACATTTCAGGTCAGTGGAATCACACAACACGCAGTCTTCTGTGACCAGTGTCTTTTCTTCTTATTAATTTATGTTTTCAAAGTGTTTTCTTATATTGATTCTAGAGAGAGGGAAGAGGGGGGAGAAGAGGGAGAGCATCATTGGTCCATGGCCTCCTGCACAAGCCCGGACCCCCGACCCGGGCTCGGAGCTCACAACCCCGGGCATGTGCCCTGACTGGGAGTTGAACGCTCCAGCTTTCAGTTTGTGGGACGATGCCTAACCACCTGAGCCTCATCAGCCAGGGCTAGGACTTCAGCCAGGGCTACCTCTCACTTAATGTTTTCAGCCTTTATCCATGTCCTTTTTGCTGCTGAGTAATAGTCATTGTATGGAAATACCTACCACCCTCGCTCATCCACCAACTGATGGACAGCTGCGCCGTTTCCACAGTTTGGCTGCCATAAACAATGTTGCTATGAATGTTGTTGTGTGAACATGCTTCATTTCTCTGGAGTATATCCTTAGGAGTGGTGTTGCTGGGTCATATGCTAATTCCCATTTAATCTTTTGAAAAACTGCCGGTTTTCCCAAGTGCCTGCCCTACTTCACACTCCCACCAGCAGGGACATGTGATTTCTCCACATCCTCCCCAACACTCGGGACCGACGTCATCTGTCCTTTTGAGAAGAGCCATCCACCTGGAGTGGTAGCCTAAAGTTTTACATTTACCTAATGACATGAGTGTCTTCTCATGTCTCCATTTGGAGAAATATCTCAGAATCCTTTGCTCATTTCTAAGTTTGGTTGTTTGTCTTGTTATTGAGTTGGAAGAGCTATTTATATAGTCCAACACAAGTCCTTATGATTTGCAAATATTCCATTGTGTGGGTCATCTTTTCACTTAGTTGGTTGGCTTGCAGCCCAAAGGTTTTCATTATGCTGTACAGTCCGTTTGGGCTTGGGGGTGTCTCATCCGAAAAAGAATTACATAACTCACACTTGTGAAGCTTTGCTGCTGGTTTCTTCCAAGAGCTTTCTAGTTTTAGCCCTTACACTTAGGTCTGCGATACATTTTTCACTCGAGTTTCACGTGTGACGTAACCCCTTTCTTTTTAAGGACCTACCTGGGAAATTGTGTCCCTCAGACTGCCTTCATTCACTGGCCAGAATTTATGGGGCCACACCCCTGTTTTGTATGAGGCTGGAAAATATATATTGCGGGCATCCGATATCAAATTTAGCAGTTTACAAGCCTGTTCAGCCGTAATCTTAATCCAAACAAGTCGATTCTATTGCTTCATTTTTTCAAATACATTTACTTGCTGAGTTTCACCCACAAGGATTTGGCAGGAGAGTTGAGCTCCAACTGCCTCCGGTTCTCACCCGCTGGCGGACCACCCCCCGAGGGAAACAGTGCCCAGGGTCTTCTTCCCCCAGTGAGTCTGATCTCTAGGTATTTTCCCCTTTGGGGAAAAAGAAACTCACAGCTTCCCGGATTCTGGCCTTTCCCCAGCAGGCCCAGCCCCCCACCCCCTCGCTGCGCCCTCTCCACGAGGGATCCGCCCTCCCCGCGGGCAGATAGCCCCGGGGTCGCAGGCGCTACAGCTGTGCAGGATGGCGGCTTCCGCCGGAGGGACCCAGGCACCTACGGACCAGGTGCCAGTGCCCCAAGGGGAAGCACTCACCCTGGAACCCTGCTCGGTGAGCTCAAAAAAAGCGCGGTGCCACAGGGGAGCTGGGAGTAGCCTGAGGCGGGGAGTGCGGGCGCGGGGGACAGAGGGGCCCCAGGGGCCTCGAGGGAGTGGAATGGCAGCCCCTGACCTACCTTTCAGGGTCCTTCACCTGCACTGCCCCTAGTGGGTGGGGTTCGCCACTTGAGAGCCCAGAGGCTGAGGAGTCTCTGGAGCCCGGAAGAGAATAAATAGCGTGCGCAACTGAGTCCTAGGTGAGGGAGTCACTTGCTGGGTCCATTCAACTCGCCAGGCAGGACCAGGGCCTGTCTCTGGTGTCCTGATTCCCAGCCTAGGGCTCCCGCCGGCCCCCCTCCCCGCCCTCCCAGAGACATCGCACAGGTGTGCCTGCGGAGGCCGCCTTCCTGGCCCAGTCCCCACCGCCTCAAACCCCGGCCTTGTCCAGGCACCAGGCTCTCCTTCGGCAGATTGTCCCCAGAGATGTCCTTCCTGGCCACCGGGCCCCAGGGTGATGTTGGGGGACAGGTGGGAAACTAGGGGTGGTGGTGCTGGGACCCATGTCACAAGGGTGGGGGTGCTGGCGTTGGTGTCTGCTGAATGTAAAATCCGGCCGGGCTCCGAGGAGCGTTCATCGTCTGTGGCTTCACTGCGCCACCCACTCCACTTCCTACGGCCTCCGCTGCTCAGGCTCCTCGGAGCAAAGGACTGTGGCCCCTGAGAAACGGATTCCGCTGGAGAGGCTCCCTGAGGACTTGCATTTTCTGGGTTAGAAATTCAGGGCGAGAGGAATGGCAAGAGGGGAACCAACGTGGCCAACAAATTGCCGGCTTTCAATTCTCTTAACAACCCTATGAGGTTGTATTATCTCCACTTAACATGAGAAGAAACTGAGGCAGCCACGTCAAGTGACCTGGCCTGGGTCACACGGCTGGAAATGGCAGGTGCAGAATTTGAATCCGAGTGTGTCTAACGCTAAAACTTGTGCGTAGCCAGCTGTGAAGGGCGTCTGATAACAAGCACATAAAACTGTCAAGATTCCAAGATCATGTGTATCATAGACCTAGTTTCAGTTGGAATTTTTCACCCCCTATCATTCAAGTGCCTTCTATGTGCCAGAAACTTGCTAAGCACATTGAGGGGGTAAGAACCCCATTATGGGGGGTGGGCAGGAGAGCTATCCTGGTGGATTCTGCCTATTGTTAAAAGTTCTCTGGAAGCTGAAATAATGTTCACACAATGCCAGAAAAGGAGGCCACATCCTGCTTCATGTGTGGTTTTCTTCTGTGTGTAGGAAGAGTGTGCAAAGGATATGATAAACTCTTATCTGGGAAGACCTTCCCTTCAAAAGAGTCCCTCTGGGTGTCCTGCAAGATACCAAAGTGGGTGAAGCCATAGTCCCCACCACTCTCCCACCCGTCCCCTAGCAAAGAAGGGAAAGAAGTCCCAGCATCTTGCAGAGAAAGAGCACTTTACACAGTGTCTTCATGGCATTTGCTCCTTCAGCAAATACATCCTGAGTGTTACTATGTATCGAGCATTGTTCTAGGCACTGGGGACACAGGGTGGCGAATAAACAGGTCATGCTCTAGACGACGCGCCTCTGATGGAGAGAGGCAGGAGACAAGCAGGAGCTTCTCAGTCAGTAAGCACAACTGAAGAGAGACATGGGTGGCCAGGGAAGGCCACTCTAAGAATATGACACGCAGGCTTAAACGTGAATGACAAGGAGTCAGCTCTGCAAGGACCTGAAGAAAGGGCTTCTCAGACAGAAGGAACAGGAAGTGCAAAGGCCCTGAGGCAGCAGTACGCTTGGCCATTTTGAGGAATAGGAAGGGAGATCCCGTGATGGAGGGGAGCTATTTGAAGTGAGGCGGGAATGGGGGCAGACCGGGTGGGCTCTTGTAGGCTATATGGTGAGGACTTGGAGGGTTTTTTGTTTGGTTTTGATTTTTAGAAAGGGAAAAGAGAGGAGTAGGGAGAGAGAAACCCACTGATGTGCTGTTCTACTTATGCAGTTGTTGTTTGATGTTCATATGTGCCCGGACTGGGGATCAAACCTGCAACCTTGGTGCACTAGCACAGTGCTCTAACCAACTGAGCTACACAGCCAGGGCAGGACTTGGAGTTTTACTCAGAGTTTGTGGTCAACCTGTGGGAGGGTTTTAGGCAGAGAGGAGACACAACCTAGCTGTTAGGAAAAGATCACTTTGGCTGCTGGATGGAGAGTGGATAGTAGGGGCCGAGAGCAGGAGCAGGGGAGCCTCTAAGGAGACTCTCACAGATCAGACAGGGGGCTCAGGAAGGGGGAGGCAAGGGTGACTCCTGGGTCTATGGCCTGAGCTGCTGAGTGGACATTGGGGTCCCTTAATGCAATGGGACAAGAGGGTGAGGAGTCCATTGAAACAATGGAACAGGAATCAAGCTGTGTGTTTGACCATGTTAGTCAACCACATAGGGGTGTGAGGAGGCGGTCGCATATTTGAGTCCGGGGTCTGCTGGGTAGCTTAGGGCTTGGGACACACACACACACACACACACACACACACACACACACACACACACACTTGGGATCATAAACATTACTTCACTTCAGCGGTAGCCTGGTAAACAGTCTGGGGAGCAGGGGCTCTGATTGGTAATGTTTGCTGATTTCAGGGGTGTAAATACTCTCACTGTGGCTGGTTTCAGGCTGCTAGTTGTTCAACATCTGGCTGCAAACGTCCTGAACATCTAACGATCTGCTCCCAGTACCAGCACCTCATTTGCTCCTGGAAGCAGCTCTGTGCAGCCCTGGCCGGTGGGGCTCCATTGCTCGGGCATCAGCCCAGAAAGCACACGGTCCTTGGTTCCATTCTTCCCAGAGTGCTTACCAGAGGCGACCCATCAATGTGCCTTTCCCCTTCTCTAAAACCAAAAAATCTTAAAAAAAGAAAAACCAACCCTGTGAAGTTGGCCGGACTTTTCCATTCGAAGGCCTGGAGAGAGAAAGTGGCTTTATTCAAGGTCACACAGGGACCCGGTGGTGAAGATGGGGGCCTCCTGATCCCTAGTTCACTCAGGCTTGCTGACTCAGAAAACACTAAAGCAGGAAGTGCTGAGGGGGAAATATAGGGAAGAACTTCCCCCTGGAAAAGTTTAGAGGTCATGTTCTAGTATTTTTATCTTTTTTCTGTCTTACTTCCCTTTAAGATGATTTGGGGCAAATTAGGACGGAGAGGCTGCAGGAAAATCCCTGGAGACCGAGGGACTCAGGATGCTTCTGGAAGCCAGGGCTGTGTGTCTGTGAGGGCGGGGCTTACCTAGCTCCTCTGTCTCCCCCAGGACAGCAGAGCTGGTCGCCTCTCATTCTGCACGAAGGTGTGCTACGGCATTGGCGGGGTCCCCAACCAAGTGGCCTCCAGTGCCACAGCCTTTTACCTGCAGCTGTTCCTGCTAGATGTGGCACAGGTAAGTGTGGGCATCCGCCCAGGACCTCCTATTCCCATCTTCCGTGGCCCCTGGTCCTTCTACCCCCACCACCCTTCCCAGATAGCACTTTTGACCTAAGCTATGGAGGGCAACCCCCTCAAGGGTGTTCACTGCAGCCTGGTTGCAGTGGAAAACGGGAAACAATGTGAACACCCAACAACATGGAAGCATCTGGGTAATAGGTTGTGCCGTCTCCAGTTGGTCCATAAATGGACAATTATGTAGCCGTTTAAAGAATGTGGCGGATCTATAGCAGTTAATTTGGAGGGATTTCCGTGATGCCCTGCTCAGTGAGAAAAGTTAGTTTTAGAGAAGAGTATGTAAAATGATCCCGTGTTAGTAGAACAAAGACATGCCCCATACGCGTGTGTATGTGTGTATGAGTCAGTACATGATTAAAAATGAGCATGGAGAAAATGTACAGAAAATCGCTTTAGGCTGTTAATGTTGGCTGTACATGCGAGGCAATGGTAGAGAATAGAGGATACGCTAAAAAGAAATTTTAATGAGGTATTAATGACTTTTATATGACACTGATATGGTTGCATTTATATAAGGTCGTAAGTCACAAATGTAGATAAACGCATGAAAGGATGATCATCGAAATGCATCTGGAAGTTGTCTCAGGATGGTGGCATTTCAGATGAGCTTTGCTCAATATTTTTCTGTACTGCTTGAATGTTTTTATAGTGAGCGGATCATTTATGTAACCAGAAAATCAATAAAAACATTTTCACTATGAGACAGAAAGTCTAGACTGTCACCCTGGGTGCACCCTTCTTGCACTGGGCCACCTCAGATGGGGGTCCCTCATATCTTCTCCAAAGGGACCGGGCATGAGTAACAATGGCAGTGTGCCGATGTGTGGCCGTCAGCTCCCTCCGTTGCCCCTTCCTTCACTAGTGCAGATGTGCCCTGAGAGCCTTCAAGGTAGTGTGCTGGCCAGGAGGCCGGACAGACGTCCCACTGTGCCTCTGGCCCCAGCCAGCTCGCCAGCTCGCCATCCCGGTGCGTGGGCAGGCCTGGACAGCCGCTCCAAATCGGCCAGTCCTTGGCTCTCTCCTCCCCTGTCCGTCTCAGATCCCCGCCGCCCAGGTGTCACTTGTGCTGTTTGGAGGGAAGGTGTCCGGGGCAGCTGCTGACCCGGTGGCTGGGTTCCTCATCAACAGAAGCAGGAGGACAGGGTCTGGACGACTCATGCCCTGGTGAGCAGCCGCCGGTCCTTTGGGTCTGGCACCCGCCCACAGCCTGCGGTCACTGTTTGTCACGGCCCTGCTTCTTAGTGGAAAACCCTATGGACGGTTAGAGGACAAGAGAGCAGGTGATGGGACTGACAGTAGGTGACAGCACCAGACTGGGACAGACCGAGTCATGCAGTTCAGAGACATTCTTGGAGACGCGCCCTCACCATCTGGCTCAGGGCTGGACAAAACCCCCAAGACTCCCCGGCCTGGCCCAGAGACCTAAGTGTGGCCGCGGTGGGCCGGGCGCCCTGGGAAGTCTGGCAGAGTAGGCACAGCCCCTGTGCTCCGGGTCCTCGACACACAGAATGGCACCACCGAGCACCCAAGGGTCCTCGCCACAGCCCCGACCCCGGCTCCCTCCATGTCCCATTAGCCCTCTGTGTCCATGGCTCCCACCCGGAGTCTCGGTCCAGGGCTAGTCCAGGGCAGCGGGGTGGGGTTGCCCCAGGCCAGCCCTTTCATGTCCCCGCTCCTGGTGCAGTGGCCATTCTATCTCCGCTGTGTCCCCACAGGGTGCTGGGCTGCACGCCCTTCGTCGCCGTGGCGTACTTCTTCTCGTGGTTCCTGCCCCCCTTCACCAGCCTTCGAGGCCTTTGGTACATGACCTTCTACTGCCTGTTCCAGGCTCTGGCCACGGTAAGCAGGTGGCCCCCCTTCCTGGGCCTGGACCCCTGGGACCCAGTCGCTGGCCGGTGGCCACTCTGAAGTGTGTGTATCGGGGGTAGGTGTTCAGGAGGGTCCCATCGCTGGCACCTACTCGCCAGTGCCTGGCCCTTACCTTTAGCTCCTCCCACCCACTGGGCTCTGGGCTAGGTGCCCCCTCCTGCCCCTCGGCGCTTGACTCCTGGCTTGAGGGCATCTGTGGAAGCTGCCAGCCTGGCACAGGGTGGTCTGGGCTGAACTCCATCTAAACTCCGCCCCTCAGTTCTTACAGGTGCCCTACACAGCGCTCACCATGCTCCTGACCCCCAGCCCCAGGGAGCGGGACTCGGCCACCGCATACCGTGAGTGCCTGCGTGGGGTGGGAGTGGGGGGGTGCAGCTAGGGGCGGGGCGCGAGCTCAGTCACCTTAGCGCTCACTATGTCCCAGGGATAACCATGGAGATGGCGGGGACGCTGATGGGAGCCGCAGTCCACGGACTGATCGTGTCCGGCGCCCACAGTCCCCACCGGTGCGAGGACATGGACCTCGAGCTCCCGGACCCCGTTGCCGTCTCCCCCGGTGCAGTGAGTGCCCACGCGGACGCATCCCACTCTCCCTCTAGACCTACTTCTCCTCCGCCTGGTGCCTTGTAAACATAAACACACAGCCCCCCGGCAGGCCATCTGGAGGGAGGGGACGGACCCCAGAGAAGGGGCGGGGAAAGGCGGCAGGAGGTTTGGATGTCCTTGCAGAGCTCTGGGTAAAGCCCCTCGCATGACCCCTCCCATCTAGCCCTAAACGCCCCACCCCACCCCCAGGTGAAAGGAGAAGGGAAACGCGCAGCAACACGGGTACCCTCAAAGCGGGTCCCTCTTCACCCACTGGGGCATGCATCTACTTCAGCCATCAAGGTCATCTATTTTCCCCTTAGGCAAATGATGTCACCATCCCCGAGAACCCCGGAAGTCATCTTTGACTCCTTCCTTGCTCTCAGCCGTCCACTCCACCCTATTACGAGTCCTGTCCGTGTTTCAGGACGACACGCTTTCTCGTGCACTGCCTGTCCCGGCCTCGGCCTGCACGAGCCCCTCCCCTCCACTGTGTCTGGGTGAGGGTGGAACGGAGGGTGGCAGTGGCCTTGAGTGAGGGCCTGGAGTGCCCAGAGTGGGGAGTGGAAAGCTGAGAACCCACCCCTAAAGGTTCAACAAAGGTGCCTCTTCGAAATTCCATTGGCTTCACTTACAAAACACAAATTCGTAGATAAAACCGCGAATTTCAAGACAGCAATAGCAGAGCATTAACGCCCAAGAGCAGGGCCCTGGATGTGGGGCCCCTGCAGTTGCGCGGGACCCTCAGCCATGAGGCCCTGCCCACCTGCCTCTTTCCTCCCTCCCCAGAGGCGCCTCTATCTGGAAATGGGTGACTGTCACTCCCACGCATGTCTTTACAGCACAAGTGGCACCGTCTCTCTCTTATTTACATTTGTCTGGGCCATCATGGACACACAGTAACTTTCTGTTCCTGGATCTGTCTTCCTGACCTCAGGGTCCAGCGTATAGAAATCAGCAACAATGAACGTCTTTCTTTAAAAGATTGTATTTACTTATTTTTAATGAGAAGGGGAGGGAGAAAGAGGGAGGGAAGCATCACTATGTGGTTGCATCTCACACGCCCCCTACTGGGGACCTGGCCTGAAACCGAGGCATGTGCCCAACTGGAAATCTAACCGGCGACCCTTTGGTTCGCAGGTCAGCACTCAGTCCAGTGAGTCACACCAGCCAGGGCCGAATGTTTGTTTTAATAAATGAGACAGGGAGGCTAGAGGAGAGAGAGAACGCTGACCCTCAAACCCGTGGTGGCATGGATGTACACAGGAAGCACAGGAGGACCACCATGGGCGCTTGGCCCTCCTTCTGCTGGGCCGATTGGGAGGAGTGCCCAGCATTCTTAGACTTGGGCTGGGGGTCCCTCTGCTCCCACCAGGAGGTACACCTGCCCTGCCCCTGGGGGTCCTCACCCCCTTGGGTTGGAAACATCACCCCCACCCTAGTTCTGTCCTGTTCCACAGGCTTGTCTCTACTCCGTTGCAGCCGCTGCGGTTGCCGTGACTTACCCTGTGTGCATTGGTTTCCTCCACTTGGGGGTGAAGGAGCAACCAGGTACAGAGGTGCAGGCAGAATGAGGAAAGCAGAAAAGCTGGGGGCAGGGCTCCTTTGGGAATGGGTTTTGCTTTGGAACTCTGGCAAGCCAGTGTGGCCTTCCTGTGTTACAGACCCCTCCGCCACAGCCTCCAGCCAGGGCATGAGCTTCCTGGCTGGGCTGGGCCTCACCGTCCGGCACCCGCCCTACCTGAAGCTGGTGATCTCCTTCCTGTTCATCTCAGCAGCCGTTCAGGTACCTGTGGCCGGGCCGGTCCCCCAGGCTTGCCTCCAGCCTGCATGGGTTCAGGTTCAGCTTCTCATCCCCTGGTGGGGATGAGGCTTGAGTTAACCAGTGGCTGGCGTGTGGCTCAGAGAGCCTGGTGCTCTCTGAGGAGAGAGATCTAGACCGAGCTTGTGGGATCGAGGAAGGTCAGGGTCCAGACACCAGGTAAAAGAGTCTGGGGTGGTAAAGTCCACCCACTCTTAGTCCTGCAAGGGGAAGGGTGGACTAGGAAGGGTGTTTACACCTGTGTTGGGGATAAGCATCCTTTGTAGGGGGCGGGAACTGCATAATGGTGACAGCAATCAGAGTTCAAGGTCCCAAAAGGGGGGCCGGAATTGAGACCCAGGCCTTGCTTCTGACTTCTGAGGTCCAGCCAGTCCCTGTACACACCCACTTCCTGTCAACCTCCTCAGGTGGAGCAGAGCTACCTGGTCCTGTTCTGTACACACGCCTCCCGGCTGCATGACCACATCCAGAGCCTGGTGCTAACCATCCTGGTGAGAGGGCCTGGGGTGACAGAGCCAAGGTTACTCGGGAACCTGAGTTGGGGACACGTGTGGTCCTTGACACGACATGTGTGCCCAGAGTTCTGGTGGTCAACGTGCTGGACTCAGCTGTGGCCTTGGTCACCTGCATTCCAGCAGTGGGTGGAACTGGGGCCAGGTTCATAAAGTTCATGGCCTCTGGTACTAACCAGGGGTCAAAGTCGAGGTGGGGCATCCCACCTGAAAGCCAGGGCTTTGTGAATCTGGGCAGGGGCACTGGCAGCTCGGCTGGGCTGTGACGGTCCCGTCTGCTCCCAGGTCTCGGCTGTACTGAGCACCCCGCTGTGGGAGTGGGTTCTACAGCGATTTGGGAAGAGGACGTCGGCCTTCGGGATCTGTGTGAGTGGGGCAGGAAGCAAGGCTTGGAGGAGGGTAGCTGGAAGTTGACCTTGGGGCCTGAGCCCCCTGGGGGCCAGCAGGGCAGATCCGTAATCACTTGCGTCTTCAGTGCCCGGCACAGGACCGGGCACAGGGTTGTCAGTAAACACCGGTGAGTGTGTGCAGGAAGGAGCCAGGTGGGGAGGCGGAGCAGGCAGAGGGAGCAGCCAGTGTGCCTGTCTCCCCAGGTGATGGTGCCTTTTGCAATCCTGTTGGCTGTTGTGCCCACAGCCCCTGTGGCATACGTCGTGGCCTTCGTGTCTGGCGTGAGCATCGCGGTGTCCCTGCTGCTGCCCTGGTAGGCTGGGCGAGGGGCAGGAGATGCGGGAGCTTCACGTCCTTCCTCAGGGTCTGCCCTCCTGCATGTCGGCCTGTCCTCCCAGGTCCCCGGTGACCAGCCTGTGCTTGGGAGCCACTCTTCCACTCACAGGGGATGGAGGCCACAAGCTCCTCCATCCTGAGAGCCCTCCCAGAAGAGCACCAGACAGCAGGAATGGGGGGCAGCCAGTGGGTGGGGGTGGGGGGTGGAACAGACACACTGGCTCCCTGTGGGCCAGTTCTGGTCCTGGGCAGTGGGGCCTCAGGGACGACTCTGACTTGGTCTCTGTACCCAGAGAGTTTGCAGGTTGGTGGCTGCCAAGGGTTCCAAGGGATAACTCCGCAGCCCCTGCCCCCAGGTCCATGCTCCCAGACGTGGTGGACGACTTCCAGCTGCAGCACCAGCACGGCCCAGGCATGGAGACCATCTTCTACTCCTCCTACGTCTTCTTCACCAAGCTGTCAGGCGCTGGGGCCCTGGGCATCTCCACGCTCAGTCTGGAGTGAGTCCCAGAGTGGGGCCAAGGCACAAGACGGCCAAGTCCCCCACCCCAGCCAGCCAGGGGACTGGTCGGGGATCTGGGACCCCCTCCCCCAGAAGCCAGGCTTGGGAGGATGTGAGCTGGTTGCATATGGGCTGTTTCTCCAGGTTTGCAGGGTACGAGGCAGGAGCCTGCAAGCAGACAGAGCAGGTGGTGGTGACCCTCAAGGTCCTCATCGGCGCCGTGCCCACCTGCATGATCCTCACCGGTCTTTGCATCCTCATGGTCAGCCCCACTCCAAAGGTGCCACGCCAGGACACCTCCCGCCGGCTGAGCCTCCGGAGGTGGGCACCCCATGCACATGGGTACACACAGCAGGCCTACCCACGCCCCAGGAGGCACATGCGTGTGTGCCCACGTGAGGCCAACCAGTCCTGAGGTCTCATGGCATTATTTACACCACCAGACAGTCCTGCCTTTGGAAGCTCTTTCCTTGGCTTCGGTGACGCCATCTTCTGGACTCTCTTCTGCTACTCTGGTCGTCTTTGCTCAGTGCCCTTCCTTTGATGACCTGTGGGACGGTGGCAGGGGAGGGCGCCCATGTTCACCCCCATTCCCTTTGCTCTCCATAATCCCGGGCACCTACCTCATCTGTGTGCTTGACCTCGAGAACCTCTTGTGCCTGGTGACTCGCATAGTTGTCCCCTCCCAACCCCGCTTCCTTCAAGTTCCGGATCCACACAGCTGGCTCTCACTTGGACATTTCCACCTGGGGTCCCACAACCAGGGCAGGCGGTCGGAGTGGGCCCCTAATGGAATTCATCTCCTTGTCCCAACCAGCTCCACCATCCTCCAGCCTGGGGCCGGAACTAGGGGACTGGTCATCTTCCACTGCCCCCGGAGCCCCGCCCCAGGCTGCGCTGAGAGCTCCCTGAGCCTTGTCCTTCCTCCTTCCACGCCACCGCGTCCACTGCGGGGACGGTCTGCTCACTGGCTGGCTTTCCCAGCAGACAGTGGGGACCTGGAAGGCTGGAGTTGTGTTTACTCATTTTGTGTCCTCAGGGCCCGGCACAGAGCCCGAGGCCAAGCAGATATACCAGGCCCCGCAGACTTTCACGAGTCCACATTTTGCAGATGCTCGTGCACTAAACAAACATGAGCACATGTACACACAGAGGACCACACAGTGGGGGCCAAGGTGGCATCATCATCAGTCCCTCACTGCTCGGTGTGGCTGATCTCACACTCCAGCCAAGCAGCACTGACGTCATGCATCACACTCGGGGAGTGACACCAGGTGGAGGACGGCTTGGTGGGACTCCAGGAGACAGGCTCGCGGCCATATTCAGGGTGGAGGGGAGGAGCGGCTAGGAAGACAGGGAACAGCCACTGACCTCCCAGAGGGGTCTGTGGCGGGACAGACCCCACTGCCTCCTCATCCTCTGGCTTCCTTCCTACAGGAGGACCAGTTACAGCCTGGCGTGAAGCTCAAGACGTCCGTGAGCCAGACAAGTAGAAGCCAGCGTCCTCTGGGTTCGAGCCGCCCCTTTTTCTCAGCCATTTGTAACCCCTACTCCGCAGCCTACACAGGACCTCTTCCCTGGGACATGGGGTCTCCAGTGACCTCTCCAGAAGAGACTGGCCTGGATTCCACCTCTCATTTCTCGCCCATTGACCACAGACCACTTCAGATAAACCTGTGCCCCGACCACCCAGCTCCAGACCACGTCTGACCTGGAGGGCATCCCAATAGCAGCCTCCCTGAAGGAAGGAAGGCCCCGCCGGCCTGGCCTGCAGACCCCCGTTGGGAGTGCCTGATGCCACAACCTCTGGTTCCCCCGATGCTCCAGTGGACATGTGACAGGAGTGACAGACACCACATGAATGAGCAGAGTGGGGACAGATGGACATGCCGGGGATGTTCAGTTAGGAGAGACACAGGCACGCGGCGAGGCCAGCAGACCCCGGGGAGCAGCGATGGGGGCAGCGGTGGGGGTGAGCAGGCTGAGCGCCTCCCTGTGTTCAGATGGGTTGATGATGACACAGTCTCTAGAGGTGGGCAGACTGATATCGAGCCACCAAAGATGAATCATTTTTATAAACAGTTATTTTTGTGGAACTATATTTCTGAACTTTTATCTTATGAAAAGTATAGGAACCACAGCCTTCTAGACGCCATATCTTCAGGGAAGAAAGATCCATTGAGGTTTACATTTTTTTCAAAACAAAACATTTTTCTCAATCCTGGCTGGTGTGGCTCACTGGATTGAGTGCTGGCCTGTGGACCAAAAAGTTGCTGGTTCGATTCTCAGTCAGGGCACATGCCTGGGTTGCAGGCCAGGTCCCCACCTGGACTTGAGGGGGAGACAGCCAGTCAATGTTTCTCTTGCACATCAATGTTTCCCTCTTTTTCTCTCCCTCCACTCTCAAAATAAATAACATAGTAAAAAAACAAATTAAAGGATTTATCTTCTATTGAGTCTACAACACGTGACAGTGGCCAGCCCACGACCATCCTACCTGCTGGGAAACTCTCACCCCAAAGAGGGAAGGGGAGGGTGCCAGACGGCACTGAACCTGGCTGTGCCCCTGACCCCGCACTTCCTCCAACCGCAGGGAGATGTGGGAGAGGGTTCCTTCTCTCCTTTGGAAGAGACAGAAAGCTGAGACTGTAGCAGGCCTCGGTGGCTCCAGTGGGCTGGTGCTTACAGAGGGGTTGGGAACTTGTGAGGACCCTGACGTCCCAGCAACTCCTCATCCAGAAGTCAGGGCACCTAAAGGGGAGAGCAGGAGGCGCAGCCTTGCCCCTGAATGTCTTCCCAGCCCCCAGCCCTGTCCCCTCCATCGGGTCAGCTCTCCTGAGCCCGCCCAGGGCTGGGCTCTCTTCCACTTCCTCTTCGGGCCTCTGGCTGCCCCTTGGGTGTGAGACTCCCCCTAAGACTGCCAGAGCTCAGACCCACGCGCAGAAGGGACGTGGGCCTCAGAGCTTAAAGCCTCTGGCTTCCTGCACAAACGCTGTGGCACAAGAGGGAACTGACCGCACAGTGAGAGTGCAGAACGTGACCTGGCCTTTCCGACGCCTGACCTCCCGGGCCCTTGTGACACTGACACGGGTATCTGATCCTTGAGGTCACAGGGCACCAGAGAAAGAGCTGGGCTCAGCTTCTCTTCATTGTCCCTCTCCGCCCACCCCCTGCCGTGCATGGGCACACACACAGGCGGGCACACACACAGAGCAGTTTCTAACGCTGGGAAGTCACACTGGCCGTGTGGGGACAATACCTCGTAAGACAAGGCAGAGTCAGTTTCTACCACGTCAGGTTACGCGTGCTTTGGAAACCTGGGCAGTGCAGGTGGGATCAGAAGCTCGTGCCAAGCTTTATGTTGCCTGTATTCCCCGGGGGTGCGGTCTCAAGGAGCGGAGCTGTACAGTATGGACAGCAGCAGGGACCACCTCTGCGGCCAGGGGGTAGATCTCAGGGGTGGGGGCCACCTGGGCCGGCCAAAAGGTATCCTACTGAGCAGGGCAGCAAGAAGCTAGGAAAACTCCTTGGCAAGTGGAATAGAAAATCTGAGACTCAGAGCTGAACAAACTGGCTGAGCAATTTACAGCAAGGTGCGGATGATCCCCAGGGTGGAAGGAAGTGCCTGGCTGGGGGCAAAACCGAGAAAATAAGGACCTGGCCCCCAGGGTAACCTCTCCTCCCCTGGGCTTTTCTCCCTGGAGATAATATCTAGGCCTCAGTTGTGATTCAGCTCCAGGCCTAGAGAAGCAGCAAAACCAGGTGGGTGATACCAGATCCAACTGCCCTGCCTCCGACCAATCAGAGGAGGCCACGACCCTGAAAGGGCACACCTGGGAAACTGACGGATATTGTACTGAAGCCCTGCTTGAGACTTCCCCAAGGTTCCCACCTGCAAGAGACATATGAGAGATGAGAGATGAGAGATGGGGGGAGGGGGAGAGAGGGAGAAGCCTCAAGACAAAGGACCCAGCACACATGCTCTCCCTCTGGGGCACAGCCATTCCCTTCTCCCCCACTTCTGTCCCCTCAGGCACGCATCTCCTAAACTCTAAGGCAATGAGCAGCTGACACTCTATCCCAGGCTAATTCCCTGAACCTGTCCCCAGGGCCCCCTTTTCTCTGACTTCCGAGTGGGCTAAGGCAGCCCAGCCCAGGGTCTCCTGCAGCTTCCTCTATGCTAAGCCTTCCTTGTTTTACTGTCCCCAGCTTTAATAAATGTATCCTCGGAGTCACCTGGACTCATGTTGTCACATCTTTCCCACACCCTGCAGCTGGCCCCAGGCAGACCGGCTCAGGGCCAGGCCCCACCCGGTAACGCTGCCATTCCCCCCGCACAGCCACCCTACAAAGTGGGTGCTGTCAGTTCATTTTCAGGTGAGGACACAGGCTTGGACAACTTGGTCAGTTGGTGGCAGCAATGGTCTGGAACCTCAGTCAGCCTGACTCCAAAGCTTATGGAGGGGGCTGGTGCTTAAAACATTTGACATGCAACCGATGGCCGGCATCCCTGCCTGGCTCTGCTCCGACTCCTCTGTAACTCCCCCTGCTCTACTCTCGGGCCTTCGGTTCACTTGCCCATGTCCAGGCCCCTCTGCTGACACCCACCCTCAGAGCCTGTCCTCTGTTTTCAGAGGAAAGGATCTCTCCTTGGCACCAAGGCCAAACCCGAGGCCTATCACTGGCCAAGGGCAGGATCTCCCCTGGCCCCTTTTCCTTCTCCACCTACACGCAGGACAGCATGCCTTCCCCTTGATCAAGACACTCAACGGCCAGCACCCCCGCCTCCGACTGAGGTCCCATCCACAGAATTCCCCTACCGGGCCTCGAGGCCTCACAAGACTGGATGGCTGCTAAACCATCACCTCCTCAGAGAAGCCTGCCCTGCTTTCCTGTTGGCTCACAGCCACGCCCTTCCTCCTCCCCAGCACTCACTAAGCTCTACCAGCTTTGTTTGTACTCAGCAGGACCTCCCTCCACATACAGATATGTTTATCAGTGGCTTGTTTATTGCTTGACATACTCATTAAAATGCAAACTTCATGAGGGCAGGGACTTTGGTTTTTACTGCTATGTCCTCAGTGTCTAGAAGTAAATGTTCAATGTGAATTAACATTTGCTGAATGAACAAGTGTTTGCATTGCCCTCATTCTCAAACAAAACAGCCTTCCCTACTCTCTTAGCTTTCTCCTCTCCAAATAATCTACATTACTCTCCCCCTACCCGCCAGCCAACACCAGCCACCATAGCGTGGTCTCCTGGTCCTCACCTGCCATTCCCTCCTCACCCATCCCACCGTCTCCGCCTCCCCACTCGGGGGATGGTGCGGCCTGGCAGGGGAACTGCAGCCTCAGAGAAAGGGAGATGGCAGTTTGTATGTTGCTTTCATCTTTTACACATGTGATTAGTCAACTGAGTCAATAAATCTGAGCCTCCATTTCTTTTTTGAACAAATGGCTATACTGCCTACACCTCAGGATGGCTGTGGACTGAGATGATATGTGACCAAGAAAACCCTCTCTGACTGGTGCTCACTAACAGTGACCACTCCTTTTCAAAGGTCCTCTCTTGGCCTGCAGGCCCCGACTCTCCAGGCTCTCCCACTGACCATTCACTTCCTGTCTTTTCCTTTGTTGTTCTGCAGCGGCCTCAGGCTCCCCAGGGCCCTGGGGTCTCATTCACCATCACCACCTACACACCTCCCAATTTCTAGCCTGGAGCGATCTGTTGACCTTCAGACCCACTGAGCAGAGACCAAGTGCCCATCTGAGTGTCGTTCAGGCAGCATCCTGTGTGCACAGTGGACCTCACCACCACACCCCCACTCTTGGTCTGCCTCCTGCGTTTTTGGTCAATTGCATCAGCATCTATCCAGTCACTAAAACCCACACCATGGTCTTAGTTTTCTCTCTCTCTGTTCCCTCCACTGCGCATCCCCATATACACTGAATGTGGATTAAGCAACAGAAAGAAAGGGCTGCCGTGGGTAGGTTATTACCCAATGGTAGAAGCTATCTGACACTGGAAAGTTTAGAGCAGATATGAACGGGTGTGGCTCAAAACACACCGTGAGCTGAAACAGCTGCTCGCTGGGCAGCTGAGATGTGCACGTGTGTCTGTGTGTGACCATGGCCTCAGCTGGCTGGGCGCTGCCTTCTGTGTCTGCCGAGTGTCATTTAAGGACGAAACCAGTGCAAAGGCAACAGGGAATTCGTGTTAGGTTCTAATTGTTCCCTCATATAGTGACTGTATTGGAACAAATTTGTTTTTTTCAAAACAAGCATAGCAGAACGGAGTGTAGATGTGGGTGGGTGTAAATACACAGAAATCCTTCAAGGTCCCACAAATATTATAAATATTTTTTAAAATTCCTACAAAGAAAACTCCAGATCCAACAGGTTTTTACCAAGTTCCATCAAACTTTCAAACAAGGATCATTCCTATCTTATGCAAACTCTTCCAGGGAACAGAAAAAGTCAACTCAAAAAAAAAAAAAAAAAGAGAGAGAGAGAGAGAAAAGAAAAAGACACACTTTGCAACACCTTATATCAGGCCAGAATAAGCTTGATACCAAAACCAATCAAGTACAGTAAAAAGGAAAGGAAATTCACAGGCTGATCTCACTCATGAACATAAAAGCAAGAATCCTAAACAAAGTATCAGTGAACCAGTCTAACAATGTCTAAAAAACAAATACACCACGAACACAGTGGATTTACTCCAAGAATGCAAGGTTTAACATCAGAAAAATCTATCAAGATTTACCACGTTGACAGAGTAAAAGAGAAAAAAAAGTATAATCTTCATACAGAAAGAATAATATGATAAAAATCTAATATCCATTCAATAATAAAGGTACTTGTAGAATAGCAAATTTTAAACCTGAGAAAGGATGTCTACTAAAAATCTATTAGCAAGCATCATTCTTAATGGTGAAGCAGCCCCTTTACAGTCAGGGATATAGGAAGGATCCCCACTATCACTGCTTCTGTTCAATACTTTATCGGGGATCTAGCCAGCACAGTAAGATAATAGCATAAGGAAGAAGAAAAACAAAGTTGTCGTTATTTGTAAGTGATGACTGCCTACAGACATTCCAAAAGAACCTCCAGATAAATCGTTAGAATTAATAAGAGCACAGCAAGGTAGCTGATGTAAAATGAACAAAAATAAACTGTATTTTAATATGCCAGCAATGGTTATAAACATAATTTTTAAAACATACCGTTAACAGTAGCAACAAAAAATACAAAGCATCTAGACATAAACGAGATGCGGAAAGACCTCTGCTCTTGGACATGCTGAAGTAGCAGAGACCAGATCTAGCCCCTTGGCTGAAGCAGTAAGAAAAACTGGACAAAATACACGAAAAAACCAGTCGAGACCCTGGGCATCGGGCAGTGAAGGAGTGACCGGAAAGAGGGGACACGGACGAGGTGGATCTCATGACTGCCCTCGCCATCGCCTTGACCGTTCCTGGGTGAGGGGGAGAGAATATTCGGAGCTCAGAGGGCTCCCTGGGTTGAGTTTGGAGACCAACATGGCTACAGTTTGCAGGACTGAACTCTGGGAGGAGTGAGCTGCACAGAGAGAAAGAGCGTGTCCTTTCCTCGGGTGTGTACTTTGCTTCTCCTGTCCTAGTGAGACCTGCACCCAAGGGAACAATGCACAGTGGCAGCTAGGGAGCCACTGTGACTTTTTCTCCTGAGTCCTGGCAGCCCAGTGCGGCTGGAGTCTTCCCTGTAACGTTTCTAGAGCGCCAAAGCAGAGCACTGCCCGGGCTCTCTCCTGGGACGGCCCTTCTTTCGTTTCACTGTCCCAGCTTCAGTAAACGTCCTCCCGAAATCACCTGGACTCTTGCTGTGAAATCTGTCCTGCACAAAGTCAGGCACCCACACCCGACCAGCCGGCCCAAGGCAGACCCACTCCAGCTAATCCCTTCCCAGTGACGCATCCATGGGAAGAAGAAATACAGAGACGACACACACGTACATAAAATCAAGGGCATTGCTGTAGACCAGCAATCACCACACAGGAGACAGCATCAAACACTCACAGCAGGGTGGGCTGGGCAGAGGGCAAAGGCGGGGAAACTGGGACAACTGTAATAGAACAACAATAAAATATTTAATAACATTCACAACAGCTGCATCGGCCATGAGGGATTTCATTGAATACATTCACAGGATTCTGACCAGTGAAGTGCTGATTACGACACACACCTCGAGGCACCCACCATGACCTTGTTACTTCAGGGTCCCCAGCCCCCAACTCTTTAGGCTTCACAGAAGTGCGCTTTCATCCCACTGGGAAGATGGAGCCAGGCCTTGGACTGGTCTCAGCCACTGCTCTCGGGCAACCGATCCCAGACTAGTGGCCTCCACTTCCATTATCCCAGCAGCTCTCTAATGCACTTGAACCACAAAATGGGCCCTTGTTTCTGTCCTAGCCCGACTCCATCTTCATCAACTGCAACAGACAGACAGGGGTCCCCAAAGGCACAAACTATTTCCTTCCAGATAATTTTCAAGGAAATGGAAAAAATGCCTCTGCGCTAATGTAGCATCTACGGCCAAACAACTGATTTGCAGATGCGCCCTGGCCACACGCGCCCCATCTGCTGGGCTGCAGTAAATCACACTTGTAACGGTGCCTGGCGGCGGTGAGCCGCCCAGTCTGTCTGGGGCCGAGGTCGGGGCTCTCTCCACTGGCCTCAGCCGCCCTCTGGCCCGTCATAACGACGACTGGTACCGTTTAGACCTACCTCAGATGCAGTGAAATGTCCGACTGTCTGAAATACTTTCTCTCACAGACTCTATGCTGGTGTCTAAGACTGGAATGAAAGAAAAATACCAAAATTAAAGTGACAACTTAAGAACTGATTATGAGGGGGAAAATAGGATATTTTTATAATGCCAAAACTGGGAGGAAAAAAAATCCTCATGGAGAAAATCGGAAGCAGCAAGAACACAGAATCACACCTTAGACGCCCCCCCCCTTCTCGGCACCGCACCAGCAACTTCAGCCCCTGCTCGAGTGGGGCTTGACAGGTCACTCGAAACTCGCCCGGGGCCACTTTTTACCAGTATCTGGACCTTGGTTGGCCAGAATTTTCTGAAGAAGGAAGAAGGCTCGGTTTAAACTGTGGGAGCTCCAGCCAACAGCACCAGTTCCAGTCCCAAGGAGCCCCAGGGGCGACGTGGGTGAGCTGCGCATCTCCCTTGGAGCTCTGGCGACTCCTGCTGGTCCAGGTGAAGCGGACCACGTGGTGGGGACTCTGCTCTCCAGCATCCCTCGCCCTCACCTGAGAGCCATGGGAAAGGTCTGCAACAACGCAGAGGCACCTTTTGGTGCTCCCGAGATGGCTCCAAGCCAGCTTTGGGCGAGACAGAAAGCCTCTGAGAAACCATAAAACACAGTCCATATGGCACCATCATACTGTCTAGTTCTGGGAGCTCTGCCTCCGGACAAAACTAGTTGTGAATACATAGTAAACGAGCACTTTGTGAGCCCCCTGCCCTGCCACAGGGAGCCTGGGGGAGGGGGACCAGCCCACCAGGGCGAGCGCTTCACCACAGAGCAGGGCGCAGACTCTGGCCAGGGCAGGTCCACAGTGGACACAGGTCTTCAACAGTCTCATCTGAGAAGCTGCACAGCGAATACTCTGTAAACAAGGGTCAGGCCGTACTGCCCAAGCGGTCAGAATAGCCAGTGGTATCTAAACTTTGGGCTCGAAGGTCCCTACAGACGCCAAGACAAGGACCAGAATCAAGACTCTGAGACAGAGAGTCTCTGAAGATGTTTGACCTGGAGCCGCCATCGCGTATGATTATCTCCTGTGCGGCTGTGAAGGTCAACGGGATGAAGCCCTCGCTGTCGGCACTGACGAGGATCCAGCGGGAGCCTGCAGAGCAAAATAATCACACAGTTTAGGGCACTTCGTCCCCCAGCTCAGGGAAAACAAACGTCACCTTGTGAGGGGAAGAACAAGACTTTGCAGGAAATGGGGGACAGAGGGCTGGCGGCAGGCAGGAAGGGGGTGTTGAGCCTCGCAGTCGGGGAGCAGCACTTGCACTCGGGCTCGGCAGCCACCACTCAGTGCTACGCCTCTGAGCTCCGGTCTGCACACGTGTTAGGGGTTGTGCTAGGAGTGTCCCTGCCTTTTCCACAAGTCGTCAATCAGTTTCTCCAGAAAATAAATACGTGAAGCTGGGAACAGCCACTCCTGCGGAAGAACCTTCTTTATTCTTCAGGTCCATTCTGACCTCTACACACCCAAGGAGGCGGAGGGACTGGGGCTGGACTAGAACAGCCCAGACAAATGATCCCCAGTGGTTTCTTTCAGGGTAACCGAAGGCCACCAGCATGACACATGCCTGGACCTCCTCTGGTTCTTTCCAGTCTACCGTGTCCCAACTTTTTAAAAAAAATCCTCACCTGAGGATATGTTTATGGAATTTTTAGAAAGAAGAAGGTGGAGGGAGGCATGGAATGGGGGGGAGAGAGAGAGCATGTGCGAAGGAGAGAAACATCAACGTGAGAGGGGAAAGTATCAATCGGTTGCCTCCTGGACACGCCCTGACCAGGGATCGAATCAGCAGCCCGGGTGTGTGCCCTGACAGGGGACAGAGCCTGCGACATTTTTGGTGTACAGGATAACGCTTCAGCCAAGTGAACGACCTGGCCGGGGCTCAAGTCTGCTGTGTCTTAACTTTTGTTTTTTCTAATTTCATTTATTTATTTTTAGAGAGAGGGGAAGGGAGGGAGAAAGAGAGCAAGAAAACATCAATGTGAGAGAGAACCATCAGGTGGTTGCCTTTCGCATGACCTGGCCCTTGACCCAGGCACGTGCCCTGGTGGGGACATGCAGCCGGCAACCTTTGGGTTTGCAGGCCAGCGCCGAATCCACTGAGCCACACCAGCCAGGGCAGTATGCTTCATTTTCATTGCCAGTGAGTTATTGTACAAAACAGATGGTGGAAGGAGGGGTATGGTTAATTTCTCAATTTTACCTACCGTGCAGCATCTCGATAAGAGAGAGGCCAAAAGTCTGCTGAATGGTGCTGAGCCTTAGCTTGCCATTGCAGAGAAGCATGTCTCTTGTTTCAACAACAGGACCTACAGAGTAAGGTTTCTTCAAATACAAGGACAAAAGTTGTTAAGCCAACTGCAGAAGCAACAGAGTTAACATTTCTTAAGGCTAGAAAGTGCAAATAGTTGTTTTAAATCCTTATCTATCGCCACTATCAATTAGACTTGAGTGTTATATAAGGAGCTTTTTGCTGTATTATTTAACACAACCAAAGGTCAGAACAAAGCACAGCCCCTACTTCCCTTCTCCTTTTGCTCTGCTTTCCCCAGAGGGTTGCATCTTTACCACCTGGAACTGGCTGTCCTCGGACATGACTAATAACACTGTAGGCTGGTGAATGGCAGCCTGAGAGGCACAATCCGACGGTGAGGAACAGGTGCGTGGCTATTCTGGGTCTAACTAAGAAATGTCATGCTCTCTTCAGTGGGGGAAGAGGCCAGGGAGGACTGCCCTCGGTGCCAGAGGGGCCGAGGGTGCCCACAAGTAAACTGCTCAAAGTTCGCTTCCCTGAGAAAAAGTACAAAGAAAGGTGATTTTTAAATTGAAAAAGTCTTAGTAAACATTAACTCATCTTTAAAAATGGTTTCAAATATCCCTAAGGAAGGGAATATAAGATAAATATAGCTCTAATTTAAGATATATTGAGTCCAAAGATATAATCACAGAACAGAGAATTAAAAATATAACTCTCTAATTATATATTATGTGAAGCAGTACCTTCATGTAAACACCTGAAGAAGAGTTTCATTAGTAAGTTATGGACCTGACTTATTTTGGAGTTAAAATGATCACTACTAATTTTCTGAGAAAATTATGTTTCTGCTGAGAAACATAATTCCAGGGATGAAAAATAAACTGTACATTTGTTGCTCATGAACAACTCAAAGAGCATGTCTACTACCAACATTTTAAAAGATGTCACAAATAAACTGTAAGGGACAGAAGCACTAATCATTTATTTGAACTCTATGAAATGTTGCTTCAGAAATTACAGGGGAAACTCTTCCTTGCATTTGATTATCTTCTTTTCTTTTACGTTTCTCATTACAAAAGGAATCCATGCTCAATGTAAGAGTAAAACATAACTTTGTTATGCAGAAAGTAAAGTGCCCCACAGTCTACCCTCCAGAGGTCGTTACTGGTAACAGCTTGGTTGGAGCAGTTCATTATGAACTGAGGAACTGAAGAATTAAAAAGGAAAAAAATCCCACATTTCTTTTACTTAAAAAATGCATAATTTCACATTTACAAATGTGTACAAAAGAAAAAAGATATGGTATTATTTGAAAGAAAAAAATATAGGTGTACTTACAACTAACTCTGTGATTTTCTCTAAGGTTTGGATTATGGATAACTTTTATTTTTAACATTAATTATTCCTATATTGGTTATATTTCCCCCCTCAATAAGCATATATTACCTTTGTAATTACAGGGGAGGGAAACTTCTGCATGCTCTCTAAAATCAATTAAAAAAAACAAATGTAAAAGAACAAAATAAAATATTGCAAGAAAATCTAGACTATTACCTGTATATTAATTTCTACAAAATAAAAAACTTCTTGTGGACTGGTAATCAATAGGGAAAAAATGACCAATAGGCAATTTATTTACTGGACCCAAAACATGAAGACATATGTATGCAAATTCACTAATGGTAAAGGAGAAATAAATTAATAAAAGTGAAATACCACTTCACATTTATCAGATGCATGAGGACGTGGGAAAAGGCCGCTGATAAGCCTGGGATGATACATTGTTAAGGAAGAATCTTTGAAAGACAACCTGGCAAATCCTTAAAAGTAGAAACATATATATTCAAATTGTACTTCTGCTTCTGGGAACCAACCCAACAGAAATAAAAGTGCAAATACAAATGGATACATACAAGAATACTATTGGAGCACTTCGTGGAGTAGGTAAAGAGCTGAAAACAAAGTGAATGTCCATTCACCAAGGGAACGCCTGAATAAACAGCACACTCTCCGCATGAAGCTGAGGGCACCATCTGACCCTGTTTTTGTAAAGCAACGGCCACCTCTGAATCTATATATATCTTGTACCTATATACTGGGTTGGCCAAAAAGTCCATTACGTTTTTTTCCATAAGATGGCTTTAGTAGTGCTCAGCTGTCTTTAACTTCACTCAAAACAATTTTGTTAGATTGTGACAGCTGTCACATCAACATGCATTTAAAAAAAAACTTACCAAAATTGGTGAATTTTTGTGCAGCCATTTTTATATAGAAGATGGAAGAAAACACACAACATTTTTGGTGTATTATGCTTTATTATTCCAAGAAAGGTAAAAATGCAGTGAAATGCAAAAAGAGATTTGTGCAGTGTATGGAGAAGGTACAGTGACTGATCGAACGTGTTGAAAGTGGTTTGCACCCTGGCTGGTGTGGCCCCGTGGACTGAATGCCAGCCTGTGAACCAAAGGGTCCCCAGTTCAATTCCCAGTCAGGACATGTGCCTGGGTGGCAAGCCAGGTCCCAAGTTGGGGGTATGCAAGAAGCAACCACACATTGATGTTTCTCTCCCTCTATTTCTCCCTCCCTTCCTCGCTCTCTAAAAATAAATAAATAAATTCTTTAAACAAAGATGTGGTTTGTGAAGTTTCTTGGTACTACTGACATTCTGGTGAAAGAATTCTTTGCTGTGAGCTGTCTCACGCATTGGAAGATGTTTAGCAGCACCCCTGGCCTCTACCCACCAGAAACCAGTAGCAGTTTCTATTGGAACAGCGACATACTCAAAAATATCCAAAGCAATAAACTTACTGATGAAGATGAAAAAATGCGCTTTAAATATTTTATGGAAAAGATGTAACAGACGTTTTGTCCAAACCAATACAATGTGTACAAAGATCTGTGCAAGGTTATAAGAGTGTGAAGCACACCACAGGAGGGTCCACATTAAGCTGCTAATTAAAGAAGGGAGGGGCAGAGGTCAGTTCAACTGGGAAGGAAAGCGCTCATGATAAAATGATATGATGCTATTTATGCAATACTGTGCTTGCATATGTGCGCATAAACAGATACATTAAAAAATTTTAAATAACCCTGGCTGGTGTGGCTCAGCGGACTGAGTGCTGGCCTTCAAACCAAAAGGTCGCCAGTTGGATTCCCAGCCAGGGCACATGCCTGGGTTGCCGGCCAGGTCCGCAGGGCAGGGTGGGTGAGAGGCAACCATATCTCTCACACGTTGATATTTCTCTCCCTTTCTTTCTCACTCCCTACCCCTCTCTCTAAAAAGTAAATAAATTAAATCTTTTAAAAAATTAACATAACCCTTCTTACAAATGGAAGAGGGTCTGAGGTGAGTGAGAAAAGTTTCACAATGAAGTAGCACCATTAAAAATATTTTTTTCTAAATATAAGTTGGCAGAATAAGTATAATCATTCATGTATTTCACATACGCACACGATAAAAATCAGTGTACACTGGTATGTGCATCCATATGGTTGGCAGGCAACCAACCTGTAAAGGAGTAACAACTTACCTGTAACATGACATGCCCAGTTCACTTAGAACACCACCTTTCTCATCGACCAATCTTTCTGGCAGTAACCACTAGCTGCAGGAGCTTTTATGTGCAGTGCTGGCCCCTCAAGGAGAAATTACCTGGTAGGAGATGTGGACATAAGGCAGATCCCGAGAGAGTGGATACACTGGAGAGTATTTCTTTCCATTACGCAGGAAGTCTGTGAGTTCAGAAAGACACTGCTGTACTTCAACCAGTTTCCTAGATAGAATTTCCAGTTCCTTAGACGGCTGGTAAGTTTCCTCTTCCCGCTGTTGGGTCTTTCTTTGAGGAAAATTCAGAGGCGCTGGGGTGCTGGTGTGGTCTGGTGTGCTGCGGGGTCTGGGCAGGGTCACGAACTGGCCGGCAGGCTGGGTGTCTGGAGTTCCCAGGGCGACGGAGCCATCGCCGACACTGGATGGAGGACTTCTGATTTCTTCAATAAGGGCACTTCCGGGCCTTCCACGTGGACTCCTGCTGTCAGCTGTTAATGAGAGCCCTCTGTTTGGGTGGTGAGTATCTGGGGAAAGACCTTCCATTAGCTTTTTTTTCTCTGCTTTATCTAATAGAGTACTGAAAGTCGAGTAGCCACTCTGGTTTTCACTCAGTGTTACTGGAAGTTTCTCTTCCAACATTACTTCTCTAACAACCAAGCGAATAACATACTCATCAGACTTTGAAGGAGGGAGGAATGTCGAATCGGCGGGTTTTTGTTTTCCTACCAAAATTAATAATAATTTCTCTGTCAAGAAATATAAGCCTTTTGGCCTTTCACTACCGTCTAACTGAATTTGCTGGATGTTTGGCATAAACGAGGGAATGACAGCATAGATAAAAATTACATTACACGTATTGGAAGCCACCGCCACAACCTGTGCTTTAAGATTAAATGCGATTAGGTCAGGAGCCAGAATGCCTGGGATGGGGACTTTCCTGGTCTGGGTACACTCTTTCTCAAAAGTCACAAGGACCAAATGGGAAGAATCCAGACCGGTTCCTGTCAAGTAGTCCTTTTTTCTTAAACAAATTAGGGCGTTACCTTCAGACTTCGATCTATTGAAAATTATATGAGTTAGATCCAGAGGACCTGACAAAGAAGGAGAAAAGGGAGACCCTGATGTGTCCGAATTTGTTTCAGAAGGGATGGCCCCCTTATCCACAGAGAGCACATCATCAACAACTGTGTCATCAATCACACAAGCGTCTTCACCGTGAGGTGGACCGCCGAGTGCTTCAGATGCATTTAAGCCACAAATCTGACCTAGTGGAAGTTCGGTGGCTACGGCGACCTGGGAGTCCCCGGCGGCGCTGATGGAGCGCAAGGAGCTGTCCACACCCAACACCGAGCTGGAGGAGCCCCTGCGGAGAGTCTTCTGAGCACTGTCCCAGATGTAAGAGTGCAGGCTGCTGCCCGCTGCCACCACCAGCCTCTGGCCGTCCGGGGTCCAACACGCACAGTGAACAAGGCCCTGGGCGCTGCTGTCCACTTTCACTCGGGAACTGTCACAGCAGACATTATGGAAAACGGAGACATCCTGTGAGGTCAGCACGGTCAGGACAGCGCTCTGAGGGTGCCACACACAGCCCTGGGGAAGGACAGGGAGAGACTCTCTAATCTCACAGGTCTCAGACATCAGCCACTTGCTGGTCCCCATCGTGCTGGGGCACAGCTGCCACACGGTGACATGCTGCGTGTGCTGGACAGCGAGCAGAGGGGGCGTGTCCGCCGCACCGGGTGGGGCCCAGGACACTGCACACACGTGTTCGAACTGTCCGATGACCTCTGAGTCCCCAAACTTGGCCTCTCCACTCTGAAGCTGTACATCGGTCAGGACTACCTGATTCCCATCGGTCCACACAAGGCCGTGAACTGGGTGCACTGCTTGATACAAGGCATTCAGCCCAGTCCTGAGAAGCTTTCCTTTTCCCAACTCCATCCTTTCTGATGAAGGTTATCTGAAATAATTAAGAAGAAAAGCTACAAACACCCTGAGAACATAATCAGACAAAGCCAGAAGGTAGGATGAGGGAACTGGCTGACACCTGTCACAGACCAACGCCGTGAGGGACGAGAGGACAGGGGCATGTGGTGGGTTCCAAGGGACGACTGAGCCCAATAAGCAAATGCAACATAGACACTTTGGGTCTTAAACTGAGGAAATAAAATTTTCTAGCAAAAAAGAAATTTGTAAAACCGGGGAAGTTAGAACATGGAATGGATATTAAAAGACACTGTAGAGTTAATCATTTTCCTATGGTGACCATGGTACTGGGTTATGAACATGTCCCTGCTGTTGAAATGCACATGTCGAAGTGCTTGGGGACAAATGTCCTAGCGCCTGTGACTTGCTTTCAAATGTCTTAGAAAACAAATACACCAACCTACAAACTTTTATGTCTATATATATACTGTATCTGTATTTTAAATGTATATATATATGCAGAGAGCTAAAACAAATATAATAAAATTTTAGTAATTGCTGATCAGGTTGAGGCTATGGCGGTATTTATGGGCCTTTCAACTTTTAAGCTAGAAAAATTTCAAATTAAAAGGCTGAGAGTCTTCTTCACCATCTAATTTCTATTTTCCTTTCCCTGCCAAATTGATGAATAACTGATATTCACAACTCTGACTTTATTAGCACTTATTTCCCCAACTCCCTTAAAAATAGCCTTTACTCCTAAGCTGAAACAACACTCAAGTCACTATTGCTATTTCTACTTTGTCATTCTCAAGTAGCACTTAATTTTCAGAATATTTCACATTCCCTACTGCACTTTCTCCTTGCAATAATCCTTTGCAAAAATGTAAACTAGGTTATGCGAGTATTACTTTCAATTTTTTTATTGCTAAGTTTTTTCCCAGACATTTAGATTACTAGGTACATGTGCACTGCAATGAAATTCAAACAAACCAGGTGTCTAAAGTAAAACAAAATGTTTCCTCCTACCCCATGCCAACTCCTGTTTACCACCACTACCACCCTGTCCCACCCCAAATCTTTTTTAAAAATATTTTATTCACTTATTTTTAGAGAGAGGGGTAGGGAGGGAGAAAGGGGGAGATACATCGATCTGCTGCGTGGTGCAAGCCCCCAGCTGGAGGACCAGCCCACAACCCAGGCATGTGCCCTGATAGGGAATCAAACTAGCAACCCCTCAGTTTGCAGGCCCGCACCACCCCCCAAATCTTAAGTCCTTACATCCGAATTATAGGGGTACCAGAAGGGGAAGAGGAACAGCCAAGAGTGGAAAACTTATTTGAACAAATAATAAAGGAGAACTTCCCCAATCTGGCAAAGGAAATAGACTTCCAGGAAATCCAGGAAGCTCAAAGAGTCCCAAAGAAGTTGGACCCAAGAAGGAACACACCAAGGCACGTCATCATTACATTAGCCAAGATTCAAATGAAGGAGAGAATCCTAGAAGCAGCAAGAGATAAGGGGACAGTCACCTACAAAGGAGTTCCCATCAGACTGTCAGCGGATTTCTCAAAAAAGACCTTACGGGCAAGAAGGGGCTGGAAAGAAGTATTCCAAGTCATGAAATCCGATGACCTACATCCAAGATTGCTCTATCCAGCAAAGCTTTTATTTAGAATGGAAAGGCAGATAAAGTGCTTCTCAGATAAGATCAAATTCAAGGAGTTCATCACCAAGCCCTTATTATATGAAATGTTAAAGGGACTTACCTAAGAAAAAGAAGAAAAAAAGATGAACAGTGAAAGGACAGCAAACTCACAGTTATTAAGAACCACACCTAAAACAAAAGCAAACTAAGAGGACAGCTAAATCAGGAGCAGAACCATAGAAATGAAGATCACATGGAGGGTTAGCACAGGGGAGTGGGAGAAGGAGAAGGGGGGAGAAGGTACAGAAAATAAGTAGCATAGATGGTAGGTAGAAAACAGGGGGAGGGCAAGAATAGTATGGGAAATATAGAATCTAAAGAACTTGAGAAACGTGGTCATAAACTAAAGGGGGGGTAATGGTGGGGAGGGGGTGTACAGGGTGGAGGGGAATGAAGGGGGGAATAGAACAACTGTAATGGCATAATTAATAAAATATATTTTAAAAAAACCTTAAGTCCTTGATAAAAGTACTGTTCACAGTTTGATGTAGAGCCTTTGAAACTGTTAAAGAAATATATATATAATACATATATATATATAATTTCGTATGTGCGAAGTTTTCTCTTTTAGACAAAAAATGGGGTTTATAAGTCAGAGTTCCTGGTTACTAACAGCAGAAACCACTCAGGAGAACGTAAGGGGAAAAAAAGGCTCAAGCACCAGGCTCAGAAAACAAGCAGGGTCCAAATGAGGCCGGGGGCGAAAGAACACAGCTGCCCCTCTTTCCCAACAGCCGAGGGCCGAACTTCCCTGCCCCTCCACCTGATGGCAATTGCTTCAGATTCAGAATGGAGGGGCACCTCCCACCAGCTGAGCTAAGCTCACAGACCCTTGGCTCTGGCAGCCAGGACAGGGAGACGTCTCCCCACAAAGGCTTCTGTAATCGGGGATGGGCTGTGCCTCCCGCCAAAACTCACACGAAGGGAGATGCTTCCCAAACTATGAAGGGGTTTTCAAAAAATGCCCGATTACCACAGGGATCCTATCGTACATGTTATTCACTAGTTTATTTTACAGCATGGGCACCTTCCCAAGTCAGTAATATAGACCTGCCTCAATATTTTACATAGCTGCATTAGTAGCAGCAAGGTGTTATTCCACAGTCTGTGGAATACAGCACCATGCTGTATTCAATGGCTCCCCTACAGATGGGAATTCAGCTTATTTCCCTTTTTATCTGACTGTGGATAGAGCCAAAAAGTTTAGTACTCAGTTCTCATCACTTTTCTCTCTTTCCCTTCCTTCCATTGTCACCTACTCTTATGTTTTAAATATCATCTACATTTATTACTCTCAGATCTGCATCTCTTCTCCTGGCCTCTTTGCTGAGCTATGGTACTATTCAAATATATATGAGCTTCACAATATGGCTGATACTAGCCCTGCCCTCATTCATTTCAAACTTGACCTACCTCTTTGCAAGCTTTGTTCCTGCTCTTACGAGTCTTTTTCTACAAAGAACAGTCTGTTATGCTTCTGCATATCCTGTCAGATGAAGAGGTTCTGCAGTGGCTTGCTAAATACAGAAACAAGTTTCCTGTCATTACCAATGACGAACACTGCCACCTCTAACTCACTGGTCTGAATTAATATGTCGTCCCCTAATATCCATGTAGGTACTTTTAAGAGACTCTAATTGATAAATAATGCTTGGTATATTTTTCTGGGCAGAGAAAATTCCTAATGGACCAATTATATCAAAGGCAATTTATATGGTCATGTTTTAAGCCACCTAAGTTAGGCTAATGTCATTGCGGCTATATAGGGTCGGGGTGGCACAGGTTAAGTATTTGTGAATAAGGAAAAAAACACAAGGTTACTAAAGTTTTCAGAGAAGAATTCATTTCAATATTTTCATCTTTAGTAACGAGGAGAAATTTGGCATGCCAGCCTCCAAAACCTAATGGCAAGTACAAAACTCTGCTCCAGTTCTTTCTGCCCCACTGCTGGTCCAGGTCCTGACCACCTCTTCCTTTTTAGAAGGGCGGGATCAGAGGTCCTCTGACACCAGTCTCTCCTTTCCCACAGAGCCTGGATACTCTGTGCAGCTGGACAGAACTATCTCTGAAAATAAATCACGGTTCTGGTCATTTTGTTCTTCTGCTCCAATACCTTTGATGAGTCTCCACATCTACATATATGTTATTTCAAATGTCTTAAGGAATTTAAGGCCTTATATCATTTGATATTAATATACCTTTCTCCTGATCATAAAGAGCGTGCTGAGGAATTTGGAGGACACAGTACACACTAATGTGACAATGTGCAGGATGGACTTAGTAAGAAAAGTGACACGTTCAGTAAGGCACCATGAAATCATCTGAATGTCACAATGTGAAAGTGAGCCAAGTTTGTAGCAACTTCTTCGGGTAGAGAAAGAGGGCCAAATCTGAGAGACATTTCTAAGGCAGATGGAATAGATAATGACATCAGGTAGGATATGAATAGTGAAAAAGAAAGAACTAAGGATAACACAAAGTTTTTGCCTGGGAAATTGTTAAACTATTAGTCAGAGATACAAAAGGCAGAGTATGCTTCAAAGGTCAAGAAGAGTGTGTAGGCCCTGGCTGGGTAGCTTGGTTGTTTAGTGCTGTCCTGATACAGCACGGTTGTGGGTTTGATTCTCAGTCAGGGCACATACAAGAAACAACCAATGAATGCATAAGTAAGAGGAACAACAAATCAATGTTTCTTTCTCTCTCTCTCTCTCAAATCAATTTTTTGAAAAGGCTGTTTAGTGTGCGATAAATTTTGCATTAGATGCGCGTCATTTAAGATATTTATAGGGTAGCAATGTTCCTGAGGCAGTCAGAGATGAAGAATTTGGAAGTTAAAGCCAAAGCAATGAACAGCCTCTCTGTGAAAGATCAAAGAGCCCAGAGAACAAATGTTGAAATGACTTTCAGGAGGTCTCCAATTACTCTGTATCTTTTAAAATATTTACTTTGCCTAAAGCTAACTGTATACCCGCTGGCCTCTCAACCCTTCAGACTGTAAGATAACGGAAATCAGGAGCCCCGGGTTTTTTGGGAAGAGAAAAGCCCACTCTATCCGTTCAGGGGAGAGGTGGTCAGAACGCCTGGTGCTCACTCTACGACCTGTTTCTTCTGTTTTTAATCTTCTTTAAAGACAATTCCTGGTGAGAATCAAAGGGCTTGGGTGAATGGGAGCACTTCAGTAGTTTAAACAGATGTACGCCCCCTCCAACTTGTTTTTCTAAGTTCATCGTGTTTCCGCTTTAAAATAAGTTCAAGTTCCTCACACTTATTTTTTAAAAAATCAACATGCCTTTCTTCGGCACATCCTGCACCTTTCCCCCTCTTCTTCCCTTTGCTCTCTCCCCCACTGTCTCTGCTTCTCTTTCTCTCTCCCAGGCTCCAAGGGACCCTCTTTTGCCTCCCCAACTTGTTTCCTAGGCCCACGCAGCCCAGCTGCCTCACGTTTTCCACCTCTGTGACTTTCTAAATAAACTTTTGCTTGTATTTGAAAAAAATAAATTAACACATACAAAAGGTAAATTCACACCAAAAAAATCCATCCAAAGAATATTATGATTACATACCTCTAGACACTTTTCCCCATGCAATTTTAGTTAAACTTTTGCAATCATACCATACAATTTCGTATCACCATTTTTTCATTTAACATTATATATTAGCATTGCCCCATATTACTTTAAAGTTTTGTAAGTGATTTTTATAGACCACTTAATATTCACGCTGTGAAACTGCCTAATTTTCCTTACTGCTGAAACACCTGGTTGTAGCCAACTTTATCCTATTATAAACAACGCCGTTATAAAGGTCTTTATGCAGAAAGCGTTGTCTTCATTTTTGGATAGGTTCGTTCAGAAATATTTCCAGAAGTCTCAGTCCTGAGTCACAGGGAATAATAGTCTTGTTTAAACCCATTCCCAATCGTCCGCATCCGCTAAACAGCGCCCGCGGGCCCCCCCAACGTCCTCCCCACGCTGGCCGCACACCTGTGTGTCTTCCACCCTCCCCGCAAGGGCCGGCCCTCCACCTCCCACCCCGCCCACCCACAGACTTCCTACACCCACCAGCCTGGGCAACAATGGAGACAAAATACCTATGGACTCACTGTCCCACAGAAAATCAATATTGCCGTAGCTGCCCCAACTCACCTACCGCGGATTCGAAGTCTGGAGCGGGTACCGGAAGCATCAATTCCAAGGCCTCTGATAGGTGATCAATGGGCGGGAAAAGCCCAGCAATACTGCCTGTCTATTGGTTTCTGCATGTGTCACGTTAAGAGTGTCCTTCCCACCGGCAAATAAGCTAGGGGGTTGCCGCACAGATCTCTGGGAGTTGTAGTTTCGGTGACACTCCTTACCATAAGCCACACGCAATTCCTCCGTCTCTTAAAAGGTTTAGCGCCTTCCCCCCTTTCTTATCCGTTCTCCTAGTCCAAAAAGTCCAGGAGCCCAAGAATCAACACAATTTCTTAGCTTCCATTTGCGAGGGGATGAGGAGTCAGGGATGGGAAGGAGTCGAGGACCTCTTTAAAATATGACATTTTTTTTCAGAAAAATACAAAATATTGTGCATTCCACTGAAGCCACTCCATTGATCTGTTCCAGTTACACACCCCTGTTCTACACGTACCCCAACGTGTCTGCCCGCAGCCACAGCCCATGGGCTAGCAGTGCATCGCTAGGCTTCTTTAGACCCAGTTACACTCCTGGGAGACTCCGGGCCACCCGCTGCGGCGGCCGGTGGGGAATTTCAGACCCGGACCCTCACAGAACAGCTGGTCAGCATCTTTCTGGACGGCGCAGCCGGCCCTCCTCCAGCGACGCTGGTGGCCTGAGGTCTCCCACCCGGTCACCTGGGAGCACAGGGAAGGACATCTTCAGGGCCCACTCCGGACACCTTCGCTCAGGCTTTTGTTCCCACGCCTATGTTCCAGCGCCACTTGTAAGGATCATACCTTCACGCGAGTTTGGGAACACTGCAGGGAAGAGTGAGAAACAAAACTTAAGGAAGAAATGCGAAGTCCCACTCATTCTTCCAGCAAATGTCACTTCTTTGGAAAACCTTAGAAGGGCCTAGGCTGGCGGCACCGAGATTCCTGGATCTCTGTTGGGTGACGGAGGAACACAAGGCCGAACTCACTCATTCACCCCGCGGCACGAACCCCTCCACGCAGGAGCTGTGGGTTTACACCCCAGATTTACTTCCTCGAAGGCAACGATTCTGTCGTCCTTCGGTCGTTTTCCTCGATGTTGCTGCCTTGAAAGGTGGGAATCCACCTGCGCGTGGGATGGTGAGTAGGGGCTTAGAGTGGGTGCAGAAGGGTCGGCAATGAACCTTGCCCCTCTCCCTCCCGAGCCCCCCGCTCGCTTCTGCGGATCCGGGCAGCCCAGCTCGGGCAGGTCGGGTCTCTGGCGCTTCCAGACACTCTGAGCCTCCTGCCAATCAATGAGCGCGTCTAGTTAAAGCGCTGCTGCAGTTGCTGGCCTTCCCCCGGTCTGTGGACTCGAGTGGACTCCCCAGAGCAGTTGAATGTGTGTTGGACGGAGGGATGGATGGATGGGTGAGTGGGTGGATGCCGGGAAGACCGCATGCCTCCCGCGGCACCCTCCCCAGTCGGCGGGTCCCTGGTCGTCAGCCGGGTCCCGCTCCCTTCCCCCGAGCTCCGCCCCGGCCGACCCCACCTTTCCGCGCCGCTCCGCCCCGCCGCCCCCTTCCCCGCGGCCCCTCCCCGCGCAGGTCCCGGCCGCCGCCGCACCTCCTCCGGCTCTGCAGTGGCGGCGGGGCGGCGAGTCGGAGCGCCATCCGGGCCGGGGCCGGAGCCGCGCCGGGGTCGGGGCAGCAGCGGGGACCCTCGGAGGCGGGGCCAGTGGGATCGCGATGGGCGTGGAGATCGAGACCATCTCCCCGGGAGACGGTACCGGGCGCGGAGCTGGGGGACGAGGACGGGTCCCGAGGCGGAGCTGGGCGGGTGGGGTCTGATTCGGGGGTGGCGCGGAGGGTGCCCGAACGTGGGGAGGGCCTAGGCTGGCGGCCCCGAGGAGACCCCAGACTGGATCACCGGAGGTCTAAGAGACGATCCTTGCTGTTCGTGCAGCGCCGGCCCACCTAGGGGAGCACAGGCGGTGGCCCGGAGGCGGGGGTCTGCGGCCCGCCCTCGCCCCGGAGGCCGCAGGTTGCCGTGGCTGGAACCGCTCGGTTATCCGCTACTACTGATTTCCCAGGGCCAGGTTTTAGCCCCGCTTTTCCTGCCCTGCTGCGTGAGCCCTGGAAAGAGGGGACAGGACGTGCTTGGGGGGCTCTTCTGCCCAGGCAACCCCCTTCTAACGCGGCCCCCGCCGGGTGCGCGCCGGGCGGCGAGGCGCTGTAGGGACCCCGCCTGTCTGTGCAGGGATCTGCCGTCCCCCGCCCGGCGTCTCGCTTTAGCCTCCCTCCTCTCCCCATTCAGCCTCTGGCCATCCCGTCCGCTCCCCCGGCTTCCAGTATCGTCTGCAAACCGGTGGCCTTCAAACTTAAGCCTCCAGCCCAGACCTCCGGTCTGCGTTCCAGGTGGTCCATTTATCCAGCTGCGGCTAAAACTCTTCCTGGAAGCCGACACCTCAAAGCCCGCAAGTCCCAAACAGAACTTGCTCCCCTCTGTGTCCCTGTTTCCCTGCCCTCTTGGGTTAACGCCCCTCCTTTCCCAAGTCAGGCATCCCAGGCGTCGCCCTTGCACGGCTGGCCCTGGATGTGCAAGGAGTAGCTAACTATCTCTATTTCTTAACACACACACACACCCCTTAATTCAGACTGGCACCCCCACTTCCACAGGATTTGGCAGGCAACCTTTATGTCTGAGATTACTGACCCCCGGCCCCACCCCAGGAGATTGGAGGGCCTCTTGGTTCTTGGCCATCTCCCTTTTGAAGGGCAATGGTGCCTAAAGTCCCAGCTTCGCCCCGGTTCTCAGGTGGCTGTAGCTTCTCTGCCCACGAGGAGAGAGGCCTAGTGCCGGCTCCCGGAAAACCCGTCTAGAGGCCTTGTCACCTGCCTCCAGGGCACTACCCTAGAGCTGGGGGTGGGGGTGGGGGGTGCTGGAGAGCCGTCTGTCTTTCCTGGCTCACAGACTCTTTTAGTTTTCTCTCTTCATCCTCTGTCTCTGGCCGGGATGAGGAGCATTTTCTCGAAGGAGAATTAGAATTTTAGGGAAAACTTAGAGGAGCCCTGCCCTTCTGCTTCCAGCCCAGTTTAGAACCCTGACTCAAGGAAGCACAAATGGGCCGGCCAGACAGCCATGCCAGAACCTGAGAGGGGCATTTGCCAATCGGTATTTCAGCTCGTATGCTGCAGTGCCGGGAATGCCTAATTGGTTAAGCCCCACACCAAGTCCTGTCAGGTCCTCCTGCTGAGTATCTCTGGGCTCCGTCCCCTGCCTTGGTTCAGGCCACCATCACCTCTCACCTGGATTTCTGCACAGCCTCTAAATTGGTCTTCTCACCTCCGGTCCTACCTCCCTGACCTCCGTCTGACCTCCCACCTCACTCCTACTCATTTTTTATACCACAGCCTGAGGACTCTTTAAAATGTCTTTTTAACCATGTCCCTCCCCAGGCATAAAATAGTTTAGTGAATCTTCCAGCTCCTTCTCCAGACAGATGGTGAGATAACCTGTTCTTACCTTCCACACTAGAGTCTCATCTCTCGATATCAGTCCCTACCCCCCACTACCAACTTTTCCCCCAGTTTTAGCGAGTGGCCTGAAAGTTGTTAAACACACCAGTCATTCAGCAAATATTTATTGAATATGTACTGTGTGCTGGGCCCTGGGATTACAGCAGTGAAGCAGATGGGACTCCTGCTACACTTGACTCAAAATGCGGCCTTTGACCGCATTTTTCACCGTTCCCAAGTTATCTCCCTTTACTTCCCCAGGCAAACTACACATCTCTTAAGACTGCAGTTTAACCGCGATCTCCTCTCTGATGCATTGCCTGACACCCACAGTAGGTCGCTCCCCTATGTGGGTTCACATAGAGTCCTCGAAATGTTGGTTCGTAGTTAGCCCTTCCAAGGCATTATTATCCAGCCCTGAGGCTTTAAATCCCACCCAGATCGATACCTCGAGTGCAGACTCTCCATCTGCCTACTTGCAGTATAAACTCAAATGTGTAATAGGCATCTCAAGGCTGCCACCAGCACAAACCTCTCCTCCCCCATCTTCCCCATCTCAGGAATTCACTCTACCATCCCTCCTCCTGGACCCCATCTCCACGCCATTAGCATCGTGCTCTCGCCGCTCTGCTTCCAGGATCTATCTCCCATCTCTTTGGCTCTCTCCTCCGCTGCCACCAAGTTAATTCAAGCCATCATTGATTTCCTGTCTGGATTGCTGCAACAGGCGCCCAACCGTCTACCCTACACACAGCAATCAGAATGATCTTATAAAATCTTCATTCAGATTAGGTCGTTCTTGCTTAAAACCTTCCAGTGGCCTCCTGTTGCACCTAGAATTAAATCCAGCTCTGCAGGGCCCTGCTTGGTGCGGCTCCTTCCTGCCCATCTCTTCCTCCCGCCCTTCTTTCTGGTCTCCTGGCTTGCTTTCTATGCTTCCGATGCACTGGTCCTTTCCTGCCTCACATTTTTTGTCCTTGCTGACCCCTCTTCCTCCACAGGTCTCAGCTCCGAGGGGCCACCCTGGACCACCTTGTCTAAAATGGCCTGCCCACTGCATCTCTCTTTAATTCCTGTTTGGAGAACTTATCACAACAATCGTTACCTTGTTCATTTGAGGATTGTTTGTCTCCCTCCATTAGAATGTAAACTCCAAAAGAGTGGCATCTTGCCTGTGTGGTCTCTGCTGTATCCCCCAAACCAGGCCCAGGTCTCAGACACAGTAGGTGTTCAATAGATATTTGTGAATGACCATGTTTATTCATCTTTCATCACAGCATCACCCTATGTTAGAATCTGTTATTTATGAGTTGCTCTGTGTTCCTGTGATCTAGTCCAGGCCTGGCACATTAGGAGGCTGTCAGTGGATGTTTGTGGAATGGATGTGGGAGAGGAAAAGGAGCAGTCAAAGAAAGGAAAAGGACCAGGAGAGAGTAGAGTTGAGGAACCCAAGGAAATGAAGTCAAACCAGAGAGGTGAAGGAACTAATCTGGCTTATACAAGGCACACAGTCAGAACCAGAGCCGTGGGCATCTTCCCAGCACGGAGGGCAAGGCAGGCCACGCACACCCGACTGTCTCAGGCGACTCTCTAATAACACCTTATTTGTTCACCTGCCCGCATGTCTCCTTGCAGGAAGGACATTCCCCAAGAAGGGCCAGACGTGTGTGGTGCACTACACAGGTAGGCCTCGTCCCCCAGCCCTCATCAGACCTGCCCCTCCCAAGGTAGGTCTCTCCCCTGACACGCCCCTCCAGAGACATCCACTCCCCCACGTCAGGCCGAAAACCCAAGCAACCAGATCTGCCTCTGACCAGCTATCCCCCACTTCTCCCAGCCAGCCTTGCGGGAATGAGGGAGGGGCTGCAAGGTTCACCCCTCCCCACTAACACCAGCAAGAGTCATCCGTGGTGCCAGCCTCTAACGGAGCCAAGCTGCTCCATTCCTCTCACCTCTGCGTGGGCGGAGTGGAGCCCTGCACTCCGGGTTCTGCCTGGTATTTGGAAATCCCTTCTTACAGAGCAGGGAGTCCTGACTTTGCTGGCAGATTCCCTTTTCGCCCTACAGGGTTATTAGAGAAGAGGAGGATGGCTTCCCCAGAACTTCCTTTCTTTTTTCAGGAATAGGCAGTTCAAGCCAGCCTACGGTGACTGGGCGCCAGGGCACAGGGATGAAAAGGGAGAATTCCCACTTCTTGGGGGATGTAGGGGGTGGGAGAGGGCAGACAAGTCTTCCAGAGGCTCTGGTGCAGTGTGAGGGGCTGGGAGCCCGGGAAAGGTGCTGCGTCTCTGCCGACCTCTCTGGGATGAGCTGTATTGGAAGGAAGGACAGGTGGGCAGAGGATCATTCTGGATGGAGTTCCTGAGCACTGCTGGCAGGAATATCACGAGCAGGTGTTTGTTCCAAGGAGGGTGAGTGCTCTCTTGTGACCTGCTTCCCAATGTGGCAAACCTGGTGACAGCCACCTAGCAGGCAGCAAGGCCAGTTTAGTCCCTAGGACCTACTGAGACAGGGCCATTTTTAGCGTTTTCCGGACCCGTGTGAAGTGCCAGGTTAATTCTGGGCAGATCGTGTGGGTATTTTTCTCAGCTGCCGGGTTGCTGGTCGCTGACGTCAGCGGGCTGGAGCTGTGCTCTGTCTCCCGGTGATGTGGCCTAATTACCGTGAGTCTTCTGGGGCCTCTGACCTGTGTAATTGATTTATCTGCTCTACATGTTGCAGACAGATCTGTACTTATCAAGTTACTAAAACCACAACATCCTTCTGAAAAGATTTTTCACAATACATACAGAGAGCAGGCAACATGCATCAAATGCTAACACCATGAGCGGCTCTGGTTTGCAGAGAGACTGTCTCATCAAACACAGCAGATTTTATGGGACTTTTGGGTAAACTTTTTAATTAAATATAAATACAGTGGAGAACATACATCTAAGACGAACAGCTCCATAAAATTATTCACAGAGACCACACTTACGTACCCACCACCCAGAAGAACATACGCATTCCCTGCAGCCCCAGGAGTCGCCCTCCTCTTCCTCCCAGTTATCACACCTCTCTGAAGGTCACCAGTGTTCTGACTTCTGTCCCATGGGTTGTTTTTGCTTGGTTTTGAACCTCCTGTAAATAGAATCATAGAGCGTCTACTCGTCTATGCTTGGCTGATCTCATCGATGTTAGGTCTGTGAGATTTATCCAGAGTGGTTGTTCTTTTTTATTCGTATACAGTTCATTATATGAATATACTGCAAGTTATCCTTTCTACAGTTGGTGACCATTTGGGTTGTTTATAGTTTTGGTTATTGCGAGTCGTCTTGATCTGAAGAACCTTGCGGGCGTCTTTTGGTGCATGTCTGTACCCACTTCAGCAGGGGACGTGCTTGGAAGTGGAATTGTCAGGGCACAGGGTTATCCCCGCTCAGCTTCACCAGATATTGCAAATCGCTTTCCAAAGTAGTTGTGCCAGTTTCCACCTCCACCTGGGGTGTATGAGTTCCAGTTCTGCTAGCTCCTCATCAGCGCTTGGTTTTATCAAGTTCTGTTTTGTTTTTAGCCCACGCTGGGTACCCAGTGGTATCTCACTGTGGTTTTGAATTGCATTGTCCCGAAGGCTCATGAACTTGAGTAGCTTTTCATGTGCTTATTGGCTGTTTGAATATTCTCTTTAGTCTGCTCAAATTCTGTCCATTAAAAAAAATAGGTTGTCTTTTGATCTATAGGAATTTTTCATGTATTCTAGATATTCCCTTTGTTGGTTATACCTATTTCAAACCTCTCCCATGCTATTGCTTGTCATTTTACTTTGCTGTCATATTTTTTAACAGAATGTCTTAATTTTCATGAAGTCCTACATGTCAATCTTTTCCTTTATAGTTAGTCCTTTTTGTGTTCAGAAATCTTTGTCTATCCCTAGGTCATGGAGATATTCTTCTACTTATCCTGTTGTAGATGCTTTATTATTTTATCTTTCATATTTAGGTCTGATTCATCTGGAATTGATTTTTGTGTGAGGAAGAAGTAGGCGTCAATGTTTATCCCCCCATATGAATTTACAGTTAATACAGCAACATTAATTTTTTAAAAAATCGCCCTTTGTCCCTGACCAGCCTGGCTGGGTGTCATTTCACAAAGTGAAAGGCCTCCGGCTCAACTGCAGTCAGGGCAGGGCATGTGCCTGGGTTGTGGGTTTGGCCCCACCTCAGGGTGCATATGAGAAGCATCCGATCGATACCTGTATTCTCTCTCGCATATATGTATTTGTCCAAGTGTGTGTCCATGTGAATATATATGGATCTGTGTATGTAAATATTTTCTCACCATCTGCTTGGCCATCAGGAGTTTTCTTCTGAGTGCATGTGCATACACGCATGTGAGCACGCATGAGTAGCTCTTATCGCTATGTATCTGAACATCTTAGCAACCTGTGCATCACGAACTTGTATTTGATCTCCTTAGTGTCCATCTATGTAGCCATAGGTTTTTCCCTCCTTTGTCTGATTTGGTACCCAGGCCAAGAGCCCAATTTGTTCTGCACAGAAAGTAGATAGTAAGACTGTCCCTTGTGTAACAGTCTTACTGTAGGAATTAGGAAGAGGAATCCAAGATGCTCAGATACTAAGCTGGGCCAGACCTCCTGTGTATGGCAAAGCTGAGACCATGAGAAAGGCAGTTAACTTCACACAATGAGTTAGTGCCAGGGCAAAGTCCTAATCTAGTCTCTGTGCTTACAGGATAGGTCTTTCTTTGGTCCTCTGTTGCCTTTCCTTGTGGTCCAGGGGCTGTAGGAAGAAGTCTTTCTTATATCACCATCATTTGCAGAAGGTCTGATCTCTGAGTCCATCACCAGTGAGAATAGAAAAGTGGCTCTCAGGCCGTAAGCAGCTGGACTGAGATGTGTACCAGGGGTAACAGGGCAGGTGCAGCTGTAGGGATGGTTGCTCCAAACTGCTGGGGATGGCATCTGGGGCGTTCAGGGGCAAAAAGTCCTGTTTGTTAGGTTCTGGAGGCCACCACTGATTGGCTGGGCCACCTTATACTCTTCACTGTGACCTTTGGGTTTTGTATGTTGTGAGAACCTTGGAAAAACTAGGCGAGGATTCAACCTGAGGGGAAGTGCCTGGGAAAACATGTTCAGGATGAGGAAGCGGCCCCTTAAAGTTGTAAAGCCCAGAGGTATTTGAGAAAGGCATGCCCTGAGTAGGACATGATGGCAGGGGTGGGGACAGGGAAGGGGCTCGGAGGGAAGGGAAGAGCAGGGGGAGGGTTATAAGGCAGGCAACAGCCAGATCTTGAAGTGCCTCTATGCCATGCGGAAGTTTGGATTCTTCCACGGGGAGCTATTGAAGCGTGTGAAGCAAGGGAGTACTGTGATCGAATGTGTGTTTTAAAAACAATCATTTGCAGTGCAGTGTGGAGAAAGGACTACAGTTAAGAATGGAGCAGACAACAGTTAGAGATTGCTCCTCTCACACTGGAGACATGGTGGTGACCTGGTGAGGCCCCAGGATGGTGGGAACTGAAAGGGAAAAAAAAATCGGTGATTCTAAAGATACGTGGGCCTTGTTGATGGGCTGTACGTGGGGGTCAGGCAGAGGGAAGAGTCCACGTTTCCTTGGGCAGCAGGACCAAAGACGGGCAAGATTGGAACAGAGTTTGTACAGAATAGGAACTGTTTGAGTTGTGCTGTTAGAACTCTGGACTGGGAGCGGATGCACGACCACAGCCCTTTCCCACCTTATTCTTGCTCCCACAGGAATGCTCCAGAATGGGAAGAAATTCGATTCATCCAGAGACAGAAACAAACCTTTCAAGTTCAGAATTGGCAAGCAGGAAGTCATCAAGGGTTTTGAAGAGGGTGCAGCCCAGGTAGGATGAAGACCTTGTTACGGGAGATTTGGGGAGTTGGGGGTCTGGGTGCAACACCCCGCCCCCCACCTGGTCACAGACCACTGCTGCCTTGACTCTGCCTCCAGGGTATGGCCACACCATCTAGTCTCAGGCCTGGCTTTGTGTCTCCACCCCTTTTGTTCCCAGCATGACTCCTTTGTCACTGGGGCTCTCATCCCAAATTCATCTCCCCAGGTTTGCTCAGCACTAGCTGGGGAGGCTCGTGAGCAACCACTGTCCCTGACTGAGGCAGCAGAAGTGCTGGGCTAGGGGAGGCCAAGGTGGGGTTTCTTTTCAACTTAAAAAAAATAATAATTTGACTTGCAAAAATATTGCAGGAATAGTAGAGTTCCCATATGTTCTTTACCCAGCTTCCCCAAATGTTAACATTTTACATAATCATAGTACAATGATAAACGCCAGGACATTAACATAGATATAATACTATTAACCAATCCATTTAAATTTCTGAGTCAGATATTTGAAATTGAAAAATCATTTATTCCAGTCCCCCCCACCCCCCCACCACCCAGTCTCACGAATGCCAGAAATGCCGGGCTGGTTCTCCCCCTTGGTCTGGGAAGTCAGGGCGCTCCATCTAGTGGTCCTTCTAGCCCTCGCCACCTTGCTGTGGCTCTGGTCTCTAATGCGCTCCCCTAACAGGCTGCCACGTCACCTACTGAATCGTGTGCACACGCACATGCTCCTCAGACACCCTCCTTCGGTTTTTCTGGAAGAGGGCAAGGAGCGATTGTGCATGAGTAGAAGTGTTTGGGCCGCATGACAGTTGAACAGGCAGCAGTGTTCACTGGGTGGATGCATGAACTTGAGACTGCTTTGTGGAAGCAACTGTCCCACAGTCAGGTTCCTGCTGTTCTGAGTCAGAATCCGCACTGAGCACAGTTCTTAGCACAACTCCAATGTGCTGGGTACACATTCACCTTGGGTTGGCAGGGTTGCCATGAGGATGGTTTAAGAAAATGCCATAGTTACCTTACCTTTTTCTTTTAAATCAAGCTGGGTCCTCTTTCTCCTCTCCCATCTGCCCCCATCCCTGCTAGATGAGCTTGGGGCAGAGGGCGAAGCTGACCTGCACCCCTGACGTGGCATACGGAGCCACGGGCCACCCTGGTGTCATCCCTCCCAATGCCACCCTCATCTTCGACGTGGAGCTGCTCAACCTAGAGTGAAGGCAGGAAGGAACTGGAGGTGGCCGGAGATGGCTGCCGCTCCCCTCCTCGCCGGCTCTGCCACTGGGACGGCTCCGCCCGCTCGGGGCCCTTGATCAGTGTGCTCCCCTCGCCGCCCCACCACACGGTCCATTCTCTGCCCAGCTCGCTCTCTGTGTTGGTCACTGTTCACATGCATCTTTGCTTAAGGAAACTTCAGTTGCGATCGAAACATTTCGGGTTGTGCATTTTGCGCGTGCATGTAGTAGCCGTTCCTGACTGCCGAACACGGATTTCTCGTTCGCACAATCGACACTGCCTTACCTTCACTGAAGCCAGACACACGAGGTGCTCAGACTCGAGACGTGTGCACGAGGGACTCGGGCCAGTTACCTTTGCTGTCACTTCCTCTTGGAAACCGTTGGCTGCTGACTTACAAAATGTCCTCTTTGGAAATGACACATAAAATAAAGGCTCTGTGCTTGACAAGTTCCTGTCCATCCTTGATGTAGGTAGGAAGGGCTTTAAGGACCATGTAAGCCAGTCACCCTTGGGAAAAAAGAGTGGACCGGAGCCTTCCGACTAGCCGGGAGAGGGATAATAAAGACCATAGTTGCAATGTGAGTACCGTGCATGCTGGGCCTTGTTTTGTTTTTAAAATAAAATTACCACCAATCATCTAAGCAGCCCTATGAAGTAGACATTATTTCCCCCACTCACCTCATGGGCTCAGATCTTCTCCAGGTAACGGAATAGACTGTTCAAAGCCTGTAGCCCATGGAGTTTGAGCATGTTGTGATCTTGCGACCTGTAGCTGTTTGGACTTAGAGGGGTGAGCTGTGTCTGTAACAAATGAAGGCACAGTGGCCTGAGAACCAAAGGCTGACGCACGCTGGGAAGTTACTTTTGAAAAGGCTGTGATTCTAAGCTTGTCTTCACATTAACTGCTTAGTTGCATCGAGATTCGCTCTTACATTGGGGAATTACTTCAGAGAATAACGTATGATTTGTATTGTTTCCACTTACATTGCTTAATTTAATCAGAATTTACTGAAACTCCCGGAAGTCCCATTAGGTTTTAAAATCAGCCCACTTACTGGTGCGCTGGTCAGAGGAGCCTGGGGCACCATGGCTGAGACGCCTCAGTCGGCACAGCTTCCACGCACAGTGCGGGTCATTCTGTCAGTGGTGTCTCACGTGTGAAGACTGAGGAGGGGCTGGGAACAGGTGCTGTTTCCGTCCCAGCCTCGGGATGTCACATACGATATGGGGCCACATCACCTTGGCTACTTCGTCTGCCCCTTTTGTCTCCAGGAAGTCCTGGCCGCATTCCTCTGCCGGACTTCCTGGAGTAAAGGCCGGAGGAGTTCAAAGGAGCAGCGTTCCACGAAAGAGGAAGAAATGGGAAAGGCTGCCTGGCCTCTGGCCGCCCAGCCCTCGGGCTCGCTGCTACGGGGGATCTGGCCCGGCTGCAGGGCCGTTTACTTCAGAATGCCTCAGCTCCCTGCTTTCTGCCACGACACAAATGTCTGTGATAGTTTCTTAGAACCCAGCCTGTCTTCTCATGTGCTCTGCTGTGACACCAACAGGACAACTAAAAATGGCACCAAGGGCCACTGCAGGTGACCACTGTGGAGTCGTACAGGAGCTCTCAGTCTAGAGTATGTATAACCTACCTGGTAAAAGGTAGGACCAGCACAAACAAATAAAAAAATGCAAACACCTACCGGCCAGCACCTGATGAGTACACGCTCGGCAGTGCAGCCTGCTTTACTAGGGCTCTGAAAAGACGGCGCAGAGAATTACGGTGCAGTGCGCTAGCCAGTTTGGACACTGTCCTGGGGCGGCCACTGAAAGCTGTTAAGCAGGACAGTGATGAGCGGTCCTATCAGCCATTTTCAAACTTCTGGTCAGTGCGTTCTCTGGCCATACAAAATCTTAGAAACTCAAAACTAACCTGAAGAATGTAAAGGCACACGGGCACACGTGTGTGTGTGTACACGTGCGTGGGCACCATCGTCCCTTGCACCCTGAAAGCAGTTTGGAACACTGAGCCATACATGTCTGGTGCAGGGGGCCGACTGCAACTACAGCTGCAACATCTCGGCACACACAGATTTAAACTTGTATCCTAACTGGGACAGACAACGAGACTGCCAGACAACTAGAGGGAATTTTTAAAAACTCTTCAAACATGTTACACTATAACTAAGTCTCATTTGTTTTCCCCTTACAAAAAAGCCCTTTAGAAATTTCTTTTTACTTGTGTAAATACCTAAAGCACGCACACACACACAAACCTAAAGCACATCATGCATTACAAAAATTAATACGGGATTCACAAAAGCATTCAGAAGAAAATTACAGCTGTGGTACTTTGTTATCTGCCTGCCCGTGTTAGAAATGATGCTTCTACAGTGCTTTCAAACAGCACTCAGACATAATAAGACAATTATTTCATTTTCAATAGAAGCCTTTGAGAAGACAGTACAAAAGTATAAAACAGCCTATTTTCTTAAAGTAATGACATTTCAAAGCTGTGTTTAAAAGTAGCCCACTTAAATGATTCAGTACCAATATCCTTCAAGTTTTGGGTTCTAATTTTATACATGTATATAGAAATAAAATTAGTCTGTTTTTCTATTTGGCCCATGCCTAAACTATGAAAGGAAAATTATAGCCACCCCCCCCAAGCTGCCAAGATCTGATACATGTGGTAATAACTGTGTTATTTCCATGCCATGGAGTGCATGATTTTAAGAATAAGCGCCATGTAATTGTTTATAGCAAAGATATACTATGAATAAAGGCCCAAAATATACACGACACTTATAACTAGACGGAAAGACTACGTCAATGCAATCTCAGACATGAGAAAACCACCAACACTCCCCAGGCTGCCTGCTCTCAAATTCCTGACCATGTGCTACCTGTCTCCTGAATGGCCATTCCTAGAACAGACCTCTGTTCTGAGCACACGGGTAGCCACAGCGACACAGGGGTTTTAACTGTGAAACAAGCACTATTCAAATGCACCAGCACGGTGAGTGACTGGTTGATGCCATGGCAACTTTTCACATAAGCATTTTATTTACTGAACCAACAGGAGGAGCTTTGGCCCCCTATCAGCAAGGTGGAGCTGTCTTCCTGTGGTGGGTCCTTATGCAGACTCCATCAGTGACAGACAGCGCACAAACGACAGCACGCGGGCACACTTCCCGACAGCCCAGCGCTGGGCCACACACCAAGGGCATTTGAGACACAGGGCCGTTCTCACTCCCTGAGGCCCAGCCTCTTGGACCACCTCCCACCAAATAATTCTTGGTATCATTCAACTGCTGTTTTTCTCCTCCTGGAATCAGGAGAAAGTTGAACAGAAAACACTGGCAGGTTGTGCAAAAAGCTACAAGTTTACTAATAATATCTTCTAACACTTATCAAAGTTTCAGGCAGGTCATTTGGAACCTCAAATAAGAAATTACAAGATCTGTATTAATTAAAAACCAAAAAAGGGGAGTGGCGATGATTCACGGGGGTTTCAGTCCAAAACGAAAATGCACAAAACATTTACTTTGGTGGATCTGTGTTGATGCCGTATTTCTCCTTGAGAAGCTTCAACTGTTCTTCCTTCTTCTTTGTGTCCATCTTCTGAAATGCCTGAGAACGGGGTAAGCACCGAAGTTAGGAGTCACTAATCTCCAGTGAAACCAACTGCATTTACAGCACCCATCTCCCCTCACGGTGCAGTCTGGCACTGATTCTTACATGGGCTCCTGCCCACCCCCCGACAAGAACCACGGCTACACTTACCCTGTTGGCATTATAGTACAAAACCACGAGGTATCTGTTACAAACATTGAATCCTGACAGGTGATCACATGCATTCTTGGCGTCAAAGATGTCTTCATAGACTACATACGCCGTCCCTCTAGTTTCGGGTGTGTTCCCCCTGCAGAAGTGAACCAGACAACTCAATACACATTGACCTGAAAACCATCAGCAGAAACGAACATTGTGGACAGGTACTGATTGCTCGACTCGACTCGGGTAATTTTGCTTTTATGTAAAATTGCTACAGGTTAGACTCACTGTTACAGCAAGAACACTAACAGAGCTACCAAAGCAGTAATGACAAAGAACTAGCTTGAAACTTTGTCATGGTCTTCATGTTCCAGTCTTTCCCTCTTCTCATACCAAGAACCAATTTTTGTCTCAAATACCCTTTGAGACAAAAAGCACTGTGCTGTGCTGTAAGTACCAAGAGTGATGCTCCTATTAGTCAGCAATGTCGGAACGGGGTTTTTCTTACTGTGCATTTAGGCAACAGAACCAACACTTTGCTCACCACACTACTAGCTGGAAACCAGTATCTTGTCCCTAAAGACTTAGCTCTCCCCCCAATTTTAGTTTCAATTCTTAAAAATAAGATGATCTTCTCAATTCCAGAAACACATTTCTGGGCAATAATTCACTAAGGTTTATTAAATCCATAAAAGTAAAATCTATTTTGTGGGAGTAGGGGTGGAGAGGAAGCCCCTACACCGAGATGGCGAAGTTCTAAACGAGATATACAAGAAAACAATCAACCATCATTCTTTTCAGCTACAAAAGCGCACCCTCCTATGTATAGAATTACTGTAGCTTCTCCCACCGGGGTGACCCAGGAGCCAGGGCAGCAGGCCGAAAGGCTGCTGGAGACGGGAGCCGGACCTTGCTCACAGATATGGGGCTGCTGCTCAACTCTTCCCCTCACCGCACGAGCTTCTACCGAGGAGCAGGCAGGGAAGTGTGAGGAGCAACAACAAACTGCAGGCCGCAGCTGGCCGTGTGCTTGTCAGTGGGGACGCTGGGCAGAGATCTGACTCAGTGATGCTCCGCTGTGATAAAGATGGACCCCTTGCCTCCATCTGCGTGCCAGCCACCCAGGGCAGCTGTGAAACAGGGTTTAAGACTGTGGTCTGCCACAGCCCCGCACAAGGTCAAGGAGAGGGAGTGGGCTTCGGGAAGGGGAGATACCTGCCTAGGTTTGATCTAGGATGAGACTACTGTCCTGGGCCCCAGGCAGAGCCTGCGCTTTCTGTGAAGAAGACAGGACAGGCATGGAGTGCTGGGGTGGTCGGAGGTGCAATGTCCCCGAATGCTCTCCGCTGTTGGCTGTATGGGTCTGGAGAGGGGTTTTACAATACTCTTTCCTCTCTGGGAAGTCTAACAACTTTCGGAGTTTTGACTTTCAATCTTATAGAAAGTAGGGGCTGCCCAAAGGAAAAATCACTGTCCCAAAGATTTTCCAAAAAAAGTCCACCTACTTTTTCCTTTGGAATGAAAACATTAAAAAACCTTAAGATTTTAAGTTCCTGAGGGCAAAGATCTCCCGTTTTACCCCCCCCCCCCAGTGCTGTGTAACTGCAGGGCTAGTGAGCAGTGGGGGGACGGGGATCTACTGTGTCTCGCCTCCCTTCCCCAGGACGCCAGCAAAGCGAAGCAAAAGCATGTCCCTTTCTCCCTCTTACATCTTCTTCAAAAGAAGAGGGAGAGGCACCAACCACATTTTCAAGACTCTTCATCTTAAGTGCACCAGCCCTAATTATCAACCTATTATCTTGAAAACCACATTGTAATTTTGGTCTTTAAAAGCATGTACTTGGTAGCTATTGTATGTTCGGCACTAAGCCAACATTATTTTCTTGAATGGTGGTAGAAGTGGGAATGGAAATAAGAATTACCTAATCATGTAACTTCATCTCGCTGAGCTTCAGCTGCTTCATGTGTCGAACGGTGACACAAGGCTCTACCCCACCCCACGCTACACGTGGCTTTAAGCTTTAATAGTCAAGAGGCCACAAGCAAGAAAGGGCCTAAAAAGTTCAGAGCACCGTGCCAGTGTCTGCTACGTGCCAGGTAAGGGGACCAATCGCCCGGTTTGCCCAAGGCTGTCCAGTTTTTAGCACTGCAAGTTCACCTCCCAGAAAACCCCTGGGTCCTGGGCAATGGGGGAGGTCAGTCACCCCAGTGCTGGTGCCAGTGCCATAAAGCCTGGGCACGGCAACGGGACAGAAAAACCTGTTCCTTAATCTTGAATTCAGACCCGAGCTCCTGCACACCAAACCCTTCTCTAACTTTGCTGATGGAAGTACCTCTTAATTGTGTACGATCCGTATATTTTGTAATACCTTCACGAATCAATCACAGCCCCACTACCGTTTTATGTATTACTCACTCGCTTATACACACTGGGTGGCTAACACGCATCAGGCACGAGGCTCATCAGCACGGAGTGAAAAGAGTACGTGGTACCTGCCCCGGAGGAGCTCGCGGGCGGGCAGGAGAGACGAGGGAGTGCACGGGCAGCAAAAACATGTGTTGACTAAGAAGAGGTGTTTCTAGAAGGTGCTATGGCAACACAGAGAAGTGTGAATGGTGGCAAATGCACAGTGGGAAGGAGATACTCAGTGACAAAGTGCTGTCACAGGCATGTCCAATTTGGTCCTCGCCAAAATTCTTCTAAGAGAGCAGGTTAGGAAGACTGTATTCACAGGTAATTGAAGCTCAAGGGGGAAAAACATTTTGTCCAGGTTCACATGACTAACAGGTGCCCAGTCAGTATTCGAACTCAGGTCTTAACCAATTCAGGGACTTGACGATGCAGCACAACATGTTCTCAGGTCTAGAACGGAGTCTCTTAACTCGCAGTCCACGCGCCCACTGAAATCAGATGCAGGATGTCGTGTGCACTGTTCTGTGGGAAGGGTCCAGAGCTCTTATCAAATATGCAAAGAATTAAGACGGCCTACAACGGACAGCTGGTCCACACTGCTTCACTCTCAATCCCATTTCAGTATCGATGATGACACATTTCTAGCTGTGGGTTCACCTCCTGGAGGGACAGTGATCATGTTAAAGGAGAGTCCTCAAGATCTCGCAGAATTCTAAAAGAAAAGGCTCTCCACTCATAAAAGTAAATTGTTGTCCATCAGGCTCAAATACACTTGAAGGGAGGGAGGGAGGGGAAAGGGGGAGGAGGGAGAGAGAGAGCGTGGAAGCGCACGCGCCAGAGCAAGAGAGAGAGGAGAGATACTCCAACTAAAGAAGCCTTAGATCTTTCAGGTGGACTCTTACATAGGCAGTCCATTTATATTAGTGGGACAGCACCTGTGTAGTGCAGAAATTTAATTTAGAACCAGAAGGTTTTCTTACTAAACAGCTGTGTGAAGGAGAAATCTACTTCTACTCCCTGGGTCCTGACCACCTCATCTGGGAAACAGACACAGAACCACATCCGCACAGGGGTGAACGACGGCGGTGCATACAGAAGCACCCATTACGACAAAGGGCATTTGGCAGATATTCAAGGAATATCACCTGAAGGTATGAGCCCTTCAATTTAAATTTGGATTTAGTTTAAATTAAAACATGAATTTATGTTGTCATTTTCCCCCACACTTTTTTTAGCATTGTTTTCTTTATATGGTAGTATTATAAGTAATGACTTTTTCTTTATTTCTCCAAATGAGTCTATACTGCTTTGGAAAACCAGAGACTTACTGAGTAAGCATATTTTTAAAGAACAGATTAGGGGAAGGGTCCCCTACACTTTTACATCTGCCACAGAAAGCTGCTGCTGAAAAAAAAATCATTTTTCTCAGTTACTTTTATGTCCCTTTACTCAATTTATTCAGAAATTCTGGAGTTAGTAAAGGAGACGGTGAAGATTATTGAGAAAACCAGAATTAATGCATATAGAAAACACAGCATAGTATTTGACTTTACAAATAGTAGGTAAGCAATAAAATGTTAGTTCCTCCTCTTCCCTTCCAGTCCCCTCAAACCATTCATTTTCTCTGTAATTTCACGACCAGTTGGCTCTTACTGAGCTGGATCATGAGGGTCTCAATAGGTCTTTTTCCTTTAAAAACAACAACAACAAAAAAATACTCCCTGGCTTCAACCTATTGGCCTCTAGGCTCTCAGGTAGACCCTGCTGTCAGCTCTAATTCCTAGACCATAGATTACACAATCATTTTCTATAAACGACATTTCAAAGGTCTTAGTAAACTCACACTCTGATTTGACGAATAGGTCCGTATTTCCCAAATATATCATACATTTCTTCAGCAGTGATTTTGTAAGGCAAATTTCTTATATACAAAATCCGATTTACTTCAGGTGGAAGTCGAATCTAAAATGAGAAATATATACTGTCATTATAATCAAGAGAAAGTGCTACCATTTAATAAAATTCTCATAATAAACAAGAAATTATCATAATATAAATAAATAAATAAATAAATAAATAAATAAATAGCTGGCCCTGGCCCAGTAGCTAACTTGGTGGGGGCATCATCCTGTGCCCCAAAAAGGCTGTGGGTCTGATCCCCACTCAGGGCACATACCTAGGTTGTGGGTTCAACCCCCAGTCGGGGACCATATGGGATGCAACCAATTGATGCTTCTCTCTCCCTTCCTCTCTAAGAATCAAAAAACATATCCTCAGGTGAGGATTTACAAACAAAAAAGCCAAGAATCAGAATCAGATATTACTGAAAATGGCATGCTTTTCAGAAAAGCCATGGGGCACGGTTTTAGAAAAGACTATTAGTAGGAACTATGAGAAGCTACTACAAAAGCCAGGCTTTCAGTCAATATATTTATTATTTATTTCTTGATTGCCAGTCAGGCTGATTTCTTTTATTCCTTAGGGGAGCAGTTTGCTTATGTACTGCCATCGTTACACAAAACAAAATACTTGGCTACCTTTTCATTCATTAAACAAGTATTTATTGAGCACCTTCTTTCTGAATACACCAGGCTAGGCGGTGTTAGGGTTACAGAGTAAAAGGAAACAGACCAGGCTTCTGCCTTCCCCAAACTTATTAGCTCTCTATTATCCTATCTTGCTTTCCTTTCCTGCTTCAGTCAAGCACCTGGAAAGAGGAAGCCTACAGTCACTGCCTCCTACTCTTCAGACACTCATCAACCTACCACAATCCAGCTTCCAACCCAAAACTGATGAAAGTGCTTTTACACACTAAGAACTTTAACTTGCAGCGTTCAATTCTCATCATACTTAACTTCTTTGAGCCTCTGACATTATTAACTGTGACCCTCTTGATCCTCTTTATTTCCTTGGCTTTCTCCTAATTCTCTGGCTAGCTCTTTGTCTGCTTTGCCATTAAAATATGCTCTTCCAGCACTGGCCAGGTAACTCAGTTGGTTAGAGTGCCGTCCAACACACCAAGGTTGCAGGATCGATCCCTGGTCAGCGTATATACAAGAAGCAACCAATGAATGCATGAATAAGCAGAACAACAAATCGATGGTTCTCCCTTTCCAAAGTCAACTTTTAAAAAATATGCCCTTCTACATTAGACTTCTTGTCTCGACCCTTTGTATAACTCCCCCTTAACTCTACACCTCCACATTCTGTTTCTTAACCACAATGTGATTTCCACACTGAGTTGATGATGCTCAAATATGTATCTCCCATCCAGATCCTGGGCTCCTTATTAACATATTCAGGTACATAACAGACATTAATTTGCTCAGTATTTATTAAACTGGCAACTATGCCAGGCATTCAACTGTACTGTATAAATAGAAGAATATTATACTTACTCCCTGCCCCCAAACTAGTAGTGGTGACAAATGGTAAACTAAGTATCATAAAGTTTTAGATTTCAAGGTTCAAGGGTATGTTCAAATAGATAATCAACACTGGTTATCATACTATACTTCATTAGTAAATCTGCTTTCTCACATTGCAAGAACACTATTACACTTTCTCTTCTCACACCTTACCTCTACCATTCCTTATCATATCTGAGTTGAGATGTATTCTCTACCCTGCCCACACTAGGAGAATGACCTTAGCTCTTGCTTACTGGAAAAAAGAAATATGACCAAATGGCAAGGGCCCTATATTCATATTATTAAACCTGCCAATCTGCGTTCATCCATATGCACCTACTCTCCCTCTCAGTACTATGCCAACCCCTCATCTAGTCCAAACCATCCTGAACTTAATCCACTTTTCTCCTACATCATCACTCTCACCCACTTACTAGATCATTCCCACTGGCATTCAAATACACCTTATATCGCACATCTTTAAAAAGGAAAAAGTTATCATCTGATTTTCTTCTTCCTATTCTTGTGATATGAAAACTTGGGCGAAGAACTGTCTCCACTTTCTCAACTTCCACCCGCCTTTCGTCCCACCACAACTAAGTTTCCTCCACTGAGATGAAATCATCAAGGTCACCAAAATGCTCCACCTCACCATGTCCAATATTCTCAGCATTTTAAACACTCTTTTTTGAGACTTTTTTTAGGTTTCCATAACGCCCCACTCTCTAACATAAAAATGTAAACAATAGGGCTTTTTGTTTTATTCATTGCTGTATCTTCAATACCTAGACTAGTGCTTGGCACGTAGTAGCTGTTCAATAAACACAACTGATTGTTTCCTATCTCGCAAGTCTGGTACATTGCAGGTGCTCAAAAATATTGCTGAATGAAAACATGAGGGATCCAAAAAGCTCCCGGATGAGGAGACTCCCGGGCTCCAGTTGCCTGTTGATCATTAAGTTATTTATTGTGTAATCATCTGCGCTGCTGCCGTTTAAGCCGAGAAGATCATTACGCTAGGTTCTAGGTACAAACGAAGCAACAAAGGCTGTAGTGTTAATACTATCACTAGCACCAGGATAAGACGCTGAAGGAACTCTCAAAAGAGGTGGGAGCGGAAAGGTGACTCAAGAATATCTTTAAAAACCGGGCCAAATTGAAACCCTCTCCGACAGCATAGTACCTTCCGGGTTTCCTCGCCCAGCGAACGGATCAGGCCCAAGAATGCTGCGAACCCCGTCTCCGAGAAAGCCCAACAGCTCAGTCCTCCCCTCATCCGCAGAGTCTCCTATACTCACGTTCGCTCTTTTGGCCGCTTGCATCGCCATCTTGTCGGCCTGATCAGGTTACTGCAGTAAGTACTAGAATTCCCCCTTACTCCTCCGGAGCTCGCTCAGCTTTGAGACCAACCGGGCTACAAACGCAGGAAATCAACATCCAGGCTCTGCCGGAAGCTGTTACACTATACGTCGAAATACCTCCGTCTCACGTGGAGACGTGTTGACGCAGCATCCCCTTCCGAAGAGTCCGGGGCAAAACGAGCCCGGGGTAGCTACGAGGCCGGAAGATTGAAAGGAGAGGGACCAAGACACTTCCGGGCGCCGGACCGAGAGGGGCGGGGCCTAGACTTTGGAAGGGAGTATTTCTGTCTGGGCGGCCCTCAGAAGAGGAAGCAGGCTGGAGGGGGCGGGGCCTGAACTGAGCAGCTAGAGGTGGGGCTACACAGGTGAGTTACCGAAGGGGGCGGGGCTCGGCGTGAATTCCTTGGTTGCTGGGCCCGCGTGACGGTTTCGGAGAACGCGTGGGTGGGCCCGGACCTCTGATGGTGCGCGAGGGGGGGATCTACAGGGTCGTTATAATTCCGTACACAGGAGCCCGGCGCAGCCCTGAAGATCGAGTGTGGGCTGACCTGGCTTCGCCTGTAATCCCCGCCGCAATGCCCATCCGATCTCCCACCTCTTCCCCGCCCGCGTTGCCTCAGTCCGCGCGTAGAGACCGCCGGTCCTGAGCCGGCTACCCTTCAAGTGCACTCTTTATTTCCTTAGGACAGCTTTACATGAATTGATTGACGGGGCCCAGGAAGGCCCAGAGGGTTACATGTGGGCCTGGGGTAGCCTCTGGCCTCTTGTCTGCGTACAATGAATTTTCAACAAGCTTGCTCTGCAAAGGCCTGAGGTACCCGTTCCCTGTACTGTGCTCCTTCACTGGGGCAGCTCCAGGACGATTTTGCCCACGTTCTGATTACTCTCCATGTACTTATGGGCCTCTTGGATTTCAGCCACGGGGTAGACTCGGTCCACAACCGGCCGTAGTCGGTGGGTACTCTCCGTGGAGAAGTGGGGCACAACTTGTTCTGTAAAAGCCTTCACCAGCGATTGCTTGTACTAAGATAAGGAAAAGGAGACCGTCAGCCGGGACAGCGGCCTTACCTTGCCACCGCCCATCCCGCTTAGCCTTTGTGCTCTCTGTGGAATGACTACCCATCTGGAAAGGCACACAGGGGTATCTAACCCCTTCATCACCAACATGTATGCGCATGCCCCCAAATGTGTAACCTCTGTTCTGTACCAGATAAAGACTGAAGCCTGGAGTAAAATATTAGTGTTACTGACAGCCTAAGGAGTGTTTTTTAAATAAAGGTTTCAAGCAGGAGGCAGCCACAGACAGACAGACCTTGGAGAGACTCAGTTCAAATGGGATGTTTAAGCTCTGCTCTCCCCCAATTAGTGTGAAACCTAATGTTGGGAAACATTCCCGAAGCTGACACAGATTTCAGGTTGCAGGTAGAGGCTTACTTAGCCTCCTGAAAAGAGTCGTGCCTTTTAAAACAAAGTCTTGAAACTGTTAAAAGTGCTTCCTAATATGGTCAGTGCTTTGTTCATTCTGTTAGAAAGACTCCCTGGTCTCATGCATGCAGCATTAGCCGCCCTCTCTCCAAGATGTGGAGGCTTCTATTCACCAATTGGACTTAGTTCTGTGAGATTGGGTTAACTGTTCATCCACAGAGAGGCAGGTTTCTGCTTAGGCTTCCTAACTTAACATGTGGCATTTCTTCCATTCTTTGGGGTCATGGAGATGAATTACACTTCTCTGGGGAACAGTTTTCACTCGTCACTCACCTTTCTGTCCCTAGATCTCAGCAGACTGCCGATCAGACTTCCTCGTTTAAAAAGCAGTTTTGAAAGTAGAGGCCCATTGACTTCGTTTCCTCCCATCAGGCCATAGAGAACCCAGCGACCATCAACAGCCAGGCAGTTGACATTTTTCTCCCAGTGGGATCCTCCTATGCAGTCTAGAATAAGGTTGACTCCAGCACCTTCCACATAAATCACAATTTGCAATGCTAGTCAGGCACAGAAAGCTTGGTGCAAAATAGGGTTCCGTGTCGTGTTGGTGGACATATAGGTATAAATAAATACAGGCACCAGTGGTACATCCGCAGGTTGGAACTAGAAACACTGCATATACAAACACTGAATGTAGTTTAGGTAGCTGAACTCTACCATATCTATGTGAAATAGTTCGTCTTTTATGATCTTTAGCCACAGCAAGTGGGAAATGGGGCAACGCCATGATCCAGTACCCACATAACCCCACTGGCTCCTGGGCATGAGTGAGAACAAAACAGGGGAGGTCCACCCCGGGCTACAGGGCAGGCCAGTAGTTCACAGCTAAGTTATGAAGTATCTGCACTGGATTGTTTGACTTGGAGCTTTGCTAGTTTTGGTGTCATCTCCCCTTTTTCAATTCATGAAAAAATGGAAAAGGATGTGCCAGAAATATTCAGATTTGGCTTTGGAATACAGAGGCTTATCCATTTAGGAAGCTAGCACCCCAACCCTGCTGCAGATGCCTCCGAACTGGTCTCCATGCCCCGTATCTCCTTCTAACCCCCCGTGTGCCAGCTGGTTGGGAATAAGAGGTCCTGGATAATTCTGGGCCAACTCTGGTACATACAGTTTCTAAAACGTGTATGAATCTTATCACAAGAGTACACATGGAAACTGTCTTTGTCCTAAATATGGCCTGCCTATCTCCAGAGGTCAAACACCTGAGTACTAGAACTTGACCAGGGCAGCTGTCGTGCGTTTGGCAGAGACCAGACCAGTCAAGACTCTGGCTACCTGGAGACTGATGAAGATATTATTTAATCATCTCTGAAATTCCTGCTGAGCTGCAGAAATGGTTACTTACCTTCGGTGAATTTCATTGCTGCTTCAGAAAAATCCTCTTCTTTGTAATTAAATCCAACAGCTGCTCCGAGTTTTTCTGCCATTTGAATCTTGTCCTGGGAGCCAGCTGTGACCAGAGGAATAGCTCCAGCTAACCGGGTGAGTTGGATGGCCGCTGTGCCCACCCCGCTGAGTCCTGCGTGGATCAGCACAGAGTCTCCGGCCTGAACATTTCCTGTGACAGAAAGTACAGGAACCACTCTGTGTACTCTGCCACTGCTACACATTGCCCACGTGGGCATATTCTATTGTGATCACCCAGCTCTGGGACCACCAAATGCCACATTTCTTGCTCACTTTAGAGAACATATTGGTAGTTCTTTTTTATCTTATTGCCTCTGGTCAAAGTGGGGAAACATCTTTTGAAAGTTATTAGCAGCCACATCTGTAATCTCTGCTACCTATGAAATAACTCCAAAACGCCCATCACTAACCTGAGCCTGCTAAGTAAGAATAGCCACCATTCCCACCATCACCACCGGAAGCCAGTCCTTCTTCAGTCTGAACCCGGCCTCCGGCCGACTTCACTAATCCAGGCACCCGCCAGCTGCCAGGCTCCTCCTCCTAAAACAAGTTTTCATTATGTCACTATGTCCCCAAAATGTAACGTGGCTCTCAGTGGGCTTTCGCATCAAGTCCCCACAGCCTGCAGTTCAGGGTGACCACAATCCAGTCCCAGCCTCATTGTGAAAAGAAGTGATAACTGTCATCCTTCACTTCTGAGTGGAGCAGCCAAACTCACCTTTCTCTCTCACAAAGAGAGAAAAAGACACTATCTTAGACCACCGTGCCTGCTATCCTTCCATGTGACTCTACCCCCCTTCAAGTCCTCTTCCAGAAAGCCTTCTCTGACCACCTTTGCCCACACCCTTCTGAACTTTACGGTTGTCTAATTTCTGTGAATGCTTTGTCTTCCCAGTTACTCTGAGCTCCATAAGGAGTCTTCTTAGGCTCCCTCAAATGACGTCTTGGCTCGCCTCAGCGGGGTCGGGGAGGGATAAGACTTGACTGAATGGCCCCTCTGCTGGCCTGAGGCTCCCAGAGAGAAGCTCAGCGTGACTTCGAGGAGCTGGGGTGACTGGTGGGCCAGCGGTGTGAAGACGCACACTGGCCTTCTGTCCAGCGCTTCCCAGGCTTGCTTTCTACCCACTAACCATGACTTTCATCCTCAACTGTCAAGCCATTGCTAACATGGAATGAGGATGTGACACTTCCTGGGGACACTACTGGGGGTACAGTCGGGGGAGGTGCTGGGTTTAGGTGTGGCTCAGTGGCCAGGACAAAGCTGCCCTGGACGACTGCTGGGTTTTGAGGTGGCTAAGCCAGGACAGAATTGAGCAGTGTTGTGTGGGGGAGGCTCCTCACCCACAAGATGTAACAGCTGGAAGGCGGTGAGCCAGGCCTCCGGGATGGCTGCAGCCTGGGGCATGGTCAGTCCTGCTGGGATGGGCATGAGGAACCCTTCAGGGACAGTGACGTACTGAGCCTGACCCCCACCGGACAGCAGAGCCATGGCTGGGTCCCCAATCTTCCAGCGCCCCTGGCATCCAGGCCCCAGCTCCACCACGTGTCCGGATGCCTCAACTCCCAGGATGGTGCTGGCTCCCGGGGGAGGAGGATACTGGCCCCGTCTCTGCAGAGAGAGGGACGCACTGAGTGGAGAGCAGGATCAGAAATCTGTGTATCACTATCCCTGGCCCTCTTCCAGTGACCCCTTTTCTCTGACAGAAAATTCAGAATAAAGTCAGGAAAAGAGAGAGGAGAGGCCATTTGTTTCATGCAAATAAGACACAGTAGATCAGATAATCAGGGGATACCACAACTAGTAAGGTCTTTAGCTTTTCCCCTCATCTAAACCCCCTGTTTTACAAATGGAGAAACTGAGACCTGGGCAAGGCAATGCCTGGTCCAAGGCTGCAAAGTAAATCGGTAGCGGGACAAGGAACAAAACCATGGACTCGTGAATGATAGGTCTCGCCTATCAAATGCCAGGCTCTGTACTTACTCGTTGGGATCCTCAGAGGCCTCTGACCAGGGCTGCAGACAGAGGAGCTGAACCAGGAGTGTGCACCAGAGCCATCTGAGCAGCTTTTTCAAAACACACATGCCTGGGTCCCCCCGGTCATGTAAATTTGGAAAGAATGCCCCGGGTGATCCTGGTGTGAATTTCTCAATCACCCCAGCTGGTGCAGTGGGTCCGCATTAGCTCTTCGAACAGCAGGCAGAAGGAAGTTCTGAGTGCTGCTCCCTGCCCGCCCTGGGAGCCTTGGAGTGGAAAGAGTGCAGACTTCGGAGACACACAGGCCTCCATCTGAATCACGGCCTCCCAGGGTGAGGGGTGGTGTGGTCTTGGGTGTGTTGCCTAAGCCGCTGAACTCTTGGTTTCTTTCCCTGTTGACTACGGAGGTTGCTGCGGGGCTACCTGCAGAGTCAGTGAGACAGAGCTTGGCCTAACACCCTCCAACCTCAACAAATGTAATCCCCTCTTCTTATCTGGAAGGCCGAGCCGACTAAGGATCAACTCAGGGTGGGTTCTACTTTGCAAATACCACCGTGCCCCTGTATTTTGTGTAAGCAAAGGAGATTAAAGGGCTGCAGGGCTCAGAACCCCCAGCACCCATACAGCACACACCTCACAGGTGTTCCTGGCCATGCCAAAGGTTATTCCTTATCTGTTGGGCTGACTGAAGGCTCTGGAGTCCCGCCCTGGTCCCCGAGTACCTGGAGTATGTCCGCCCGGTTCAGGGCACTGGCCACCACCTTCAGGAGCACCTCTCCCTCTCCTGGGCTGGGCTTGGCCACTTCCTTCAGGTAGAGGTTTTCTGGCCCTCCTGGCTCGTCGAAGTGTACAGCTAACATGTTTCCTGGGGACACAGAGCAGAGCAAGGCAGGGGGCCTGAGAGTCTTCGAGGAGCAGAGCGCAGAAACCTTATTTTCTTTAATCTGGCCTCTTATTTTTATTTTTTTCCTTTGACTCAAACTAGCTTCACCAGTAGCCTAGGTTGGGTCTAGTGACCCAATTACACTTGGTAATTGGGTCAGAGTTACACTTGGTATCTTGGCAGCTGAACCCAGGAGAGGAGAACAGTCCCACAGAACAAGCCTTGCAAAGCTGGACAGGACAGCCCCTTGGCTGATGTCAGGACCAGGTGCCAAGATCCAGGGCCCCACCCCAGCACCCACCAATCACTTGAGACCGGGACCCAAACTCCTTCAGTCACTATGACTGGTGACTTTTCCCTCCCTGGGGGTGGATTATACAGGGCAGGGCCAGAGTAGGCTTGGGGTGCGGCAACACTAGGGTTACAGTCATCCAAGTGGGAAAAATACAATAAGTAATAATATAGGAATAAACTGTGCTTCACTTGCTCAGAACTGGAACCCTACTATTACCCGACCCTGTATAATCCACCCCCTGGAAGCCACTGGAGGGTCAGGTTCGAGCACAAAGTACTCTGACGGGTGCAGGCAAAGGACCCCGCCAGTCCGGGACCAGGACCACAGTGCCGGGGCCCACACTGAGGGCCCTGCCTGCCAGCTCCTGCCACCAGCCCCTTTTCCTCGGTTTCCTCAGGGTCTGGCCCCCCTCCCACCTTCTTCTGAGGCCCTGCCTGATCGAGATGGACCCTGTGTAGAGGACCCAGATTGGGACAGGGTGAACGAGGCGGGGACGTCCCTACCGGGTGGGTGCTGCGGAGCAGGAAAACACTGGAGGGCAGGGGGCAAATTCCCCAAGTTGGAATCCCCACCCTGCCTGTGTCAACTGGTGTAACCACCCAAGAACCTAATTTTCTTTAATCTGGACTTTTAGTTTTTTTTCCTTTGACTCAAACTGGCTTCACCTAGTGCCCTGACTTACCCACCAATCTCTCCCTTGCTGAATCACGAAGCTCCCAGGACAATGAGGTTCTGGACAAGAACCAATAGTCTTAGGACCAAGGCCCTCCCTGAGACGAAGTTAAACATAGTGTCTTGGCCTCAGTTGTGTTTTAGCTCTGGACCCAGGAAAGCAGGACAGTCCCACAGAGCCAGCCCTTGCGAAGCTGGACAGAACAACTCCAAGGCTGAAATCAGTCCCTGGCGCAGTGATCTATGACCCCTACCCCTGCACCCACCGATCAGTACAGACCAGGACCTGAACTCCACTAGTCACCATGACTAATGACTTTTCCCTAATAATCCACCTCCTGGAAGCCACGGGGGAGCCAGGTCTTTGAGATGAGCTGCCTGTGACTCCTGGCGTGGCGCCACCTCCTTAATAAATCCTTTCATTCTTGGCTGCAAACTCCTGTTAGTGCCTCCTGGGGCTCTGATGGGCGCAGGCAAACGACCCCCTTCAGTCCGGTCGGCGGCCCGAGTCCATGCTGCGGGGCTTCTGCCCCAGTGGCTTCATTTTGCCCACCTTTGCAAGGTGTGTCCTGCCCCTCACCCCTTCCTCTGAGGTCCCAGCCGATCCGGAGGACCCTACACAGAGGACCCAGATTGGGACAGGGTGAATGAGGCGGGGACAGCCCTACCGGGTGGATGGTGAGGAGCAGGAAAACACTGGAGAGCAGGGGGCAAATTCCACTCCCTCCGAGTCGAAACCAGCGCCCCCACTCTGTCCCGCCCCGCTCCCGCCCCCCCCCCCCGGCAGTCACTGGCGCCTGTGTGAGTTACCCACCTATTAGCTGCTCCAGACGGCACGGCCTGGCCCTGCGATCCCTGCAGACCCTTGGAGCAGCACCCCCGCAGGCCTGGCACTGTCTGACAGCGAGGCAGCGCGAAAGGGGTGGGGCAGACCTGGACCAGCCCCCTCCCTCCCTCCCTCCTTAAAATGCAAAGATGGAAACGGCAAACAAGTTTTCCTTTTCCTTTGAGCCTCTGGAAATTAGTCTTTCTCTCGGTTTGGCAGGAAACGTTGTCCCACCTCTTACTGCAAGAAGAGGAAACTTCCCTCTCTCTCCAGGGAACTGGACCTGAACTTGGTCCATTTCCCAGTCAGGCTGGGCTCGCAGCCCAGTTACGCCGCGGGTCTGGTGTCCTGCCCTTCCTGTGGCCGGGCACCTCGAGTCGGACCGGCAAGCGGTGTGGTGCTAAGAGAAAAGGGGAGTAGGAACAAAGAAAGGGAAGGAAAAGGCAGTCCTGGGCTCCTGGTCACTGCTGCTCTTCCTCCTCACTTTCCTGGGGACCAGGAGGCGGCCCCTGGAAAGTCCTGCTCGGGGAGAGAATTCGGACTGGTTGAAAGCTGTACCAGTAGACTGCCTGTGGGTTTCTCGACCTCGGCATTACTACACTTTGGACTAATGATGCTTGGTTGTGGCAGACCGCCCTGTGCACGGTGGGAAGTTCAGCGGCATCCCTGGTCTCCATCCACTAGATACTGTACCAAGAGCACCTTCGTCCAGGCGTGACAATATGGAATGTTTCCAGACAGCCCCAGATATCCCTGGGCCAGAGGTTGGGGTGGCTGAAGGGGTGCAAAACTGCCCCCGGGGGTTCAGAACCACTGGGCTAGAAGATGACACACACGTGTGTGCCTCGTACCTTTTGTAGTGCTGTATAATTTACCTCTCGACACGCATTTTCTTACTTGATCATCATAACACTTTGCTAAAAAGGAGCCGAGCTACAGATTGACTTCCAGGGGCACATATCTAGTGAGCGCCAGAGCCAGGAATCAAATACACCTCCTGGGGCCCAGCCCAGGGCTCTTCCCACCATAGCAGGCTGCCTGGCATAACACTGTCTGCTGTCAATTGCAAAGTCCCCTTTTCTCTCTTTACATCCCTCTGCCGAGCACATCTCCAGTCAGGTTACCCAGGTTACTGGGTGTTTTTATAAGGCTCTCTTTCACAGGAATGCCTGTCTGCCACCCTCCCTCCTCTTGCTGTCTAGACCGGGGCCATCCTCCCAAGGAACGGAACAGAGGGAGCAAGTGCGTTCAGAGAGAAGGCCCACGTGAGGCCTTTCCTAGAAGCTGTGCAGCGGGTGGTCCTGCTACTTCTGTGGGGAGACTCTAGTGTCTCAGAGGGACCGTGTCTCAGGAAGGACAGAAACCCTCTGCTGCTGGCTCCCCGGTAGTTAAAGACCCAAACTCGGTGTCCTGGCACTAAGGTCACTCTCCCTCCTGTCTCAAGAAACCTACTCGTCCTCAGCGCCCTGTTGTGCGTCTCCTCCGAGGGGGCCGGAGGGTGTCTTCTCACTCACTCTCACCCCTCCGGTCTAGATCAGCTTCTGCAGAACAAGACCAGAGCTTCTGGACAAGGAATGGCGAGCAATGGATCTGGGAAAAGCTTGACTTGGGAGATGTACAGGAAGGTCAGTATCTCACGGGAGTATGTTGGGCTCATAGCTCACGTGAAGCACAGATTGAGCTTAATGGATGGGCTCAGCCCTCCCTGCTCCTGAAATTGGGTGAGTAACGGGGGGGGGGGGGGGCAGAATCGAAACAGCAGGGAGTCTTTTTGCTACCTTATCCACACCCCAGCCACCTCTCCTTTCACCATCTGCAGGCATGCTGTAGTAATTTTTTTTCCAATGTATGGTTGCTTCTGGTGCATCCCCTGCTGGAAACTGGCCTGCAACCCAGGCATGTGCCCTGACGGGTAATTGAACCTTGATCTTTTGGTTCACAGGCCCACGCTCAATTCACTGAGCTACACCAGCCAGGGCCCCAGTAATTTAAGGTATTTTAATAATCAGAAAATAACTAATGTGAGCCAGCAGCCTGAGTCCAGATCTGTTAGAATAGAATATATGACCAGCAAAATGGAGTAACTGTTTAATGTGAAAACTTGAATTCAAAAAATAAAAAAGCCATTGAGAAGAGTCAGGACTATCACAAAAATACTAGAATTAAAAAAAAAAACCCAATGAAATAATTTAGTAGTTGCATTGAATGAGAGTTGCTGTTGAGACCCAAATTAGTGGCTAAGAAGACTGAGGTCAAGAAATATCTCAGGCAACAGATCAAAAAACTCAAGAAGCAGAAATTCATAAGAAGATAAGAGATTCTCATCGCAGGAGACCCTGCGATGAGAATAACAGGAGTTTTAAAAGGAGGAGGAGGGATGGATAAAGAAGACTCGGTAGTTAAACAAATGATAGAATAAAATTTTTCTAAGCTATATCAGATTCTACAAATTGAAACGGTTCATCATGTTAAAAGATGGAATGAGGGGGGATGCCGGGAAGATGGCAACGAAGTAGGATGAGCGGATTCTAGCTCCCGTACTCGTGGGTGAAAATCCTGGCAGATCTATAGAGAAGCAGCCCACTAAACCATTGGTTATCCAGCATTTGTGAAATTAAAAGAAGAGATTGTGACGGACGCTGAAACACCAGACAGTGGCAGGTCAGTGGGGTCTTGGGGACCGGAGTAAAGACAAAGCGGCGGCGGGGGCCAGGCGGCCCCGGTGCTGCTTCTATGGTCAGGGTCCAGAGCCATCGGTCTGAGACCAGCACCAGAGGTGTCTGCCACAGGAGCCTGGGCACCCAGCAGCCCCAGTGGCCACCAGCATGGGCCAGCAGCTCCCCCGATCCCCGTATAAACAAAACTGGACAACACTGGGCAGAGACTTGTCTGCTTGCCTGCTTGCATTATCAGGGAGGATTACAAAGACAGAGGGCTGTGTTCAACTGCAGTCTCTGTGGTCACCAGCCTGGGAGAATTGAGAGGTGCATTGTCCTCACTGGTCTGGCTGGGGACTGGGCTGGGCTGAGAGGCAGGCTGTCTTGAGAGGGTTTTTTTGTTGTTGTTTTTTTTTAAGTGGACTGAGGTATTCTCCTGCCAGGGCAGCTTGGCTTGCTTCCCACCCAGCCTTGCGGCGAGCCAGGGGGAAAGCAGAGGCATTTGAGTCCCGCCACAGGACTGGGAGGCACCTTGCCGGTTCCTCGGGTCCCAGACAGCCTGGCAGGCGCACACAGGCACAGAGGCTTCTGAGTCCCGCCACAGGACTGGAAAGGACCCTACCAGAACCCGTGGGACCCAACCAGCTTGGCGAGTACTGGGGTGCCCACACCCCAGTCTGGTAGCCTGGCTGGTGTGGGCACTTGGGCCAGCATCCCAGCCCACAGAGAGATCCTGCTGCAACCAGAAAAACCAGTCTGGACAGTTTGAAACCAACAAGGGAAGGTTTTTTGTTGTTGTTGTTTTTTTCCCTTTTTTTTAGTAACTTTTTTTGCGTTTGTTTAGTAATCTTATATATTTTTTAATTTTATTATTGCCTTATCTTTCTATAATTTGTCCCTCTTCTTTCTTTTTCCCTGTTTTAGTCCTTCCTTTCCTCTCAAACTCATCACTTTTGCCTCCCTTCTCCTGTCTTTTTGTTTGTTTGTTTGTTTGTTGTTTTGTTTTCTTTTACCCACAAGAGACACAAACAACTGGGAACTGTGAAAGGACCAGAGTGGGACCCAAAGAGGGGTCATCTCAACAGTACAGACAGAGAGACAAATTTCAATTTCCTATAGCAGAGAAGCCGCGAGATGTTGCATTTTTTCATTATTCTCACTTCTTTTATATTTTAATAGTATTTCTGTATCCCTCCTCTTTCTGTATAGGCTTCTTAGTCTTGAGTGGTTATATTGTATTATTAGACAGGCTCCCCCTGTCCTTTCCTCCACAGTGCTTTGCTCATCCTCTATACTCCACGCCTCTTGTTTTTCTTTAGCAGACTACCTAAAGCTCTATACCCTCTACTCAGACAGATCACATAGAGTTTGTTATATGATTGCTGCTCTAATATTAGTGTAAATAATAGCTGATCTATACAACAGTAAATACTTCACAACACATCTCCCAGATCTTAGCCCATTGTACAGGTCCCTGAATTCTATTACTGTAGTGATTAACTCTATTTGCTCACACACTACACCTGTTTACTGTTCCTTACACTCACCTCAAAATCTGACCGTCTGAAACCTCACTGCTTTCTAGATCCAACTAACAAGCCTTCCCTCCCCAACAAGAGGCTTATCCTTTGTCCATCCTTTCGTAAAAGTGGCAAGTTGGGTTGAAGAATATGGTTAACACTATATATAGCCTAAAGATCGCCTATCTCCTCTCTACCAGCTGTGACTGTAAATATCATAAAAAACTCTTCTGCTGTCATAAAACATTTTGCCTCCCCCTCCAACTGATTACACATACACCATAAAAGGAGTAGGCAGAAACGGAGAACATTAAGATACCTGAAGGAGTCTGCACCACTGAAATTCACAGGTATTATACCACAGAAGTTCACAACATAAACCCAGGGAATCAGAACAGATCAATTTTAGAAGCTGAGGCTAACAAGAAGAGTCTCACAAACAATGGGAAGATAAAGAAACAATCCCCAAATGAAAGAAAAAGCAGAAGCTTCAGAAAGAATGTTAGATGAAATAGAGGCTAATCAACTATCAGATAGTGAATTCAAAGCACTGGTTATGAAGTTCAAAGAACTCACAATGAGCTACCAGAAACTACAGGGGAGTTACAATGATCTCACCGCAAACTATATCAACATGAAAAAGGAAATAGAAACTATCAGCAAGGGCCAAGAGGAAATGAAGAATACAATTTCTGAATTGAAGAACACAGTAGAAAGTTTCAAAAGTAGAATTGATGAGGTGGAGGATCAGGTTAGCGAGTTGGAGGACAAAGTAGAAAACATCTCACAGAAAGAGCAGGAAAATGAAAAGAAGCTCAGAAAGAATGAAGAGAGATTAAGAGAAATGCAAGACAATATGAAACGTAATAATATCCGAATAATAGGAATACCAGAAGGAGAAGAAGAAGAAGAACAAGGGATAGAAAACATATTTGAAAGAGTAATGAGAGAAATTTTCCCTAATTTGATGAGAGAAAAAGTCACACAAATCCAGGAATCACACAGAGTCCCAATCAAGAGGAACCCAAGGAGGCCCACTTCAAGACACATTATCATTAAAATGGCAAAATTTCAAGACAAAGAGAGAATCTTAAAGGCAGCAAGGGAGAAAAAAAGAAGTAACATACAAGGGAGACCCAATAAGGTTAGTTACTGACTTCTCAATGGAAACACTCCAAGCAAGAAGAGAATGGCAAGAAATATTCCAAGTAATGAGAACCAGAGGCCTACAACCAAGGCTACTTTACCCAGCAAGGCTCTCAATCAAGATAGAAGGCCAAATAAAGAGCTTCCAAGACAAAAGAAGTCTAAAAGAATATGCTGCCACCAAGCCAGCCCTACAAGAAATACTAAAAGGACTGCTTTAAGGAAAGGAAGGAAAAGAGAGAGACAGAGAAAAACACAGGTACAAAAATGGCAATGAATAAGTACCTATCAATAATAACCTTAAACGTAAATGGATTAAATGCTCCAATCAAAAGATACAGAATAGCTGAATGGATAAGAAAGCATGACCCTCACATATGCTGCCTACAAGAGACCCACCTCCGGACAAAAGACCATCACAGACTAAAAGTGAAAGGCTGGAAACAAATTTTCCAAGCAAATGGACAAGAAAAAAAAGCTGGGGTAGCAATTCTCATATCAGACAAAATACACTTCAAAAAGAGGGCCATAAAGACAAACCCAGAAGGTCACTTCATAATACTCAAGGGAAGAATCCACCAAGAAGACATTAACATCGTAAATATATATGCACCAAACATAGGAGCACCCAAATATATCAAGAAAATCTTAGAGGACTTCAAGAAAAATATTGACAGCAACACAATTATAGTAGGGGATTTTAACACCCCACTATCAAAAATGGACAGATCTTCCAAACAAAATATCAACAAAGATATTGTGGCATTAAACAACACCCTTGATGAAATGGACTTAACTGATATATATAGAGCCCTTCATCCCAAAGAAGCTAAATACACATTCTTTTCAAATGTACATGGAACATTCTCAAAGATAGAGCACATGATAGGACACAAAACGAGCCTCAACAAATTCAAGAAAATTGAAATCATATCAAGCATCTTCTCTGACCACAAGGGATTGAAATTAGAAACCAACCCCAAAGGAAAAAACCCAAAGCACCCAAAATCATGGAGACTGAATGGTATGCTATTAAACAACGAATGGGTCAAGAATGAAATTAGGGAAGAAATCAAAACGTTTCTGGAAACAAATGAAAATGAACTCACAACAACCCAAAACTTATGGGACACAGTGAAGGCAGTCCTGAGAAGGAAGTTTATAGCAATACAGGCCTACCTAAAGAAGATAGAAACATTTCAAATAAACAACCTAACCCTATGCCTGCAAGAACTCGAGGAACAACAACAAAGACAGCCCAGAGCAAGCAGAAGGAAGGAAATAACCAAAATCAGAGAAGAA